TCTGTACAATCTCAGAAATTTCGATAAAAACTGTAGATATTAATTAAAAATAGTAGATGCAGAGGTACTCATCCTTCCTCTCATGGTCAATGTAAGAAATTATATTGATATCTTCTTCTTAAAAACAGTGCAAAAGAAATCAGAATTGAGAAGATTGTGGATCACATATAGTTATACTTGCTATGTCTTTTCATGTTTTCTTTCCGTTTCCTGCTTTGAAAGTTTCTCCAAATTGAACTCCACAAAAATCCGATTTTCTTACGAAAATTTAAAACCTCATGTCCCTCTCAAAAATGTTGACGGTGCAACTTGCGCCATGCCATACCTCACAGGGCAGCCTCAATATTATGGCTATCACATGGATTGGACTACAGATAGACGCGGAACTAAATTTGTTTAAAACGTAAAATTTTAAACTCCTGCATTAATACAAAACTTCCCTGTATTTAGTAGCGAGGAAGACAAATAACATTGACTAATTATTAATATTGTCCGGTACCAACGAAGTATCAATACCTCTCTAATTTCGGTTTAAAAGTAAGGATACTACCTAGTCCTCACTTAATTTTAGTGCTTGTTTAAGTATTATTATTATTGTTTATTCACTACAGAAGTTAGGGAGGCTTCTACTGCTTTGTATTCGTGCAGGTCAAAAAAATAATAGTGCTCAAAATCGAAAATTTCTACTAGCACTGAGTATTATTTCAGCATGGAGAAAATCGATTATCCGTCCTATTCACAAGAACGGTAATCGCCTAGTAAGTACTAATTACAGATGCATATCCTTACTGACTTCCGGATATAAAGTCCTATTCACACGTCTGCTTCAATTTGCTGATAGAGCAATTGGTCCCCAGCAATGTGGATTTCGATGTATAATATTGACTCCTAACCGAATATTTAACCTGAAAACCTCAGTGGTAAGAGGACAAGAATTTAAACAAAAGACTCGCCATCTCTTCATAGATTTTAAGGCCTAATATTATATAGTAATGAGCTGCACAGGCGGATCTACGGGGAGGGGAGCTTTCGGGCAAACCCCCACCCCCCCCCCAAAAAAAATGGTAAAATATAACTATGTTTTACAGAAAAAAAAATATTAAAAACTATCTCTTAAAGTATTCTTGTTAGTGTAATTACATTTAATAGGACTTCAAGAACCACTTAAACACCATTTCATATTGGTAGTTAATTTATTTTTTTTCTAATTAATTATTGTTATACGTATATGAAAAAAAAATTATTCGGGCTGAAGCCCCCCCCCCCAAAAATTAAATTCTGGATCCGCTAGTGAAGAGCTCTACCCAAGTGGAAGAATTTCAAATCACTCATAAGCTCATACATATGGTGAGGCTGACCAAGAATGAGGTCTTGTGTGTTCCTACGGCAGAGTGACGTCCTCGCATGCCTCTTATTCAATATTGTCCCGGAGAAGGCTATGAGAGAATCGGGCATATCGGCTGGGTAGACAATATTCAGTAGGAGTTCGCAAATACTGGGTTATGCGGACGATGTTGACATCATTGGGCGCTCTCAACATGCTGCCAGAGAAGCTTTTGTAGCACTTGTAGGTTCTGCAAGGAAATTTGGATTCGAGGTGAACCATGAGAAATCTGGTGACTGAATAGACGCCTGAGCGCAATGAGATGGTGACATTCGGAAATTACCGATTTGAGTGAGTCACCGAATTTATTTATCTAGGCTCTTTGGTAACACAGGACAACAATGTAGAAACGAGAATTAGAAGAAAAATAATTTCTGCCAATCCAGCCAAAGAAAACAGTTTGGCGGCCACAGTTTCCGCCAAACTAAATTACATCTATACAAAACCACAATCCGCCCAGTCTTGGAAACTTGGACTATGACCAAACGTAAAGAACAGAGACTACTTGTGTTCACAGGTCATGACAACCGAGAGTGTTAGAGGATTGCCTGTTGAAGCATTCTCGGGTTGAGTCACCCCACAGTGGTCTGAGCCACAGGCGGATCTACAGGGCTGCAGCCCCTCCCAAAATAGTAAAATATAACCATGTTTAATGAAAAAAATTATTTCTAAAAATATTATTGTTCGTCTAATTACATTTAATAGGACTTAAACACCATTTCATATAGGTAGTTAATTTCTTTCTTTCTTCCGACGCAATTATCCTAATATATACACAAAAAAAAAAAAATCATTTGGGCTAAAGCCTCCCCAAAATCAAATCCTGGATCGGTTAGTGGTCTGAGCAGTGCTGGATCAAGGACTTATTTGAGAAGGAGGAGGCAAAAGTGAATTCCATACACCACAGGTGTATATATGAAAAAAAGTTAATTTTTTTTTACTATATAATTGACATCTATCAACCTAAAACAGCTTTTTTTCATAAATTCAATTAAAAATAGTTTCCAAGCACTCTAGTAGCTATAATTTTCAAATATTTTGTCAGTAAATGAATATTTTTTGTGTAAATATTCAGATTTTTCAAATTATTCTTTGCTTTTTGTACAAAGTATAAAAATAATTAATTGTTTAGTACAATTTACTTTTTAATTAATATAATAATATTGAAAGTGCCTGGTTGTTTAGTTACGTTTTTCATGATAAAATTTTTTCTCAACTACCAATGAGTGAGGTTTTCCTTTTCCCAATCCTCTGGATCTACTAGTGGTTCTCAGATTGGTGAAACCCCTATTTATGAGAAACAAAGTGAATTTTATTCTGGTACATTTAGTCCCCTCAGAATAACTATAATGAACAACATAATGACAATTGTCTGGCATAAGAGCTCACCATAATATTATTATTGTCTAACCATAATATTAAAATAAAGAGAAGACACTGTAGTAGATATATGATCTTGAAGTAGATATATGAGTTTAAAGATCAATACATATGACTGAGTTCATGTATTTATACAAATAAGCAATATGGCATATAGATAAAGATATCAGTAAGCTGTAGCTGACATCTCTAAAGTACAAAATAACTTTATTTTTACAGATAGTCGGAAGATTGATTACTGAGGAGATGGAAAAATAAATAGTGTTTAAATGAGGTCAAGGATGATGATTTCCGTATAGAGGTTGGTAGGAATTCCAAAACGAAGTAGCAGGTATGATGAAGGATTTTTTAAAAGAAACAATTCTCTGAGAAGGAATAAACAGATTTGATGGTTGGGATCTCGTGTTGAACGAATGAACAGAGCAGCAAGGAGTACAGAAATCAAGATGGTAAGAAGGTTTATTGGTTTTAAAAGTTTGGGTATGAGGTCCTCTATAGTATTTCAAATTTCCTACATTTTTAATTTGAGACAGTTAACTTATATATTCCAAAATTTTAGTAACAAATAAAAATACTAGTTGTCAAGATTTTCAACATTTCAAAGTATAAATAAAAAGCTTGTTTCTACTAAATTAATTTTACAACTTATTATTATTAAGTATATATCATTAAATATACTTTTAGCATTTTATTGAGTTTTGAAAATAATTTTTCGAGAATGACTTGTTAACATGAATCCAATAGGTTTGTAAATAGTTTATTTCTTTATAAATTCTAAAATTTTATGTTTTCATAGAATAAGTTATTGCTCAATTGACACTGGAATTTAATATCTCCATAGGATAACTAACTTATACTAACAACCACTAAGACCTGACAATAATCAAAATGTTCTGTAATCCCTGTGCTAATAATCAATACAAAAATTAGGTGCGGTAACTTCAGAATTTGGTAATTAGCTGGAAAATTCAGTCAAAAAACTGTAAAAAAAAAAACCAAAAAACAGACAGGATAAAAATCCTACCTATATATATAAATAAATTTATTATTATCTGTCATAGAAAACTGGAGGAAAGTATAAGAACAATAAAAATTAAAGAAAATGTGAAGGAACAGATTGAAGAGCAATTTTTAACAAATTTAGTGACTCGAAATTGATAATAGGATATTGTTTTCTGCTAACTGCAATATATTACGTTTTATCTTCATTTACTTGTATGGCGATTCCCTCTAGTTCTCTTGTCACAGTTTTTCGAATCTAAGTATTCCCTCTTGATAATAATATAGACATTAGACATTCATAATTGATTCAGTATATAATCTTACATATTAGATTTTCAGTTTTATAATTTATGGCACATAAAATATATTTTATTTTATGGTGTAAAAATTAACAATAATATTGATTGTTCTTACTAAAATGGTTTTAGTCTATATTAATACAAAGGCCTGATATACTGTAAAACATTCAGATTTTCAGAAATCTTCACTAAATTATAAGTTCTCCAGGGTTTTTGCCATTTTTATACCTGTTCTGACAACTGAGCGCTGGTTGAAATCTGACATGAATAGGTGGAAATTTATTCCCTGTTGGACCCACAGAACGAATTTCTATCATCCCACTCTGGTTAGAATAAGTTTGGTTGTACCTCTAGGACAACCTCTCCTCTCTTCTACCCCCTCCCCTCCCACAACATGCCAGAAATGGCATGATAGGGGCAATCCGAGATAAAAAAAAAATTACATGTCTGTAACTAGCACATCACTCACTTACTTAGATTTCATATAATTTTAATTGATTAGGAGGGATGAAACTTAGATGGTCCAGTATAGATAATAAAGGATCCCATCCATTTTTTCAGGTAAGCACGGATTTTTCCTTGAGTAGACTATATTGTTTTATTATAAAAAGTGAATTATGAAAAGTGTAAAGTGAATTTTTGATAGAGATTAACTTTCAACCATGTATATAAATAACCCGGATGGAAAAATATAAAATAGTTTGAAAATGGATAAATATAATCCGAAACGTCACAATAAAGCATTGGAATCATCGTAGAAATAAATCTAACATTAACCTTCCAGAACAAAAAAGAAGAAAATATATATAATTAAAAATGAATAAGAAGATAACCTATAAAAGATAAAAATATATTTATACATATGAACAATACAACACTTATAAATACGTGTATATAGATAAATTAATAAACACAATATATTGGAAAATGGGACGATAAACTTTCAAGAAAATAACAATTATCATTTTTTTTTTTTTAATTTTTAATTGGCTCAAGGCTTCCATGAAGTCCTATTTTGTTCATGAACCACCTTTTGCACCAAAAAGAACTTCTGAAACATCTTTCGGTGGTTGTAAATTCATAGTATCTGGATATCCATTGTAAGGATCATTGACAGCATCATACAGTTGGGTATAGATAGCAATAATGACTTGAATTGAACGTTTTTGAACAGTCGCCCGATGGCTGCTACTTAAAAGGCATGTAACTTGAGGAAGAAGAAGAAGTTCAGGCATCGAAGTAAAATTGTCAAATTTATTCTATAAACCAAAAATAATGAGTTAAATTAAAAAAATATTCAATAATATCCTTATCATTAATTTCCTAAAATCTTAAATTAAAAAAAAAATGTATATTTAAAAATTAATTGATATTGTTTCAAAAAATAGATATTTAAATAAAGGGAGAAAAAAGACAAACCTTTTTAAAACAGTAAATCTCCCGCCTATTGTGTGGCGGTCTTCTCTCAATCAGTTCACAGGTCATAATGTTTTTAGGAATTTTTTCGTCACAGTTAACAAAGAAAAATAAATTAATGCGAGCATGAAAAGAAAATTGAGGATGGACAGTAAGTTATTGATGTTTAAATTAATATTGAAATCTGAGAAGAAAGAAACTAAAATTTTCATTTGTCAGTTTTTGTTTGTTGATACACAGAGCAGAATTCTAAGTGGATGTAAATGTATTCGCAGGGGCATCTTTTGTCATGGTTGGAGATGAATTAACTTATCCCTAGCCTATTCCAAATTTTAAATTTATTAAAACATCAATATTCACCCTCATTTCCTTTTATTGTTCCTATTAATTAATTAGTTATATATATTTTTCTAATTTATTTTTTTTTCTCTTTTATTTCTTAATAAATCTGTAGTTCATTTATAAGACATTTTTCAATCTTTGGTTCAAAGTCAAAAAGAACAATAAGTTCTTATTTTTATGTTTAACTTTTTTTTATTTCTAGCTAGACACATAAGTAATAGATGAGATAAAGTTTCAAAAACAACCAAGTTCTTGAATGGTTTTTTCTTTTTCAATAAATTTGAAGAAAACGGTGGAACAAAAATACTTCTTCAAGTAAATATTGCACTAAAACTTAAAAATAAAATTTCATAAATAAAAATAGTTGTTACACTCAATGAATGCTTACGATAAAATTGAGAAGCGAGGCAGGCTGCATCCCAGGAATTTGTGATAAAGGACCTGCTTTGCCATGATCTTGTAGTATTGTATAAATTGGTCCAAGATTAAGATTGGCTACAAAAAAACTAGCTTGTTCAGAGGTTAACGTGTCAATCTGAGCATCACACTGGGCCTAAAATTAGATAGTAACAGAAATAATAGAAATAAGACAAAAAGGAGCCAAATTAGGCAATACTACAAAGATAATCCATGCATAATAATGAGCCAAAATCAAGTTTATAAAAGAAGAAAAATCTCTCCAATTCCTTAGCACTGCTAAGTAAGATCAAACAGGCAATACAAACAAATTTTTAAGTGATTTAACACTAAATTATACCAGACAATATCACTCAAGGCAATATTCTGCTGGAGATTTCTTATTATAACACTAAATTTTCTGGATAGAATTCTTATTAACTTAGATATTACATAACTCAACTAATCATATTTTGAAAAAATATCACCCAAGATTATTTTTCCAACAAAATATAAATGATATATTAATCAAAATAAATACATAATTATAATAACTCTACCTGTAGTCTTTCGATTCTGTCATCTACAAACTCATATAGTGAGACAGTAGATATAATGAGGTGAAGGCAATTAAGCAAATAAACAGCCATATCAGTTGTTGCAAGTCGTGAAGCACTAATATTGACAGCTTGCAATAAAGGATCCAGAACAGATGCCACTATCTAGAAATCACAAAAGATAATCGAATCATTTAAAATAATATCTGTAAAATGAAAATTTAAAAACATCTTAAATTAATTATTATCAAAATAATTCTAAATATTTATAAACAGTATATAAAATATACTTACCTTGTTAAGGTAATAATGCTGAGATTCTGAAACTGGAGCAACAGACAATAATTCTTTAAGGAGGTTGAGTAACGATTCAACTCCAGGGGAAGGACTGAGATCAGAAGGTGGCATTGCTACTCGTTCAATAACCTATATGATATATGCATTTAGGATGAAAAAAGTACTTTTTTTTAAACAAAAAAATAAATCATTTTTTTTAGATTAGAGACAGGCACATGAAAGCTTTTTAGTAAATGAAGTTATACTAACAATCAACAAAAGTGATAAAACTGTACCTTTACTATTGTCTATTTTGAAATTATTAAACTGAGTTTAAGTCAATTATAAATATGGATTAGATGCAATATTAGTGAAAAGAACTATTTTACTAACTTCTTAGAGAAGATGTTATATAGTTGTTGTACTTACTTCTTTTCCAACAACACTCGACAACTTTCCAATTAGGGTATGGCCACTTGCCTCTTCCAATTCTCTCAGACCTCTAACAAGCCCACTTGTTTCAGATATTTCCTGAAACAAAGTGATAAAAGAAAAAATAAATTAATAAAAATATATATATCAAAATCTAATAGTCAATGAAACAATAATCAATAAGGCTTAGAAAGTAAAATGCTTCATGCTGATACAACCAAAAAAGGATTGGAATTTTCATTCACTAAACTCAGTTCTAATACCTAAGTTTCATGAGCACATTTAATGCTATTCCCACACTTACAATTTGAGTCCCTACCATCAATGTAACATCATTTAATTTTTATTAATCATTTATTTGTTAACAGAACTACAAACCTTTTGTTTTTTTTCAATTCCAATAATTTAAAAATATTCATAATATTCATTAGGTACAAGTCTTACAATGCTGATATATAGAGTAGCCTGCTCAATAGGGAGAACACAAAATAATTTGAAAAAAATATAAATAAATGTACTGTAACAGGACTAAATAAATTTTAAAAAGTGATGTATTATAGATTTTCAATTATTTTTGAGCGAATTCACACTTAGAGAAATTGATAAAATTACTTTTAGTTAAATGAAATGAGGAGAAAGATTACTCTGTCGTAACAGCAGTTTGTATGGCTGTTCACAACCTACATAGAATAGGGAATGCATTTCATACATAGTGGTCCAAATTATAGATAATTTGAACATCTGATGCCCCTCACTATTAAAATTAAAAATCTGTCAACGTGAAGAAGCTATTAGCAGAAATCATATTTGGGAAGCTTGTCTAGTGAGAGAGAAGTAAATAATAAAAAAAAATCCTTTCTCTAGGAGGTTTAAGCAGTTCGTAGGAGTGGGATATTCATGGAGAAGGGCTCATTCATATTTTATGTAAACATTTTTGATGAAATAATTTATATTTTTGCAACTAAATCATAATTAAATAAATAAATTATCAGTTATCTATAATTAGTACAAAATTGTTTTTTTTTTTTGGAAATTTAAAAAATAAGATACAGAATACTATGTAATTTTGCAAGAGAGAGTGAAAATCTGTTTACTTTAACTCTTATTAGTGTAGATTCTGTGTAGAGTGTAGATTTCAATATCTGTGATCTACTATTTCTGCCAGTTCATTAAAAATAATTTGTATAATTCAATGATTTGAAAAAAAAAATTCCTATAATTTTTATAAAGATAAATGAATAAAATAGAATAAGGTTTAACAAAAAAGATTACATAAGATAAATTATGCAGAATAGTATACATTAATACCTGTGAAAATGTCTGCCGATAAAAACAGAGTAAATTGGTAATACTGTAAAGAGTTTTCAATGAAATTTCAGATGCAACTATATGTTCTATTCTTATACGTAAAGGAGTAACAACACCTTCAGAAATATTAGCCAATGACTCTTGAATTTCTTCTGTAACATCTAATAAAAACATGAACATATATAAGTACTTATTAACTTTTCCAGTTATTTTATGTAGGCAGATTACTTATGGTAATAATTTTTTATCATTAATCTTTGTCAGCTATTGAAAACAGTTCTGTACATAATAAAGTCTAGAGTATCATTTAAGTAAATTTTTTTTAATTTGATGATAGGACAAAAGATTCTCATTTCAAAGAATGTACTCATTAAATTCCATTAATTCTGTCAGATGAATATTTAGAGTATTATTAATAATAGAAATTTGAGTTTTAAGTAGTATGGAGTAACATTGTCATTTATTTCAATAGAATGAAAAATAAGTAGCAGCTTTTTTCAGCAGATGAACATTTATAACCATTTAAAAATCGTGGGTAATGATTGAGTGAAAAATGATGAGAAGTATTAAGTTGCAGTAAGTTGCTTAGTAAGCAAGAGATTTACTGCAAAACCTGGAACCTTAGCTCCACTAATGTGAAGGCAGGGCCAGCCTTGTACCTTTAGTCAGCCTTAGTCTCAGCTCGTTAGTAGCAGAGCAGTAGGATTGGAATATAGCGGCAGCCATATTGTAAGTAAAAAACTGAAATTATTGATAATAAGAAATAAACTGTATTTATTGCTTTATGAACTTGATTTTCCATCCAATTTTTCCTGCAAATGTAAGCCAAAGGCATAATGTTTAAAATAAGATATTTTGTTCTTATTCTTGATAATGGGTAGGCTAAAATTGACTTAAAAAGCTTAAAATCACAATTTTTACTAAAACTATATTTATAGGCTTTTGCAGTATGGCTTTCCATACATAAAATGAAGATTAAAGTTTTCAAATAATAAGAAAAGGTTTATATTTATCTAAAAACTTGAAATAACAGTGTGTTTGGGAGCTGTGGAGAGGACTGGGGATGTGGCTTGGCCTTAAAGTTTACGGCTTCCAAACAGGATAATGTCTAACCTCTTTCAGATCTACTTTATAAACATACATTTATGAAATTTAACTTATTTTTTCTTTTCTTTTCCTCCCATTCCTCATCTTTTCTGATATATCGTTTCTCCTGTTGCTAGACTTAATAAAAGCCTTTCCCTTTCCCCCAGGCACCAGAATTTGAACTTATGATCTTTGGATTATCAGATTAACAGGCAATGCATGTTTGGCACACCTGTTAGCCGTTTGGCCACTTCACTCCAGTGGAGCTGATCTACGACAAAAACAACTATCAAAATATGAGAAATTAGTTGGCCTGTGCAAATGATTCCTATAGAATATTGGTCAGTGAATAACTGATAATATAATATAAAAAAACATGAAACCTCAAATTTTGAGAGGGGATTAAGATTTTGAATCACAATGGTTGATTATCGAAAATAATAAACCAAAAATATGTAAAAAACGCAATATCTCTACTGATAGTGCTTTGATTTCAATGAAACTTCCTTAATTTTTTAGGAAATTTAAATACCTTTGAAACATCTTATCACAATATCAACAAAAAAGTATAAACTTTTCGAGTTATTCGTAATTTAATTTTACCATCCCTCTTTTTTTCCAGCTTCTTTTCGTTGAAGTATGTTATATAGATAAATTTAAAGGGCGTCTAGAAAATGACTTTAGTGAGGTTTCACTGAAATCTGTACATTCGCTTAGAAGCTATGGTCTATAGCAACACAAGTTTTTCGGCCGCCATTTTGAAAGTAAAAGGCGGATAGTAATGTCGATGAAGGAGGATCATCCTCGGGTGACTTCTGATTTTATATCAAAATTTGAAAAAAATCGGTCCAGTAGTTTTGAAGAAAATGAACGGACGGCGGACGGACAAAAAAATTGTTATTCGTTTTTCGAATTCTACGCGTCCTGAAACGTGAAATCTCAAATATTGAGAGGGGGTTAAGATTTTTAATTTTTTGGTCGATCACAATGGTTGATTATTGAAAATAATAAACCAAAAACTTATTGATAAGGATTATGATATAAAAGAAATCATTTTCTTTTTCTCAGTCGAATTAAATTAGCTCATTCACAATAATATTCCAAAACATGATTACATTACTATAAGGAGTATCTTTGTTTCAGATTGAAAGGTCAATAGCTTCAGCCTTGCTTTATCTCTAGTCCAAATCAGTGCCTGTGTGAGTTACTCCTTAAGACTGCTTCTGATAGTTCAGTCAACTATTATTCTTTTTATGTCAGTTAAAATCGTTTTTAAAAAATGGCTTTGATCAAACCTTTGAAATACATTTTTAAAAAACATTTATGCAATCTATAAAATACTCTTCCCAGCTTTCCACCGGATTTTTGTAATTACAATTTTAAATTTAAATTTTTCACCATGAATTAAATACGATCATAAGAGTCTTATTTGTGATGAAAATGTGTTTTCCAAAAAAAAAAATTATCTTTAATGAATTTTGTCCTCCTAGATCAGCTATTGGATCCACTGTTCCAAATTATAAAAGCTAACTATAAATATATGAGCATATTATACTACAAAATTTTCCACAAAAAGAAATTATTTGTATATTAAAGTTATATGAATCTGAAAGTACCTTAACTTTTCTTATTGATGTTTTTTATAAAAAAATTATAAATAGTTAGCTTTTTATGATAACGAAAAGTAATAAAATGGTGTTCGCAAATGATAGCCACATTTAACTTGAAATCCAGGGTGTCAAGGACCATAAAATGGTGGCTCAAACCAGCTGGTCCTTGAAAAAGTTGAAGGATAATTATTATATTCTTTAACATCTTCAACAGATCTGAATATATGGAAAAACATAAAAATGAATCAGTGGTTAACAAAATAGAATTAAAAAAAATCAACAGAGGAAAAATAATCCCATCAATTTTTTAAAAATAAAAATAATGGATTGCTACCACATAAATTTAAATCAAATTATTCATAATTAATGTCCTTGTTTTAAATTATTAAATAATACCTTTGAGTATTTTAAAAGTAGCATTTTTTTTTTCATTTTTTTTTTTACAACCTGTTCATACAAGTCTTACAACTTGCAGGCATCTCCTAATTAAGGGGGTATTATGGTCTAACTTCCCGCGGGGACCAGCCGTATTGGGAAGTAGGATCTTTGCTTTTCTAGTATAGCGCGCTAACCACTCTACTATACCGGCCCAAAAATTAGCATTAAAAGTTCTTAAATTAAAAGTTATTAGCAGCTCAATTAATCTTATTCAATAAATTAAGATTAAAAGTAAAGTGAAAAATATACCAATTTTGTCACAGTCTTTAAGAAAAGAGAGAAGATTTTCATTTTCTCCTGGAATTGATTGATGGAGAAAAGCTAACATATCTGAAATATATCTCTGTGGGTCATGTGCTGACATTTCAATCGGCTTGGGAGTCCCTCCAGGTCCACCTTTAGTGAGAGCATCGAGGAAGATTCTGACAAGGACGCTTCTGCGATGGGTACAATATTCACTAATGACATATCTATAAAAGAAATACATGGCATTAATAAAAATGTTTAGAATATTTAATTAATAAACTATTTGAACCAAGCTGCGTGTATTATATATAAAAAAATGTCATCCCAATAAAAGAAAATTGGTAAAATAAAGGATGAAAATATTTTTAGCAAGTTGACTACTAACTACAAAATAACTATTAGTTTGGGTAATTGGCTATGATGTCAATTACAAGTTATCTCATATTAAGAGGCATAAATACATTTTTTTAAATTAAATTAAATGATTTTTGATATCATTTAGGTATTTACCTCACTAAAATTGTTTGATAGGATTTAAATGCCAAATATTCAAAATTTCTTCTTCTAAAGTACTATTAAGTTTGTTTATTAGAAATAATTTAAGGTTTATCATTTTCTCTTGGATAAAAGCATATTTTTTATGGTACTTATTAATGTCTACTTTTATATTATTGTATAGGAAATAAAAGTTTCCATAGAAATTAAATGGACTTTCCATAAAAAATATATGGAAATTAATTTTGTTTTGATAAATATGAAAACAAATAGTGCACAAAATTGTCATCATTTATATTCATTGTCTTAAATTTATATTTATAATTAAAGTAATATTATTAAGTGATGAATTTTCATTGACTGTTTTGAAGGTTAAAAGGATTGTGTAATAATTTACAGCTATATTTTAATGATTGACCGCTGATGAAAAATGGAAAAGGAGACAGACAATCAAGGTTCAGCCATACCGTTTAATGCGGAATATTTATGTATTCCACATTAAATGCATCCTGCCGAAAGCAGGATGTCTAATCACGTTAAATATAATACATACGATTTAACAACAAGCAGTAGAATAAATAATAAAAGATGAAAATATTTTTAATTTCTAAAATATTTTTACTTAAAAAGCATAGGCCGATCTTGCAACTTAGATATAGCTCTTGTTAAAAGCTGGCTTGTTCCTGGTGATTCAATATTCTTGCAGTAAGATTGAGCCCACCTATATAATCTTTCAAGTGATGCTTCCTAAAACAGAAAATCAGATAAAAAATAAAAAACTTAAGTATCAATTAATTCTTTGATGTATGTTCAACAATAAGTTTTTCATACATTTCTAGACATTGACAATATGTTGCAACATGCACATTATTTAAAAGTATGAGTGAATTTTTTTTAAAATTTATAAATATTAAGTTAAGAACTGTTGTATATTCAATAATACAAAATTAATATGGTTATTTAATGAATAATAAATAGAATTAACATGCAAAAATAAATTCATGAAATTTCAATTTAATGTTAAATTACGATTTTGAAATACCTGATATAAAGACATTTGATCCATAATTTCTAATGCCAGAGTCTGATGACCACTCTGCATAAGTATCTTACAATTACTATGTATTGTTTGAACTCTTTCCAAAGCTGCAAAAAATTCATTTGTAATGCTTGTGTTACGTAATGTTGACACTTCTTCAGGGGTAAGTTGAAATGTTTTAATAAAGGTTTTGGATATCACTTCTTGTAATGAAAGTTTCGTACTAAAAAGAAAAAAAAATATGCCATAAAAAAAGTTCAAAAGCAGTTATTACAAAAATTACCAATAATACAACTAAAATCAAAACGAGTTTATAAGACAAAAAAAATCTGAAATTTTAAAATAAAAACTATTTATGATATCAAAATCTTGAATTATCTTATAAAAAACAAAAAATATGTAGTAACCTTTCAGCCTGTAGTTTTGTAGTTTGTTCAATGAGTTTATGTGTTTGAGCTTTGGTATTATGAAGATGAGCAGACATAGTTTGAACTGTCTGGTTCATCTGATAAACATCTTCATATATTAAGTCCAAATTTTCCTTTATTTTCCTAAACTCATTTAAAAAACCCTGAAATTTTAAGAAACCAGGAATTATTTATTATTAACAAATTATTTTTATTTTCAGACGAATGAGAAGTGAAAGTAAAAATTATTGATGCTATATTTATTTATATTTCATTGTGGGTATTTTTAGTTGTTTAAATACTTTTATATATACAAATTTTAATTTTTATATCCCTGTATTCTATACAATTAAAAATAGCGCAGTTACCACATACATATGAGTACATAATATTGTCAGAGTCCGTATTTTATTTAGCTCATGTATACCTATGGAAACCTGTTGTAATCATTCGGGTAAGGTCGGGCGTGCTCGTATTCCTTTGGTTCTTTCATACAACTATTATCAGTTACGATCTCTTATTTCTCTTTTAGTTAATTATCAAATTCTTTCATATTTTATATTTAACTATTTTTCTGTACCAGAGATTAATGTGAAATGGTTAATTATTTCAAATAAAAAAAATTAAATGTACTTTAAAGGAAGCTAATATTGGAAATTAAGCATTTAAGCCCTGTTAGAGAACATCAATGAGAATAAAATCTACATTATATTTAAAACTGCTTAATAATACACTGATATACGGAGTTTCATCAAAATCGTTAGAGCCGTTTTTGAGAAAATTGTAAAATGTGTTAAATCGATTATATAAAGTACCACTTCTGGTTTGCTGATTTTGACGAAAATGTTGCTATAAATCTCAGGCTTATAAAAACCTGAAATACCCAAATTTCAGCTGCATGCAACTTTTCATTTTTGAACTAACACACACACCACATTTTGTGGGACTTGGTTATTTGGACTAAAGGGACCTCAAAACATGTATTTCTGTTGAAAACTCAGATTCGAAAATTTTCAAGATCGCAATACTTACCCTTAACTATATATTACATAAATAGGTAAGTGAAAGTAAAAATATTATCTAGTATACAACAGTATTCAGAGAGTTTAAAGATTATTAAACATAAATGAACATAGTAAAACTGAGAAGGAACATTAAAACCATCATATTTACAAAAATTAAATTGTTTTTAATTAACATACTTTATAAAAAAAATGATAAGTTCCAAAACCCAATAATACATCAAAACTGAATAAAGAACCCAGAATAGATCATTTTTTGTAGGAAATTGCAATACAGATTTTTTTTTTTTTTAAATAGATCAAAAAAGATCCTATAGGATTTTGTATTACAAACCAAATACTCAAGATCAACATAGATCTGTTGAAAATTCTTTTTCCCCTTCAAGCAAAAAAAAAAAAGGATGAATGCTTAAAATTCGAGCCTGAGTCATGGCAGTCATTAACCTAACTTAGTTGGGCTTACCCAAAAAACCTGGGACGTTATTGATGCTGAAGAGGAAGAAGTAAAGCATCCCCGAAAAATCCAAATAAAAAACTTGTTTTGTTTTTTTATTTTAACCTTAGGTCAAGTTGGAGGAGAATAACTTTTCATCATATTAAGATATGTTTTTTAAACAATATCTACAAGCAAGTGAATATTACAAAATTATTATTAATTAATTATTAATCATAAAATTTAAGAAAAATAAAATGGCAGAAAGTGATTTCTATTGAAATAGTTTCACATTAAGGATATATATTATATTTCACATTAAGCGTGGTTAGCACTTGGATGGATGACCGCCCCGTTTAGGGAGACCATCCATCAGGGAAAGCCAGGCTGCCGGAGATTCCCTCTTCCTCCCTTCCCCCCGGGTACGTGAGACCCATCAGCCTACTGGAGGGGCGTAGGACTGATGACCCTACCAACATGTAATTAAATCGGGCATTGGGATGTGGTCTAGGAGACCACATCTCGCAGTCAAAGATCTTCAAGGTCTATAGCGTCAAGCGAAAAAAAAAAAAAATATATATATATACTAAGATTGTATATATATATATATATATATTGTATATATATATACAATATTTTTATCTATCTTTACTCATCAACTCAAATGATAGGGACCTAGATTTTCAAAAACATGGCTTTATGAAAAATTCAGTATGATGTTAAAAAATTGAAAAAAAGGTGAGTAAAACAAAAATATTTAGACAAGGAAGTTAAATTTTCAAGTAGCTGGACACAGTTTTTTTCCTTTGTTTTTTGGCAAACTAATAAACCGGTTGGAGGATTTTCTTAGTTGTCTCCCTCATATGTGTGATTTTAAAAATTAAAATGGAGGATCCAACATGAAGGCTGAACATTTTAAAATCAACCTGATTTTCATCAAACTCAATACAAAGGGGTTTAGGGGAGCCACTGAATTTGAAGCTTCAAAATTTCAAAACGTAGAATGATTTGGATACAATAATACCCCGTATCACCCAAAAATTCCTTTACCATTCTCAATTGTGATGTCGGCATCTCTACTCTTACATATATTCAATCCTAAACACAACATAAACTCTTCAAAAGGAGAAATTTATATATGCTAATGGTCAAAATATATTAATAATAATTTCCACGATAATAGCATGCTAATATATGACCAATGCCAAATCTAAATATTTAACCTGATGAATGACTAATACTATAGGAACTCACTTCATTGATGCCTAGACTCCTTTTCTCAATGGTACTACGAAGATTTCTTCTAGCTTGAATACTATTTTCAGGAAAATAGTTTGATAGTTCTTTTAAAGCTGTCAATGCTTCCTGTAAGCATTTTCATACATTATTACTTGAATTTTCCTTGTTATTAAACTTTCAGAAATGTGAAATAAACCATGAACATAATAAATAAATCTTGATTTAAAGTAACAATTAATCTACTAGGAATAAAATATGAAATCACATATAAATGATAGGATAGAGATATAAATAATAAAAAAATATGGAGTAAAGGTTTTGCCAACTAATGAATTTATTTTTTCAATCAAAATATCTCCTCTGAAAAAAAATAATGTTCATCAGAGATGATAAAGAATGTATGACAGTTCAAGTGATTACATATGTTGATCACTTAGATAGGAGACAGGAATAAAAATTCCAAGAAAAAATATTATACAGGTTTACAATTCAGACATAGGTAAAAATTATTCTCATTATTAAGGAAGTCAATCATCATTTCAGATGATATTCATAATACCGATTAAATTTGAGTGAAATAGTCAGTGCTTCACACTCAGGGGTTAGTAGTTTTTACCCATCTCTGATACAAATAGGTTTCACAACAACAAGAAAACAATGCATGATGGTGGATATGTACTTCTACATAATTATGCATTGCAATGAAGTTAATTATATTTTTATGCTTGTTAAGAGGAACTTTGGTTCCTATCACAACATATTTGAAAAAATGGAATAGTATCATTAATAATCTTATTCCAGAGAAGTTAAATAATTAGAAAAATCATTGTATGAAAATTAAGAAATCTAATATGTTTGCATGATTCAAGTGATATTCAAATAACAAATTTTACTTTATCATTTTCAATTCGTGAATCTAGAATTTTGGAGACTTTCTTTGAAATTTTATTCAGCTTATCGTCTTCAGCAGTAGAAACCGACATCTTTTAAATATCAAAGTGGTAAAACTAATACCAGACCTTAAATGAACAAGATATTGTCATAAATATATTGAAGATAGTAAGGTTATAAATAAGAAACATAGAGCAAGGAATGAGTTTGTTTTTTAAACTTCCTAACGAGAAGGAGGAAAGTTCATAAACAGCTTAATCCTGATATCGGAAATACACCAGACAATTTCTAAACTCATCAATGGAATTCAGTCCGTTCTTTATGCAGTGCCGGTCCAACACGGAACATATATATATCATATGTTTGGGTGTAGCGCTTTTTTACTTTCCTACCTATACTAGGTAAGAAGTATTGCAATCGGGTCAAATTTCCGACAAGCGGTTTTCGACGGATATATACGTTTCACAGTCCCCTGAGTCCGAAAAACACATTTTTAGCCATTGGTCTGTCTGTCTGTGCCAAGATTTTCTCGGGAACTACTGAACCGACTTTGTTGGTTCTTTTTTTATTTTGTAGGATTATGCCTACTGATGCCTGTGACAGATATTCGTTGCTCCATGCGCAATAGCTTGCGCGCGATAAATGAAAAACATGTTTTGCTATAGACTGTAGCGCGAAAACGGCTCTAACGATTTTGATGAAACTTTCCTATGATGTTCTAACCATTGTCCTTTCAATTTTCGTATATAGACTAAATTCCCGAAAAAATTCAGGAAAAAAAGTTATAAAGAAAAGAAAAATGTTATGGGGCCTAACTCCATAAGTATATATTATACTGTCTAAAATGTATACTGTCATTTAAAAGGTAATGAAATTCCCTACAAAGCCATATAAAAATCGTTCATTTTGGACAACTATTAACGAAGTTACAGCTATTCCAATGAAAGATTACGAGTTCTTTTTCTGGTCTCAGAAAGGGGTGAATGAGAGAATAAAGATGACTAAGTGAAAGTAAGAAAATCTGCCCGCATCACACAATCTTCACTGTTTCCTCTACTTTTAACAGAAATTATTTTTTGACAATACCAAGCTATGGCAAAAAGTTTTTGATCAGCAATATTAGTGAGTATTGAAATTTTTGCACTGATCTACCTTAAGTCGGTTTCATTGCTTTAGTTTAATCAAATAAATCGTACTCAAATCTTTTGTTTGATCAATTTTCAGGAAAATAAATTCAATTCGATTCTTTTTTGTGTGTTCATGAACATATATAAAGATATTAAAACTTTTCTGAAATAGGTAGGAGAGTCGTGTGAGTGGACACGCCAGATTTTTTCTTGTTTAATATGTATAATTATATATTTAAAAATTTATTGTTTATAAATCGTTAAAAATTTAGCTTTATTTATAACCACCGCCCTATGTACATATATTAGAAATTAAAAGCTTATTATTAAAAAAAAAAAAAAAAAAAAATATATATATATATATATATAAGAATTGCTTTGCCAGTTGCTGCTCGTCAGTGACAAATCCCCGTATCTTAAACCTCGCACCTTCATATCCTTTTTCTCGAAAATTCGTATGATTATATGTTCAATGTTATTTTATTTTTTTTAAAAGAAAAAATAGATCAGAACATTACTAATAGCTCAATTCATGAATTTTAAAGGTGCTTTGCACTTTATTTTGTGAGTACAGAATGAGATTAAGCCATGCTCGGCTAAGTAACGCCCATGAATCCGGATGTCGTAGTAATCGCCGGTAATCTTTTAGCTAATCATTATTGTCCTCCTACCTTTATATCTGCCCCTGACCCTTACAATCTCCAGTACTTTTTCAAATTGCTAGAAAAATTGTTGTAGCAAAACTCCGTGCGCCGCGCGTCCCCTCTTATACTTTTAGTTTTTCTTGGATATTTTTGTGGCTGGTGGTTGAATTGAAATTTTAAATCCTCCATTTTAATGGCGAGTTGCGAATATGAATTGACAAATGTTCGTTCATAGGCCAAGTTACATGATGCCTTCTCTAGTCACACGATTCCCTAAACGTTCAGGGCATGTTGTTGTTCACCTCAAGGCCCATTGACGAACATTCGTGCTCACAGCATGTCCCACCAGGTATAGGACATGCTGTGAACATTTCTGGACACCATAGGAATTCTAGGAATCAAAAACCGCCGAGTATAGCTATATTGTCTATGGCTGTACTGTGACAAGCTATAATGGGCATTAAAATTTATAATTTTTACTTACTTGTTTCTTATTTAATTCCAATGATCGTTTCTCATGGCGTGAAATAATTAATAAAGTCAAATGTATTTTAATTTTATTATAATTAATACTGTTTAATTTTGAGTAACGCTGAATTTCATTTACTAAAATTTGATTAAATAAATACAGGATTTTATTTAAATTCACAAGTATATTATAGCTATTTTTTTCTTTTTTCCACTGAATACCAATATATTGAATTCATTAATGCAGACAGAAGATACGGTAAACGCAAAATAAGAATTTCCAATAAATGAATAGTATATTAATACACAAAAATCCCTTTGTAACATTATGAATAAATCCTAGACTTGAGTAGGCAAATACAATTTTTAAAAATGGAGAAAAAATAAATATTACAAACCTAGAATTCATAGATTAGTTAATCAGAAAAAAAAAATTAAAACTAATTATAATTTATATAAACAGACCATCAGATAAATTATCTTTCTTGAGTTGTGCTTATGAACTATATAACTTTGTTGTAAAAAATGTAATAGAAGTGAAACAAAATTTTAATTGAAATTAAAATAAACCAAATAAAAATAAAATTAAAATTAGACAACACTTAAATAAGGATATAAATAGTTTTGATGTACTAACGACAGGAAAAAAACCTACTAACGTTTCAATTTTCCCTATTAATATCAAAGTGCCCATCCCCCACAAGGTCGATGGCGCAAGAACCTACCTTCACTCCTTCTCCAAAGATATTTTATTGCTGACTTTTCTTAAAAACAGAGGAAGCTAAGGTAGAATTAGAAAAATCGTAGATCATATAAAATTACACATACTTCAAAATATGGCCCCCTAAAAATTTTTTATGAAACAACTTGCGCCATGAAATCACCTTCTGAGCACCTCTGTTTACAACTGTTTCAATGAATTATTTCACTATCATACATTTATGGAGGAAATAATAATCATACTCTAATCAAAGTAGGTATCATTGTAATTTATTTGTGTGTGTGTATAAAGCATTATACAGACACACACAGAGTTTATATATATAATAATAATAATAAAAGGCTTAGCGAACCCGAAGGTTCGATGCCGACACCACCAATCGCTTATTACACACCTCCCTCCACCGTTCGCCGTCCAAACCCAGTCCCTTCAGATCGGCTTTAATGCAATCTTCCCACCTTCTTTTCGGTCTACCCCTCGGACGCTTACCATTCGGCACTGCAAATATTAAGCTTTTAGGAATTCTCTCGTTACTAAGCCCAACAACTTTACAAGCCCATTTGATTCGCCGCGATGAAATTACCTCAATTATATTACCCGGATACAGTTCAAGCAATTCGGCGTTGTGTAACCGCCTGAACTCTACGGTTAACTCATCCTTCTTCGGTCCGAATATTCTAAGCAATACTTTATTTTCAAAAACCTTAAGACGCTGCTCATCCCTTAATGTAAACGGCCAAGTTTCGCATCCATAAAGAACTGTAGGCAAGATAATTGTTTTATAGATTCTAATTTTTAAGTTCCGGGACAAGAGGCGCGAACTGAGTAGTTTTGTCACAGAAAAATAACAAGCATTTCCCGACTTCAGTCTAACCTTAATCTCTTCTTCAATTTCGTTTTTTCTAGTTATCGTAGAACCTAGATACCTAAATTTATCTACTTGTTCAAACATATTATCGTCTATATCGATATCAGTAGTATCGCCATATTTGCAGCTAACCATATATTTTGTTTTATCCACGTTTATTTCGAGTCCTAGTTTTTTACCAGCTTTCAATAACGTTGTCGTATTTAGTTTTATAGTTTCAACGTCTTCGCTTAACAGTACCAGATCATCAGCATAGCCCAGCACGGATGTTGTCCCACCCAGATCCAACCCTTTCTCGGTACGCATTACCTCCCTAATGGCATGTTCCAATGCCAAATTGAACAGGACAGGCGAAAAGGAATCCCCCTGTTTTAAACACGAATGAACCTCAAATTTTTCCGACAGATTATTACCGATTCTAACTTTATTGAGTGTCTCCGTCAAGGAAATCCTCACTAGATTTACTAGTTTTTTTGGAATCCTCTGCTCGATTAGAATATTATACAGTTTCTGGCGGTCAATAGAATCGTAAGCCTTTTTAAATTCTATATACAGCTGGTGAACAATACCGTTGTATTCCAATTTTTTCTCTAATATTTGCCGTAAAGAAAATATTTGATATATAGTTGAACGATTCCGTCTAAATCCGCATTGGTAGTCTCCGATAATTTCCTCGGCGAATTCCGTGATTCGACTGATTAAGATTAAAGTGAATATTTTATAACATACCGGAAGGAGTGAAATTCCGCGATAGTTATTACAATCCGTCCTCGGGCCCTTTTTGTGAATCGGAATAAGAACAGATTCTTTCCATTCCTCAGGAAATTTCTCATTCACCCAGATCTTTTTAACCAACCGATGTATTTTAGAAACTCCAGCTTCCCCGCATGCCTTAATTAGTTCAGTAGGAATATTATCGGTTCCCGCTGCTTTATAAGATTTTAATTTTCCGATAGCTACTTCAACTTCCTCTTTACTTGGTCCTTCTATTAACAGTTCGGCCCTCTGGTGCTCAGAAGGAGGACACAGATCATGATTTCCCGTATTTAAAATATTGTCAAAGTGGTCCGGTCCTTAAACTTATTCAATATGTCAACCGGATCGGTCAGAATATTGTTATTATCATCCCTAATTTCAGACGTTACGGGCCCTACATATTTACGTGATCTGTTTATACCTTTGTACATGTCTCTTACGTTATTTTCGATTCTATTAATTTCTATTTCAATTATTTTATTTTTAAGATACTCCCTTTTTTTTATTTTTGAGCAATTTTGTCGTTTTATTCTTTGAGGTTCGGAAGTATTCCAGATTGTCTTCGCTAGGATTATTTAGAGCTTTTAATTTAGCGGCTTTTCTTTTTTCGCACATGTTTAAGCAATCTTCATCAAACCACGGATTGTTATTCTTATTTTCCTATTTTCCAAGACACGAATTACCGACCGCTTTAATATTATCCCTGATCTCTACCCATAACTTGTCAATATCCTCATGGTCCTCGTCAGGAAGCTCTAAAGCTTCAAACCTATTCTTAACATCTAGCTCGAATTGGGTTCTAATTGATGGATTTTTTAATTTTTCTAAATTAAAATTCTCAAAATCGAAACGGTTTTCTTTTCTCTTTTTTATATTAAGTTTTTGTCGAAGTTTCGCGATTACCAATTCATGATCCGACCCACATTCTGCTCCGCGATAAGACCGTACATTAATTATACTGCTTTGCCAGCTATGTTGTATCAAGACATGAGCGATTTGATTTCGTGTTTGCGAATCCGGTGATGTCCAAGTATATTTATGAATATCCTTATGTTTAAACGTCGTACTTTTAATTATCAGGTTTTTCGAGATGGCAAAGTTTATCAGACAGATCCCATTATCATTACTATATTCGTGCAAACTTTCTTTACCAATCGTCGGAATATAAACTTCTTCCCTTCCTACCTTTGCGTTCGCGTCACCTACAATTATTTTCATATAGTTTCGCGGTAGTTTATCATAAACCCATTCGAGTTTATCGTAAAATTCACTTTTGACTTCATCGTCACTATCTTCGGTCGGACAAAGTATGTTTATTAATGCGATTTTAAACCAACGTTCCTGAAATATAGCTACCGAAATTCTATCACTAAAGAATTGTACGTCCCTGAAAGCGGATAGTAATCTACTCCTAATTAGAAAACCCGGTACATAAACAATGATTCCCGCTTCCTCCGTACCAAATAGTGTACTTCCCTTCCCTCATCGAGCCCTCCCTTGGCCAGCGAACCTCTTGCAGAGCCACGGTATCCAAATTGTACTCATTTACCTCATTCGCGGCCGATTTTAGCCCCCTGCTGTGTTTATACTCCTTACGTTCCACGTACCAATATTTAAATCCCTATATTTCAACTTGCGCCATGAATCCCCTAAAGCAGTCCCCATCCGGAGACCCGAACGGGGGACTAGTTTACCTCCGGATAATGAGCGTTTTACCTTAGGGAGATCCATGACTATTTGTGGTATTTGGTGAACTAAAGATATGTGAGTAGGGCGTTCAATCCTACGTCACACCCTCCAGCAAGTCTGGTGGGCCCCTACCTCCAGCAAGTCTGGTGGTCCCCTCCCTCCAGCAAGTTTGGAGGGCCCCTCTCATTGTTGGTCAGCGAGTCCATCTGACTTAGCCGGGAGGAACTTCCAAGGAATTTCCACCGACCATCCCCACATCCGCCACCCGTGGGACGCTCCCCATACGCGGTAATGAGCCCGTGCGAGGTTATATAATTTTCATCTTTCATCTTATATATATATATATATATATATATATATATATATATATATATATATATATATATATATATATAAGATGAAAGATGAAAACTTTGAAAGTATCGATAAAATTAAGCCATTCACGATGTTTTAGGCGGATGTTAATAATTTGCTAATAAAAAGAGGTCTGTACCACGGACTGCATCTTCCCGCACAATTTCTAAAAATTTCATAATTATCGAAATAATGGTATTGTTTTCCTAACGAAGGTAATCATCGTCATCGCTTTATTGAAAATATGTGTCAAACGTTCCATCCTGACTTACTTTTTGTCTTTGTAAATAACAATCTTGCCAGTCACACCTATTTTAAGTTTTTAAGCTGGTATGTTTTCGGTAGCTATAAGGCTCGTTCCCCTGTTTATTTATGCCTTGCAGTTATTTAACACTTAAAGCAGAGCAGTTATAACACACCACCCAACTGGCAAGGGGAAAATTGAAATATTAGATTAACGATTAGACTTCTTTAAAGTTTTCTGTCTTGCCGGCAGGGATATACCAATCGAAAATGGCCCCCTAAGTTCAAATTTGCCACGCATCAAAGTTCCACCCCTTCTCAAATTATCTTCTTTCTTTCATCCGGTGTTCCAACGTGGGATACCTCTTCAGGTCAGAGCAGAGCTCCACACATCTCTATCCTCCCAGTCACCCTCCTGTAAACCTCGGCCGGCCATCTCTTCTCGGACTCCTTCCATCCACGTGGTTCTCGGTCGTCCTCGCCTACGCTTTCCGGGTGGCTGCCAGTCCAGGACTCTGTTCGGCCAATGCTCTTCCGACATTCTCCTGCAGTGCCCATACCACCTCAATCGCCGTTTCCCGATCCTCTCAGAGACGGTCTCCTCTACACCTATTCTCTGTCTCACCACTTCATTTCGGACTCTGTCCAGCCTCGTTAACTGTAGACACCTTCTCCAGAAATCCATTTCTACAGTCCGAATTTTGGCATACAAGCCAGCATTCATCGACCATGCCTCATATCCGTAGGTTAATATGGACTCAACAATAGCCGTGAAGATACGCCGCTTGTTAGCGTTTGAAATAGTGTCAAATTATCTTAATATAAAAAAAAAGATACTCTGAAAAAAAACATTCATAAATCTTATGCTCATGGGTGTCCCCAAAGGCTGGCTACAACTTGGAGAGAAGCTAAAAAGTAGTATTTTGGGTTGTCCAGGGGGGAGCGGTGTTTATTTGAAAATTGAAATAGTTATGTTTCCTTGGTATGATAAACAAAATGGAGAGGCCAGTTCTTTTAGTCTTTGTAGTGCAGTAAACTTCGCCATTTGTCACTTTAATCTATAAATACAATTGATCTATTATCGCTTTACTTTTCAAGTGGTTTACCGTAATAGATGAAATTCAACTGAAGCGTTTGTGTATGACCACCACTTTAGATTAAAAAATAATTTGTAACCGACATTTATTTGGAACTGGATTACGCGTACCTGTTACTGTAAAATACCCGTTTTTGTCATCTCTTCTTATAAGGTTACATGCGCAGAAATGGAATTTGTTTTAATACATATTGACCAATAGTGTGTGAGGGCGGAGGGCCAGTCGTCGAGTGAATAATGGCGACGTTTAAGCAGTGCAGTCATGTATTTAAATTCGATATCGAATCTCGTATTTTTAGTGATTGTTGATACGAACATGTTTAACTTTTTGTTTAAAAAAATGTTCTCGTGATGTAGTCTTTTAATTAAACAATGTCTTCCCATTATTGTATCCTATCGTCAGTCGCTGTACTTGTTTATCTTAGGGCTTCTGTCGAAGGTACTGTTTTAGCTCCTATTTTGAAAGAATTGTACATTGGATAGTGTATTGTATTACCATTTTCCTTGTTTTACATGAAATTAAACCATTAATGTACTACTGGCTGCTTACTTCATTAAATGTGGAAAACTAGACAATTACTTATACACGATTGCAATTTATTAAAAATGTTTCATTTAACTTCAATTAGGGTGTTATTTAAAATACATTGCATTATGCTGCCTTATTTGATTTAGTTGTTTGTTTTGTTAGTTCAGTTAATTTGAAAATAAGATCCATTTGCAAGAAACATATCAGTCAAGGATACTTTTGTTAGCATTATTTTGCCCTAAAATTTATGCCCAAAACAATGATGTACATTAAAAATTTTTCTGATAATATTTTGTAATTTATGTATGTTCTTTAATTTATTTGGTAATCAAATGATACAGTTAAAAATTTCAATTGAAGGTCATTTGTCATCCTAGTTCTGATTTTTTTTTCTTAAAACGTTTCTTACGATTCCAATGCTGAAATCTATTTTCTAAAGTTGAGGATTTTTTATATTTAGGGTTATTGTGCCACTGTGACATTTGCTCTTCTGAGTCCAATAAGACGTGTTCTACGGATGGTTATTGCTTTACATCCACCGAACTTGTTAAGAGCACTGGAGAGATAAAATATGCATTTAGGTGAGTTATTCATATTTTTCTTTCTTATCACTTGTTCAAAATTTATTATTGAATACCTTAGTTTCAATACCTTAGTATCTTAATATTATCATTGGTTCTTTATGTAGGTTTGTTCATTTAATTTGTTTCTACTGTTACCTATTAAAATTGTATTCAATCTTTTAGTTTGTTGATAAACTCTAAATGTCTTTAATTATGAGGATTTTGAGCTTCTGAAATCTTGTTAAAATGATACTGATAATTAATAAAAGTAATTATAATTTTTAAATAAAATTTAATTTATAAATTAAAAATTCACAATTTCTTTCTTCTTCATCATTGTCACAAATCGTTGGTTTTTCATAAGCATTTTAACTAAAAAGTTATTTTTAATTAAGTTCTGTTTTTCTTATTCTCTTTAAAAAAAAATAAAACGAAGTTGACTTCTACATTTACCTTAATAGTTCATTTGGAACTTAATTATTATCAATTGATCAAGCAAGATTTGTTTTATCTTGTTATTTTCTGTAAGTTCATCGCCAAATATTTAAAGCTAAGTATTTTTGGCTGAGAATGAAATAACATATTTTAAAATGTGATGTAAAAATAATTGCCTAAATATTTTTTTAAATGGTAGGTGCACTTAACATTTATGATGCCTATGTTATTTTCTTACTTAAATATCTCTAAAAAAAGGATATTTTTATTCATAAATTAAACATACTATATTTTTTAATACTTTGTTATTAACAGTCACTGGATCTTGTGATTATTTATAATTAAGTATATTAAAAAAGTAAAATATATATGTTTTTTCTTTGATCTGCTATTGTAACAATGTCATATTTTGCTTTTTTTTTAAATCTAGAAATGTTAAAACTTTTTTTATTGACTTTATAGCATGTATAGCAGTCTTTTATCATTACAATATTATATTTTTCTTCAGAAACATATTATTGTAAAGCAAGAAGTTAATTCTCTCTTAAGTGGTGCAATGTTATTTTTGAAAGTTTCTTATGTACCTAAGTTAAAATGTTTTGTAACTGACAAAGAGCCAATATATTGCCAAATAACTAGTAAATTTAGTATTTAATTGTAATTTCATTTTATGTGATCAATCTTATTATTTTCATAACATCTACGGTTACATTATTGTATCTGTTTCAATTTTTACAGCTCATTATCAGTTGATTTTTTCCTTAAAATCCATATATGACATATATTTATAAAGTTTCTTTTATCACACTTAATGAAGGCCTGTTAACATGAGTAAGGTTTTTGAATCAGAATCTTTATCAAAACATTTTAGTTTAAACATATATCCACCAGGTATGTCGAAGACAAGGGCTTTTCAAATTGCAATGAGGAGGAAGACATTTTCTTCAACCTTTTTCGATATTTCATTCAAAAATAGAGATTCATGGCCAAAACTATTCCCAACTCATGTCGTCATGATCTCTAAATATTATTAAAATTAGATAAACAGTAAAAAGGGTGGAATTTGATATTTTTTAAAAAATGGTTATCAATTATTTCTCAAGGGTGTTTTTATGTCTGTAAAACCAACCTTTGTTTAATAATTCATCAAATGGTCGAACCACCATTTTGAAAGTTATATTCACAATCAATGACAAAAAATAAACTAACAATTCAAAAAGTAATATATCTTTTAAAATTCAACTTATGTTTACAATGTTACATAACACTTCCCCTAACTTATCTTTAAAACTTGAATACGATTATTTTATTTCCACATTTTACTCACAAGAGGAGGTTACAGACATAGGATCATGAATTTCAATGAAACATTTTTAAATGATAATAGATTAAAAAATATTAAACCAGTTTCTTAGGACTCAGAATTTAAATTTGTTTTTAGTGTCCTTTGAAACTCTTATAGTTGAAAGGTTATTGTAATAAAAAAAATACAAATTTTAGCTTAGTTGAATCATCAATTTTTTTTTTTTTTCTGGCACTCACAAAAGCATTCATAACTCCTCAGGGTATTCTTCAAATCCAACATTGCTACAACTGTGAGAAAACTGGATTAGGATTTTTCTAACCCATACCAATAAATTGTAGATTTTACACCTCGTTTTTGCAATTCGATCTGAAAATAACAATAATGCAAATTTTGTATAGTACACAATACACGCATCTAGATTCTAGTAAATGTAGAGAAAATTTAATTTGATATTCGTTTTTTGGACCTTGAAAAACTCTTATGTAAAAATTTGTTTGGGAATTAGTATCCATTTGTTGAACACTTCGGCGTCTGTTGCCAACCTCTTAACTTCATCCAGAGCAAGTCCTATTTTTCTTGCCAGATCCAATGTGAGTTTCTTCCACTTATTTTTTGATCATCCTTAATGTCACTTTTCCTCTGTTTTAACTTAATGACTAAATCACAATATTCGTTTTCTATAATGGTTCATAACCTATCTCTTTTCTTTATTTTTTTATGCTTCATTCCATAAAATATTATCCTACCAAGAGCATTCCTCTTGGATTCCATCTCTGTATCTTGAAAACTACTCCCAGTTTTCTTTGTACTAGATCAGCAGTCAGCTGCATTGTTCTTTGTAGGGATGAAGACTTGTTAATATAATGTAATCTTTGCCTTCATCTCCACTTCTCCTTTCTTGATCATTATATTTTAGAGGCGTTAATACACATTTGTTGCTTTCTATATGAACTTTTTATTGGAATCCAACTGAGACCTCTTTTTTTTTCAAGATCAAAAAACTTCCTCATACTAAAGGACCTTAAAATTATTATTTGGTTAGTTTTTCTTGATTGACTCACAGTCAAACAAATTTTAAAAATATTATTTAATTTACGTATATAGGTAAGTGTATTGCTAGTATTTTGAAAAATACATTTACGCTGTTATTATTATTTTACCCTGAGCTTACAAGCATTAATCTTAAATTTCACACTGTTTTTAGAATAGATTATAGATTGATTCATTATTTGTTATGCTGATATTTTTTCATAATTAGTTAAATTTCTATAGTTAAAATTTTATTTTGTCACTTGCTTTAAATCATTTATTTATTATTATTATGATGTGTCAAAATTAAAAGATTGTGAACATATCATCTTCTGTTGCTGATTTATAAAATGATAAAATAATGCAGTTATTGATGGCAGATGATCTTTTCTTAAAATTAAAATAATAATTATGAATCAACAATATGTTAATAATTGAGAAGATTCTTGTATGTTTATTTGTAATACCCAATCAGGATATTAGTATTAGTAATATTGTCTGTTAAGTATGACAATTTCTGCAAATTTTTTTTTCTTTCTATAGTTCTTATAATGCTTAAAAATATACTAATATAGATTCATTTCAATTGCCAGTTTTCTTTACACTCTATTTTTTATGGATTGCTATCATTTTTTTTTCTCTTCTCTTTAACGCGTTTGCTATTTTTCCTATTTAAATTTCTTTATATATATATATATATATATATATATATATATATATATATAATATATATATATATATATATATATATATATATATATATATATAAATTAAATGAAAAAGAAAATATAAGCTCTATAAATGATAGATTCAATAGTCTGTTTCATTGAAACTCATACTGTAAACTGTTTCATTGAAATTATATTTTTGTCTTCTAAGACAAAAATATAATCAGAAAGATATTAGAAAGGAAATACATATATATATATATATATATATATATATATATATATATATATATATAAAGAGTTTCAATGAAACACTGATATATTCAATGAAATACTGCAAATTGTTTATAGTACTTGTATTTTCTTTTTCATTTAATTTTATATATATATATATATATATATATATATATATATATATATATATATATATATATATATATTGAATACAAATATTAGCGTTGCTTCATCAATTCAGTTGTGTTTTTTTCTGTTTTAATGATATAAGATATACATTTCAACACTTTAAATGCAATTTTAAATCTATGTAAATATCATCTGATTTAATTTTGATCATAATTTTTATTTCATTAATTTTTTATAGACATTACACATTAGTATTAGTTAAAGTTATTATCGTGTGACAGCAACAATTAATTTTTGCTCAAATGATGAAAATTAGTTGTGCAGAATTATATGTAACAGAATAAGATAATGACATTATAGTTAATATATTCGTTAAAATATATTACTGCCATACCTTATAGTATTATATTTTTTTATATGGTTATCTTGGATTGGTTAGATGTTTATACAATTGGTAGCTATTATAATTTGGAGAAAATATAGCATTTTGCCCATATAATTTATCAAAGTATAAATAAAGTGGAAATTATCAGTTTTGATTTATAGAAAAAAAAATTAACACTAGAGAGGAATATAAAATTTAAAATAGAAGTATGGAATGTATTTTTATAATGATGGGAAGGTGCCTGGGAGTGCATCAGTTCTTCCCGCCAGAGGCCCCTGTGGATTGCAGGGCTAAGAAGACTCCAGAGTATGCTAGGGCTTGCTGTAAATCTGAAGATTATTGCAACAGAAGATTATTACAAGACTATTATTATAGTCTTAATTCTACCAAATCCCCAGGTAAAGTCCTTCCCTGATCCCAAGAAACTTTGAAGCTAACTTCTTACTGGTGTTGTTGGTATTTGCTGTTTCAATATTTTTAAGCTATTGTTGAACAAAGATCATTTTTTATATCCTTATATTGATCTGAATTCTTTGATGGTCTAGAAATATAAAATAGATCTCTTTTTTTAAGTTCTTTTATTTATTATCACTTTTAGTTCTCGTCTATTTATGATTTAATATTCCTTAAGAGGCTGAATTAAATTATTTAAAAATTTTATTGAAAGTTCTTTTATAAAAGAATGAACTAAGTACTAAGTATTTCTATCTTAATTTTCTAATTTAATAAAATCTTTATTTAATAGAAGTTTAAAACAATGATTGCTATTATGCTTAACATCATCATGGTGTATTTTGCTTTGTAATAAATTGTTGGGTGAGATATTTAAAAACTTTCTTTATTTCTTTTATTAATTTAAAAAATAAACTTAGTTTTATTTTTTTTTTTTGTTATTGTAAAATTGTAATTCTGCGTGCCTTCTAAATGTAAATATAATTGTTATAAATAAATGACCATGGTACGAGAGATGTTGATTGTAGTTAAAGGGGGGAAGGTGACATTTTTATAAATATTTTAATTCTTCTTTTTTAAATTTTAAATTTATTTTTAAAATATTTTAAATTTCTGTAGGTGATTTTTTGTCCTTAGTAGAGATATGATTAAAAACTCTTGTCACCCTATCTAGTATTTACTAAAGTTCTTGGATTTTTTGTGATTGAGCTTTTTCTCACAAATATTGAACTTGATTACATGTGATTAAGTTAGAAGGCAATATGTCTCAATTTAGAGTATGTCATGAAAATTACTGCATTGAACTTCTAGTATCTGAATTAGATAGCTTGAAGGACAGTAAATGACCTTAGAACGAATGATAGGAAAAGTTGGTGAGGAGAGTTCTGAACATCTCCTACAATTACATTTTAGTTTTTGCTATTTCTTTTATGAAAGAACTCATAAAATTCATATTATGAAAATGTATCCTATTTTAATTGGGAAAATTTTTAATGTTTCTTGCTATTATATTCTGTACGTCTTAAGGGTGATTATAGTTTATTTATTTGAAGAAATATGTCTTATCTGATGTGTTTAAATTTGAATGCCTAATATTAGCAATATAATAAACAACCAATCCTGATATTTACTCATGTGATTTCTGACTTATCGATAAAATAAATTAAGGTGAATACCAACTTCTACCACTTCCTAGAAACCTTTGCTTACATATTACTTTGTATAAACTGGTTTGTTTTTATTTTCATTTACCTTTGTGTGTAGCGTGTTTTGTGTCAAACTCACACACTTACTCTGCTCTCCTAATCCGAATTGGTTTTGTGTTTTGTCTAATGTGAACCATAGGTGCCTGGAGAAGTTAATTACTCATCCTCCTGAGAACCCGATAGTCTGCCATTACAACGGTAAACGTAACGACTCCTTTGTCATAGGCTGTTGTAAGGAGTACGACTACTGTAACAAAGACACCATTCCTTCTCTTCATAAAAGTGATGAGAAGGTAACAGGTAAAGTACAAGGAGTAGTCATACATCCCCTCTCAAAGCACTTTCTCTGCAAGCAGCATGTATTCTAATTCCAGTAGCTATCATTATCTTGCTCTTACACTTTCTATCACTATCTAGTATTTCTTTTTAATATTCTTTCTGCTTTGTATATATTAAGCTATCTTTTTTCTTTTCAGAATTGACATGGAATGTCATCCAACCCATACACATACATCACATATACATTTACTGCTTTTTAAATTTATTTTCAGTAACTTTTTGTTAACAAAACTAGTAATTATGATTGTAACTCTGCCCAATTCTTTTTCAAATTTCAAATCTTAGTTTTGGGCCATATTTGAATTAATGAGATGCCAATTTAGGTGGTGGTAATGTAAATAAATTGACAATATCAGTTTTAAATATTTTTAACATAGATATCGACAATCAGACAATATATATACATGGCCACTGCCCATTCTAAATTTATTTGGATAAAAATGAAAGCAGGTACTTAATTTTAACTGCTTGATCAACAGAGGCTGTTATGTATCCCCCTCCTGATTTAAAAATCTTTTATGGAGAAGATATTCCTGGTAAGAAAGGACTCGTACCTTTATTTTTGCAAAGGTATCTTATCAGTTTGGAAAGAAGATAAGAAACTAGTTGGATTTAAAATTTTATGAATTTAGATCTTATAATGGTTTATTAGTGTGATATCAGGAAGAGCTAATTTTACTTGAAACCTTGAACTAGAACAACAAATTATCGTCCTCATTTGGATCTCTTATGGTAAACAAAATTTAGTTGAGGAGTTGTCAGGTTTGAGATAGACATTATATCAACTTGTAAATTAATTTTGAATAGTCTTAAACTGCTGTTGTTAGAGAGTGTGCTGTTGTTGTTATTTACATCGTTTATTTTACTTTTCTGTTCATTGAAATGGGGAGCTGGGCCGCTGAGGAAGTAGGGCACTTCCTATGCTCCAGGTCCCAGGCTTGAATCTAGTTGTTATTTGTCATTATGCATTATAATTATTTATTCTGTTACATCAGCGATGAATCAACTTTACCCTGGGGTTGATAGGGAGACTCTCCTAGAGAACCCCCTGCCTCTATAAAGTGGCTATTCTTAATTATAAATAATTAAGAGTGATCTTGGTCAAATCACCTCTTTGGACAATTGTTGACCTTAAACTCTCCATTGGTTGTAGTGGTACAGTTTTTTTTCCCACCAAAATATATCATTTGATGCATAATATTGAAGCTATATATATATTTTGTTTAAATAACTCCAATTTTGGGCCAAATCTGAGTAATTTTTACAATTCTATAATTTCTTATAATTTAAATAGATAAAAGGTTTTTGTCTTGACCATTAGATCTAAACCTGTGGATTTAATTATAGTCAGTGGAGTTCTCAATAAAATTATCATGATCCTAAACAAATTTAGGGGCTTAGTTTAGAGGGAATGATGATGAGCTTAGTTTAATTTTGATATGCATTTAATTGTTTTCATTATTTTTGGCTTTATTCCGACCAACAACCTGACGATATCCTCCTGGGTTACTGTGACCAATTATTTACATCTTTTGTTTAATTCTAAATTCTTAAGTGCAACCTATTTTTTTAATTTTTATATGTTTCTTTTAATGGCAGTATCATGTATAAGGTGATGTGTGGTGGGTAAAAAAAGTAGAAGCATGATTTAACTAACTGAAAATTATTTTATGTGACAACTGTAATAGGTGTTATGACAAGGAGAAACATTTCCCACCAGAAAACGACCTCTGGTGTAAATCTAAATTTGGCGAAAGGGAAAATGTAGTTATAAAATGCTGCTTTGAAGACTTTTGTAACAATCGACCAGGTAAGGTGATCATAAGAGGTTATTGAGGGACATTAGTAACACATATAATGGTTATATTTGTTCGGTTCATAATTGATGTCTATGGGTATTGTTGTTCTAAATGTTACAAGTCCAACTATTAACTTTTGTGTTTCTGTTTTTATAAAAATATATTTTTAAACAAGATTAATGTGACAAAGTCTAAGAAGGGAAAATTGTTTTATGTTCCATTTTTATTTGTCTATTAAAAGGGTATTGCATGTTAAAAGGGATACATGTTTGATGTTTCAAATTAACTAAATGTTTTGTATTTAGTTATATTCTGATAATATTAAATCAAATGAAAAGTTAAATTAATCATGTATACAAATGCATCACCTTTTGTTATCTTGGGGTAGTGTGTTATTATTTTTTTTAATTGTCTTTACTTTTTTAATATTGAAGTAAAAGTTATCAACTAAATATTTAATGTGTCCATTCAAACTTAGTTCCTTACCATTTTGAATGCTAAGTCCATTATAAAAATTGTTTCACTTTTATTGGTCCAATTAAGATGTTTCACTTAGTGGACAACTTAAGTAACTTTCAAATGATTATCTGGAATGTTTAAGAGAGGTTAAGTTTTATTTAATCAAAATATTAAAGGAAAATTTACATGTGGAGAACAATGTTTTAAAAAAACAAGGGCAGTAAGGCAAATATAATATATCTTCATTGAACTTGCTCCTATTTACAAAATTGTTACTTTCATTTTCCTTTGTTTTGTAAAGACTTTCACATATGTAGTTTACTATAAATTGTATACTTTTTGAGTTGGGTATTAATAAAATTTGTCATAATTTTATTAGCTTTGAGGATATGACTTGAGGCAAGTTTCATCAAAATTGTTAAACTAAATAAAACTTGAGCTGTTTTGGTGCTATGGTTTATAGAAAAGCACATTGCTTGTCTATTGTGCATTTGGTGCACGATTTGCTACTCAAGTATTTAAGAGTTCAAACCAAACAAACAGAGAAAAAAGTACAAATATTGTCCCGTTCAAGAAATTATCGTGTCATAGATAGACAAACTAATGGCTGAAAATGCATTTTGTGCAGGGGGAAAGGGCTCTGAAATATTAAGATATGTTATAAATTGGACATTAATTTGATATGATTATAATTGGTACTTTCATTAGTACTGATTCTGGAGTTCTACTTCTGTACGGTGGCTGGGCAAAAGATCTCTGTAGAGGATTAAAAATTTGATTGAGACAGCTTTAACAATTGCACCATTCAAATTGTTTTTTTCTCCTCCCAGTTTCTTTCGCTCCATGCTCCTTTTTTTTTTTTTCAAAACTATGACACCCTATCTTGATTGGTGGTACCCAATCTTTGTTACTATTTTATACTGGAAATTCATAATGAAAATTCCTTTACTTCATGTAACGTCACAATTTTAATGTTTTTTTGACAAGGACAGTTTTTGATACAGGCCATAATTATAGCTCTTATTCCGCTTTTATTTAAAACTGAATAGAGAAGCATTGTTAAAGGTTTCTTGTAACCTTAATAAAAAAAACAAAAACATTCAATGAAATCAACATTATCAGCATAAGAATCAAAATAAATAGATGATGCTACTTTTAAGAATGTGTCTGTATCATTAATAAATAATAATAATAAGGTCCTAAAGTTTTGAAAGTTCCGGCATTCTAAGAACAGTGTGATTGATGTTATCTTGTCCTGTCTTTTGATGGCCCAACTAAACTTGGTTCTGTTATAGTGTTACCTAAAGAAGTAGACAAGTTTTAGTTAGATGGTGAGGAAGAGATTCTTAAGGACCTAATATGTAAAATAACTTGCTAATTAATAAATTTTTCATCTCTAAAACTAATAAATCTTAAAACGATAGTCATATGTATGTTCTCTGATGGTTGGTAAATATATGATTCCTGAAGACTTCTCATATGACTGCAATTAGTTAATTTATTAATATTGCAATTAGTTAATTTTTATTAATGATTGATGGACTTGAGGACAGGGGAATAGTAGCCCAGATACTTTAACAGTGATTAGGCAATTGCTGTGTAATAATATGTGAAGGAATAAAAGAGGGTGGGGAGGTATATATAATGTACCTATTGGATAATTTGTATGTTCTTGATTAGTGAGCTCAGAAAGGGGCATAAAATTTGTAAAACAATGGTCTATAAGTAATTTACGTCACTCAGCAGTGCTGACTCCTCTTGGTGTTTGAATACATTTTCGGTGCCATCATTCTCAAGTGGTGTAAATATGCCTGTTTAAAGTTTAGTGTTTTTTTTTTTTTTTTTTTTTTTTTAATTTGTTATTGAGGTAACTTAAATAAATTGTCAGTAAGTCATATCATAATCTAAATTTCTCGAGACGCTAATGAAGTCTATAATATATTTCATTTAATTTATTCGGATGCTTTTAAATTTATGAATCAATACTGTTTGGGCAGATTCCTTAATGTTCTTTATAATACTTAGCAAAAAAAAAAAAAAAAAGAAAAAGAAAATTTAGTTTTTCTAGAGCAGATCACTGTTTAGTAAAGTAGCTACTATTTCTATGTCCTCCTGAGTTCTAATTGGCCCCCGTTCCTGATATATTTACAAAAGAATTTTCAAGGATCATGTATGTTAATTGTACTTGTATCTCATTGTTAGTTAATTAGAGATAGTGATTATTAAACATTTTATTTTAAATCTTTTTTTTTGGGGAGGGGGGAATATCATTTTAGTAGATTTATTTAGTAAAATTAATTTAAATGAGAACACTTAACATCAGTTGGTCTGTTAAACAAGTCTTTATAGAAGCGTAAGTAATAATTTTTAGTTATTTGTTTGATTTTCATTTTGTTTTATATTTTAACTAATAAGAATTTCAATTTTGGTTAGTGTGGTTTAATTTTAAATTGCTAGATCTTGAAGCAGGTGAAATAAGTTATTATTTGTCTCTACTATGACAAGTATGTATATCTAAATTATTATAGTTCTTAACCATGTTTGTGATAATACACTAATTCGCCGCATGAATGTAGTAGTTCATTCTAATATGTAATCAGTTGTTTGTTTCACACCATTAACATATTTTCATCAGGTAGTTTTTACATTATTTAGTGCATGTTGCATGACTGTTATTAACATAATATGTTACTAATTAAATGGTGGAATTTATAAATCTTCTCTATTTAATGACAAGTGTATGATTATTTGTGAATTTATTTTTAACTTCACTATTTGATATTTTCATTTTTAAGGATTTTAGTCTTTAAGTGAAAGGTAGTCCTGGGTTTGTTAACTGGAGGAAACTTAAAATTTGTATGTTTCTATTTTATGTTGCAGTATGTTTTCCTTATGTTGAAAAAAGCTAGGCTTGATTATATTTGTCATTATAAATTTACCAGAATACATAAAGTTTAATTTTCTTATTTTTTGTCATTTTATTAGTTATTATTCTATTAAAAAAATATATATTTTTTAAATGGTATTAATTATAACTAATGGTACTTTCCTAATATTTATTATTCACAAATACACTATGTATGTATACAAATACACTATAATTCTTTAACTATAGTGTATAGCATTATTCACATAGTTTTGTACACTGTTTTAGTGTTAAAATAATGTATAACATTTAGTATTTCTATACTTTTTATTACAGAAATATTTTTCAGTATTAGTCACGCTGAAGAATTAGTTAAATGACTTTAGTGAGCGGTGATAGGTATATGATTATACTAGAGCTGATGAGAGAATTGACTTGCATTGACCTCCCTCTACTCAAAAAGTTACTCCTCCACCATCCATCCATCCTCTGGTCACTTGTCAACTGTTCTAAATTTATGTTTATTGTAGTTATATTGTTTTATCATTAGAGTTATATTACATATTATTTTGAAATGGGATAAGAAGATTTTTTAAAGTCACGATTGAGAGTATTCATTAAAAGATTATGGGACTAAGTTCGAAAAAGAAATGCAAAATATTGCACTATTAACACCATTTTCTCAAGTCGCCCAATGGACCCTTGATGGGCATCATAGCAACGTTTGGCCAACAAAATCCTCTTATTTATCACTGTCTCCATCCGGTTATCACAAGTGATCAACGAGCCCAGGTATGTGAATTCTGATACATGTTCAAAACTCACCGTAGTGGCATGTCCTGGGGTCTCCTGGGTTACCAAGTATTTCGTTTTTTCCTCATTGACAGTCAAGCCAAGTTTCTTCGCTGCAGCCTCCAGGTCCAGAAATGATTGTGCAACTGCTTGCCGAGAACGCCCAATAATGTCTATATTGTCGGCAAAAGCGAGGAGCTAAACAGTCCTATTGAAGATCGTGCCAGATGTCTGTATTTGGGACTGACGAACTGCTTTTTCTGGGGCCAAGAGAAAAAGGAGGCATGCCAGGGCATCACCTTCTCTTACTCGTAGAAAGTTCTTCCTATACATTGCCCTTTATTTTAACAACACACACCACCTCGTCCATTGTTAACTTGGTCAGCGTTATAACCTTGGAGGGGATGTTAAACTGAATGTAATGCATCATACAGCTTTTGATGGTTGATCGTGTCATAGGCTAATTTAAAATCGACGACGAGGTAGTGAGTTTTGAGCTTATATTTCTCTCCCCTTTTCCAGGGTAGTCCACAGACAGAATATCTGGTTGATTGTTGACATTCCTCGTCTGAACCTGCACTAGTAGTGCTCAAGCTCTCACTCTGCAAACAGCAATAGTCTGTGGAACTGGATGTTTGATAAAATTTTATTGGCGCACAAGAGCAGATTAATATCACGATAGTTTTAGAATTTCAATAAGTTTCTCTTCTTGTGGATCGGGCTGATGACTGTCTTTTTCCAGTCTGTAGGCATTTTTTCAACAATAGGTCAGTGCGTCCCATTTTATATATTGGTGGGATTCTATAGGAGAAGACCACTCTTGTCAGTTCTCTTACTGGTTCTGATATAGTAACGCTATCATTGCAAGATTAAAACTTCAACTGGCAGCAGTGCCCATATTCCTAGCTTATCGTATACCAGTCGATTTCTATTGTAGCAGTCAGATTATCTTTATTAAGTATCTAATTATTCATTCCACCTTTTAGCGAATTGATTTCAAATAACCCTTAATATTATTTAAATATATTAGTTAATGTATTCCCTCGATTTATAAGAAAGATGCTGGGATCAAATATCTACATTTATTATTTTATATCTATTGTATATATGTAATAGTCCGATTATCTTAAGTACATCTAATTATTCATTCCAGCTTCAAACAAAATGATTTTAAATAACCCTTAATATTATTGTTTTGGGATAACACAATTCTAGAAAAAGAAAGAAAAAAGTTTTTTTAAAAAATGAAAATTTTTAAGACCATGATTAATGTTAGTGGAAATATATATGAGTGGCTTGACATCTGTCATTTTTAGGAAATGGAGGAAAAGTCAATTTTTGTTTTATAGGTTCAACTCATACTGTTTCTGATGATTCTATTTAAGATTGTTCAAGTTTAATCATTAAAAAAAAATCATTAGAAATATTTAAATTGAAGCTATATAAAATTGGCTTTTTAGGTTCTTTTTAAAAATGGCATGTCCGTCTATGATATGAGAGGCCATTCATATGCAATCTCACATTTAATTATACATTTGCATAAATGTCAATGATTATTCTCCATTGCTATTTATATTTATAGTTTTTTTTTCTAAGGTTCATAGTATAAGATGGTGATTTATTTTTTGTGTTCTAAAAATGTTGTTTTACTAAGATAAGACACAGTTATAGGTTAAGCTGCTCATTCTGTTAGTGATAAAACTCCTCCATCTTGAATGAGCCAAGGGCTATCTTTTTTCAAATGTTCCAAATATGTTTTATATATTTCTTTTTAAGTAACTAGTCTTTTAGTGTTTAATTAATTAAATAAATGTATCTTAATTTACAATCATCTTACTTTAATTTCTTATGGAACTACTTCAATAATTTTTAGTTTATTACATTTGTTAAACTTTTTTGTTTTATGTTGTAGATGGTCAGTAATTTAATCAATATTTGTTTTCTCTCTATTGTATATAAAAATTTTTAGTGACCGTCTTATTTTATTTAACATATACAAAGCGGGACAGACCATAACTAAGGCATCACACTTCTTACTCCCAGAATTATTTATCCCTTGTTTTTTTTTTTTTTTAATTTATTAAATGTGTGTACTTATTTTCATAACTAAAATATTTTCTCTGATTATTCATTCTGTTTCCTTAATTTACTCACTATTTAGTTTAATGTTTTTAAAAAAATAACCAATTAATGACATTATATTGTTAAATATTATTTCATAGAGAAATTATGGGAATCTAGCCGAAGTTTTGAAACATGGGAACTAGCACTTCTGATTGCTGTGCCAATATGTGTGATTACTTTTTTCATTATGATGGGGGTTTTATTTTGGGGCAATCGGAAAAGAGGAAGATACCATTGCCCAGAAGCTCCAGATGGTCCAGAACAACCAATTTTAAATGCAGTTTCACTAAGGGACATGATTGATATGACAACTTCTGGTTCTGGATCAGGTAAGAATTCTTATATATGCACCTTTTACTATAAGTTGTATTAATGCACATCATAGCATACACCAGTAAAAATAAATCAATTAGTATTTGAACTAAATACTTGAGTTTGTTTATTAGTTAAAGCATTATTGAACTCTTATAAATTAATAATTACTATAGGGCTTACCAATACCATCTTTGAAATAAAAAAGTCATTACATTTATATTCTTTACAAAATTCTCCCATCTATGTTTTGTGTCCACCCTTCTGTTGTTAACTATACCTCATAATACTCATAAGAAGCGCCTGAATTTTTGTCTAAAATTACTATAATACTTATTTCTGGGAATATAACCAGGTACTTTAATTTATAATGATTAGACATAATTGTTACCTTAATATTATCAGCCATATTTTACTTATGTTGAAAGAGCAATAATCTCAACACTTACGTAATGGAACATTGTTGAACAGTTGTGCCTAAAACCCTTTTGATGGTAGTTTCCTCCAGGTATTTGGTGATTCGGCTAGTTAAAAAAGAATGAGATATCGATGCTTTTTACTCTTGAAGGAGTTTTTTATTATTCATTGGGCCTTTTTTTCTTAAAGTTGTACTTTAGAAATTCCTACTAGCCTGTTAGTCTAGACTAGTTTGTTATGAATATTGCTTATTTGCAATGCTTTATAAGATTTTAATTTTCCAATGGCTCTTTCTATTTTCTTCGTACTGGATTGTGCTATTTGTGGTTGAGTATTCTATTATGTGTGAGGAGTGGTTTAGATGTCATTCTCAAAGTAGTTTTTAAGTGGTTTCTTAAACTTATTCTATAATTTTATTGCATGAGCTCATATATTGTAATTATCTCTATTTTTAGTCATTTGGGTTCAAAACTTTAAATGTGTTCCATTAATGAAATGAAATGAAAAAAATGTTTTATTATTCTGGGACTGTTGTCCCTTAAGAACAAAATATGAATACAGATTATATGTCTGTGTGGCTACAATTAAATTGTATATTTACAATAAAAGTTGACTTACGATAAAAATACAAAAAGGGAAAGAAAAGAACAAGTAAATTGTACATATGTATGAGAAACTAAAATAACCTTAATAAATTGAGGTAGTCTCTGGTGGTGCTCAGATATTTCTCTTAGATATATTTCACAATCATTCGGATTGAGAAAGGAGTAGGTGCTTAAAGAGGAGAGGTTTTAACGAGGAAAGTGATTGAGCGTGTCGAATATTAGCTGGGATGGAATTCCAGAGGGAGGCGGCTTGTATTACAAAGGATTTGTTAAACGCAGCAGTTCGGTGAGGAGGAGGATAGAGGTTGGAAGTACGAGATCTGGTGGGACGGGATTGGATGGAATATTTGAATTGTAAGCTGTGAAAAATATAGGAGGGTCGATGGGTTCTAATGATTTGGTACAGAAAGGTGGCTAGGAAGTACTGACGGCGATAGGATGGGTAGAGCCACCTCAACTCAGTGTAATACTGGGTAATATGCGTATCCCTTGAGATTCCGAAAACAAATCGTAGTGCGAAATTCATTAGGCGTTTAAGTTTTACCTCGGAATCTCCCGGGAGTCCACCGTACACCATACAGCCATAGTCGAAGTGGGGAAAAACAAGGGAGGAAACTAGGAGTTGACGGGACTTATATGGAAGGAGATATCGTAGACGATTGAACTGTTTTAGGGTGGAGATAGTGCGACGGGAAATTTGGGAGATGTGAGGTTTCCAGGATAGGGATTGATCGAAAGTAACACCTAGGTTTTTAACGGTGGTGTAGAATAAGATAGGTGAGTTGTTCAGGAAGAGATTGGGAGATACCGGGGAGGATTTGAGGAGTTAAGGGGATCCGATCAAGATGGCTTTTGTCTTCTCAGCGTTCAGAGTGAGCCTATTGAGGTTTGCCCAAGCACTTATTCTGTCAATATCTTCCTGAAGTTTTTGAGTGGCATCTGAGATATCTGTCGGATTAAAGGAGAGGTAAATTTGAATGTCGTCGGCATACAAGTGGTAATGACAGTGCAGGATAGAGGATGGGAGGTCATTTATATAGATGGAGAAAAGGGTGGGGGATAAGGATGAGCCTTGTGGGACGCCTCTGGTCAGAGGTAGAGATTCTGATGGTGGGTTATTAGGAATTACAACGTACTGGGAGCGACCGGTTAGGAAGGATTGGAACCAATTAAGGGAACTAGAAGAAAAAGAGATATTTTTAAGTTTTGTTAGGAGGATGTTGTGGTCTACTGAATCAAAAGCTTTGGAGAAGTCTAGGAGAATAAGGATGGTTAGTTTCTGCTGATCTATGGCTTGTAAATGCACTTGTAAATCTGTCTTACACTCGGCACTATTTTAAATAACATTTGTTTATTTATAAATATTTGAGATTTTTCTTTCTTTAACCTTTGTAATTATGCGATAAGTTTTTGGATGTTTTATTTGGAATATTTAATTTATCATTCCTTTTTATCTTACTGGTTTCCTCACACATTGGTCATCATTATCACCATTTTCTTTTATTAATTTTGGTGGTGCCGATATATCTGACAATATGTAAAAGTTTCTGTGATCAAAAATATCCAAAATAAATTTAATTCAAGGGGAGAAAAAAGAAGTATTAATAGAATTGTTATTTCTTAATTGCATAATTTAATCTCTTTCTTATATCCACATGAACTAATTATGAAAAATAGAATTTATAAGAACAATTCTTTCTACTTTTTTTACGATTATGAAACATGAACACGTGTGATTAAAACGCCTTAAGGTTTTTAAAAATATATATATTACATATATACCAAGAGAAAGATGGATCAACAGGAAAATGAAAAATACAACAGTGGGGCATGAATGCATAATGCAAAAATAACATTTTGACGATTGAAATGGCGCCTAAAGTTCTATTTATAATCAATGAATTCTTATAAAAGTAATCTTGTAGTGAATTAGAAGTTGAATATAAAAGAGTAGTCTCAGATTAACGTAGGAGAATATTATATCTGAACATGTAAATTTCAGTTCTTACTGATTTTAATAGAGAAAGGTATGGTATAAACACAGTTGTTAATCAAACTGCGTAAATTTTTCCTTAATTAATTTGTTCTGTTACACCTTACTCATCTTATATCACAGATCTGTATTTTGGGTGCAGGGTGGCCGAATGGGCTAACGTGTGCCCGGCTCGAAGTTATGAGATTTCACACAAGTTTGTGTCCCGCTGCCAGAGGGGATTTAAAATTCCCCGCCCTCTCCCTCCGGCCCGGGAAAATCCTGTATAGCCTAAAAGGCGAGTTAGGGAAGAACAGAAAGAAAAAAATTGTATTTTCACTTTCAATTTATTATTCTGTGTACATAGCTGTAATATAAAAGGAATTATTATTATAAAACTTAAACATCATCAATTTGATTTCAGGTTTGGGAATTGGTGATGTGTATGTATGTTTATGTTTAAAAGTAGTGTTTTCATTATTAGATTTTAAAAAAATAGTAAAGTTTTACCATATCAACTTTTCATTACTCTATTATTGATATTATTTTCTGAAAAAAATATATTTTCATATTTTCTTTCTTTCTATTGAATCGAACCAATTTCTTGAGATATTATTTTCATTTATTCAATTTTTAGGATTACCTCTTCTTGTACAACGAAGTATTGCACGCCAAATTCAGCTGGTCGATACCATCGGAAAAGGAAGGTTTGGTGAGGTATGGAGAGGTAGGTGGAGAGGAGAAAATGTTGCTGTGAAAATATTTTCCTCACGTGAAGAAAGATCATGGTTTAGAGAAGCTGAAATTTATCAAACTGTTATGCTTAGACATGACAATATTCTTGGATTTATAGCTGCGGATAACAAAGGTAATTTATAATTAATCTCAATTATTTATTAATATCGCGATTTAAATAAAATAATAATTCATTGATTTAATAAAGATAAAATTATAGCATTTATTAGTCAAAATGTTTTATAAACTGGTGGTAAAAAAAAAACTGTACCTCTTTACATAGAAACATAGAAAAAAACTTTAAGAAATATTTTTGAGCCTGAAGTAATAACAGGTATATGATAGGGTCAAAGGAGATTACCATACATTAATCGAGGTATAGCCTTTATAGTTTAGATGGATAAGTTCTAGTGTGGATAAGATGTAATCAATTAGCTCAGTGCAGTTTAGCTGGAAGGAAGAGTGGAGTTTGATGGTTGATGATTTGGGATGGAATATGTTTAGGTTCAAGTTCAGATCTCTATGTGTTCTGAAGACCCCGTTTATCGCCTTCCATTTATTTTATATGCAGGGCAATGCTCGGCCACAAATGTACGGGACTACTTAGACGAGATTAGTGTCCGTACCTTGGAGTGGCTAGTACATAGCCCGGACTTCACGGACGGAAATCCTATTAAGCATCTTTAACCACCTTCCATGTGGCTTCCAAGTATGTGAATGGATCAGGTTCAAGATCAGGTTACCAACCTTATTTGCGGTGTGCCTACGAGAGTACAGGCTGTTATTCAAGCAAGAGGAGGCAACACTAGGCACTAGAGACTCTAATTTTATATTTAATAAAGAATTAAGATGAGTTTCATTTTTGTTTAAAAGAGTGTCATTTGCTTTATTTTACATAAAAGATTTTTTTTAAAATGAATTTGTGTTGTTTTTTCCTCCTTTATTTGTGGTCTCTTAGAAACAGAATATATCGCACTATATTAAGTTAAAAAAAACAGCAATATTTTTCTATTGGAAAAGAAATAATGACAAAATTTAAGGCGCGTTTTATGGATACTAGTGTAGTAGATAATTAGTACAGAATTTTTGGAGATTTTTCGATATATCTGTAACCCACGGAAAGAGAGAGAAAAAGCTGTTTGCTCTTGTAATACACTGATCTATCTTCAATTGTTGCTTATATATCGAGGTTAGTGTAAAATCGAGGTGTTCAAATCTTACTGTTGGGAATGATTTTTGATCTATGCAGATTCTGTTATAGGGATGGATTATTCTGGTTCCTTAATGAGATTCTTTGAGAGTCTCAATGTCCTCTTGACTGCTTTGGAGAATAGCTATGTTATCTACATGCTTTAGACTTTTATTATTTATTCTGATATTCACCCTTCCGTTTTCATGTGATGTTCATTTCACTTACTTTTAGGCTTGAACAGTTGATGAGAGACCATCTCCCTGTCTTAAAACTTTTCAAACTTCTAAGGTTTCCGATACTTCACTTTGCTAAATTTCTCCTATTTGTTAGATATAAAAAAAAAATGTCAACATTTTTTAACATAAGAGTTGTGCATTTATTTATACTAAAGTATATCAACCAATTTGCTTCTACAAATAATGGTAATAACCTGGTTATAGATAATGGGACATGGACTCAGCTTTGGCTCATAACAGATTATCATGAGAATGGGTCTCTTTTTGACTACCTGAATCGAACGACCGTTGATGTTCCAGGAATGATAAAAATGGCTCATTCTATTTCAACAGGCCTTGCTCATTTACATATGGAAATAGTTGGAACTCAGGGTAAATTTATTATTACAGAATGCTTGTTTTGTGTGTTTTATTATTATAATTTTTTTTTTACTTTTATAGTCTCATTTTTTCATTGCAGGTTTAAATTAATTATTATTTAGAAATAAGGAAAAATGTTTAAAATTGTCTATTTTTCTTTTTAGTATTTAATTATAATGGAAGAAATTGAGAGATTAATAGCTATTTAAATGTGGAATTTGATGGATTATCTGTTTAAATCTTTGAGCATAGTAGGATTGAATTAACAATCTTATGATTTCACATTGAACATATAATGGTAATAAACAAATGAACAGTGACATTCTAGTGCATAAATGGGTGTAGTCTGGAACATGTTTTGGAGATAATAATTTATAATAATTTAATTTGGCTATTCGCTAACTTATCTCTATCAGCCTTTGTAACTTGTCTTACTGTTGGGTATTATTTTGTGTGTTACTAAACCCCTTCTAGCTGTTTGGCAGTATCTTACTGAATTTGAGAGGTGTCTGCCTAATTTAGAGAACACGAGATTGACCAATGATCTGAGATGACCAGGATAGGGTCAGGGAATATGTTGAAGACATAATTAAATGAGGACTAATCAATATGACTACAATTATGAGATCAACAAGTGACTTCAGACATGTAGGAACTGTAAAATTCTGGTCAAACTGTTTGTTAACTATGAATTAAAATAAGCAACATTTTTAATAAAAAGGCCAAAATTCTCCTGAAATCTTGTGAAGAGCTAATTTAGTTGTGCCCAAGAATAGAAGATCGGCTAAATTGTATCTGAACAAAGTGCTAAGCATTGATTTTAGCTGAAAAATACATCGATGAAGATTCAGTTCATTTTTATGGTAATGTTGAAGATGTGCTGCGAATGTTAGGTGTGAATTCATAAATGTAAACATTAAGATTCTGCACTGGCTGGCGTGAAGCCCAAATTTGAATCCAATCAAGCATTTACCGGACCAGCCATAACACTTGTAATTGTTGTGATGTGTCTTAGACCTAACTAGAACTGAACTGCTGTAGTGCCCTCCATCAGTTTCCACTGGTTTCTAATACCAGTGACGCGGCTGGGAGAGAAGCACTGGGATCTCCTGGAGTCCTGCCTCGGCTTCCGCATTGGGGGACAAAGTATGACTCAGAGTCCCCTGGGTGAAATCAAGGCCTAGAAATAATACTTCCTTATATATTCCTCTGTATTTTTACTAGTTTATATTTTGTACCATTTTATGAAATTTAATTATGTTCTACGATTTATCCTAGGGCTGATATATCATGAAATAAATTTAGAGAATGTAACCATTTATATTGGTAACAAATATGAATATATATAAGGTGCTATATATATATATATATATATATATATATATATATATATATATATATATATATATATATATATATATATATATTTATATAAAGATGTAGAGATGGTTGACCGTTGATATAATATGAGAAGAAGTTGACCGCACCACCCGATCAACTCCTTCTCATATAATATATAAAGGTCAAATTATTAAAAAAACATTGTAATATATATTGTAATATATAAACATTGTATGTGTATGTAATATATAACATTGTAATATATAAATATTATAATACATCAATGCTTTTGGTATTAATGCTAATACTGTCCCGCTCCGTACCTTAACTCCCCCCCCTTCAGTTTACGGATACTCTTCGTAAACTTAGTAAAAAATAAAAAGACATAAAATACAAAAATAAAACACTTATATGTAAAAACGACAAGGTCTTCTTGCCGACACTGTAACAAAGGTACGGAGTGTTCAGTACTTACAACCTAATCCAATGAAACACAAACAAAAATATTCCTTATATAAAAAATAAAAAAAATAACACACTTTTCTCTTCACATTTTTCTCACAAATGAAATCTTCCAATGAAAGACGTATTGCACTGCATTTGCACTTTCCTTTCGATACATACACAAAGTTATGTAAGAACACTATATACAAAAACAAACAAAAATAAAATAAAAGATAATCTCCATACATAACATACAAAAACAAAAAAAATCTTTCCTGAGATGAAGGCACTCCAGTTCTAAGGTTGCTGTGGCTCTGTAATTGGGAATTTTAATTGTTCTATGTGAACCGTCCTTTTTTTTGGTTCGTTAACACTCCCAATCGTCACCACATTATGCTCCCTAATGATTATCACCCTGAATGGACCCTCATATCTCCGCACTTCCTTTCCCCTATTCGAGCCTAATTTGCGATACACAATGGACCCGATTTTCAACTCCCCTGTTACCTCCTTCACTTTCAGATTTTCCCGCACCACTCTTTTGCGCTTTTCTCCCTCTATTTTCTCCTTAACCTTCCCCCAGAGATTGCCCAATTCCATTTTATTACTAATCATTCTTTCCGTAATTTGCTCATCAGCAGCTGTACCTCCACAGTCCCGTTGCCACCCGCATAATCCGAAGAGAATTTCGAATGGAGAGAACCCTGTTGCCGTATGTATGGAATGGTTGTACGCTGCCACCGCCTTCCGCATTGCCATATCTGGTTTCAACCCTTTTTCCACCTGATACACCCTTAGATGGTCCCTGAGAGTACTGTGCAGTCTCTCTATACATCCGCTGCTCTTGGGGTGCCCTGGAGTATTAAGATGCCACTTGACACCTACGTTCTTCATTTCCGCTCTGATCCTGGCATTGTCGAACTCTCTGCCCTCGTCGGATGTTATGCGGTCGGGTACTCCGTAACACTGGAACCACGTCTGGAGGGCTCCTAAGACTGCCTCTGCTGATCGCTCCTGTACCAGGTACGCCATTGCTGCTTTGCTAAAGAGGTCTATGAGCGTGACCCACTTATACCCTCCACATGAACGTATCCACTTGCAAGTCGCTTAGTGGTGCATCGACTGTGGGTGTCTCCTCTTGCATCTTAAGTTATATATATATATATATATTTACATTAATAAATATTCCACCTTAAAGAATATGAAAAAAATTATAGTTTTTGAAAATAATTAGTTAATTGTTGTTTGTTTCATTTGTATTTATAAAATACAAAATAAATTTAATAGACTTATCAAAATAAGTACTGTCAACTGTGGTAACTTAAGACCAAAACAAAGAAATAAGATTTCATGTACTAAAAACAAAAAGTGATTGTTGCTTAGTTATTGCTACCTGTCAGCATTTGTAATAAATAACTTTAATTACTCAGTTTGTTTATGATATACAGCTCATAAAATCTTTTTCCATATTTTGGGCAAAACTTAGCTCAGTTTATGAAAAATTGAAGAAGAAAAAACTGATAAAAATATCATGTTTTACTTTTAGTGCTTATTTGCATAACAAATATAGTCTATATATTGAGAGAGAAATAGCTGATACAAAATTAAAATTAATGTAGTGTTCTTTTTGTGTTTTTATCTTCTGTAGGTAAGCCAGCTATAGCTCATCGAGATCTAAAATCAAAGAATATCCTCGTGAAGGGCAATGGTACATGTGCTATTGGTGACCTAGGTTTAGCCGTCAGGCACGATGTTGCCACTGACACTGTAGATATTCCGCTTAACAACAGAGTTGGAACTAAACGTTACATGGCACCAGAAGTAAATAATTTTCATTTCTAAATTATTTTCCAAGTGTGTAAATTTGTAATTTAATTTTTAGATGAAATGGAGAAATTGTAACTTATACTTATAATTCCTGTTTCAAATTGATTTTTATTTATTTATTTTATTGTTTAAAGATATTTATTTCTCAGATAAATATTTAAATTTAAATTAAATATTGTAGAAGATAGTAATTTTGACTATCTTTAATTAGCTTATGACATGTGCATTTTTCCAGAACAGCAAATGGCTTTAATTTTACATGTAACTTAAGAAATGCAGTCTGGTATTTCTTAGATATTCTTAGGCAGCTGGAAATAAAAAAGTTACTATAATAAAGTTGATACCAGACAAGCTGTGAATTCAAAGGAGTTAACTGTATTTCATTGTAATAAAACAATGTCTGAAAAAATAACATTTGGCTCAGAGTTGTTCAACAAATGGTCTCATCTATAGCGATATGGAAACTTAGGTTACAGTATAGAAGGTAGGGTTGAGGAGGGACAAAAATTTTCTTTGAATTAAAAAGAAAAAAAAGAAATAATCCTATCTATCTTCTGTGTTTCGAGTAACATTATCAAGCTATACTTTTTTTGTTTTTTCTATGATCGTTGTTCAAAATCGATCAATCATTACATAAGTTGTAACAACGACTAACTTGTATTATATTAACTTTACAAGAAGCACAAAAGAACTGCTTTATTTCATTGTTAATGATGCGCTTCTTATAACCTATTGTATATTTCAATCTTAAAAGGTCTTGCAAAACGTTTTTTTAACTAATGCATTTATGATAAATAAATTGAGTAAACTACTTTACTCTCTAACTTACTTTTAATTATTTATACCATAGGTAGGGAATCTTTTTATCATTAGAGACCACAGTAAGGTTTGGCCATGTTAATATAGCACGCAATAGTTTTTTATATTTTGTTGTTTCTATTTTTATTTATACCTATATTCAACTTAATTCTATTAATTTTTGTTACCTAATTAATTAAATATTAATTAATTCTAGCTCTAGGTTAATAAATATGGGCACAAACGTTTAGAGGCTACAGCTACATTAGAGAGGCCATATACGGCCTATTGGCCACAGGTTCCACACCTGTAGTTTATATAATTAAATTTTAAAACTATTAATGACCTCAGGGTTTTGAAATTGTAAATAAATAAATTTGTAGCTGATTATTTAATTTTTATTTGTCTAAATATTTTTTTAGGTTTTGGATGAATCCATGAATATGAGTCATTTCGACTCTTTTAAACGAGCCGATGTTTACGCCTTTGGTCTGATTTTATGGGAAATTGGACGAAGGTGCAACGTAGGAGGAATTTATGATGAATATCAGCTTCCTTTCTTTGATATGGTTCCTTCTGATCCAACTATAGAAGAAATGAAGAGGGTTGTATGTTTGGATCGATTGAGGCCATCTATTCCTAACCGCTGGCATTCTTGTCCGGTAATATTTTTTTTTTTACCTGTTTAGTTGTTTATATATTTTATTTTCAAGTGAAGTGATCAATGTCCAATACTTTCTCAAAATACTCAGTTTCAACTTTGATCATGTAAATGTCAGCAAAAAGTATATTAGTATCTTAAATTATAAACATAATTTAACAATAAAATTGAAATAATTTCTTTCTGCCTTTTTTTAAAATATGTATTCTTTTTATTTAAAAACAAAATTACTGATGTCCCTCAATAAAAAAATATATTTATCTATTAAACGACAAATGTAATTTATTATTTATTTAAGCATTTGCAATTGTAATAAATTTCATTCTCAAAATGAAATATCAACATTTTTTTTTTTTTTTGCGATGAAGAAAACTTCTCATGATAATAAATTTAGGTTTGATACATTTGTTTTTATTAAAGTACTAAAAAAATCAAAGCTAAGAATATTATTCTAATTATTCAAAACCATTTATTATTTTTTAGGCATTGCAAACTATTTCTAATGTGATGAAAGAGTGTTGGTATCATAATGCTGCCGCACGCCTCACCGCGCTCAGGATAAAGAAGACTTTAGCAAATTTAGCTGCCTCTGACATCCTAAAAATGTAAATTTACTACCTCAAATGAAAAATGTAAATAGTTATATGCCCCAATTTTTATAAGTGAATTTCTTATTTAATTAAAAAAAAATATTTTCCGGTTTTGGAAGTGTATTAATGTGTCATGTGATTACATTTGTTTAACCCTAAGGCTATCTTAAATATGAAAAAAAAAATATATGACCCCCCTTCTTCCTATAATGAAGATAACAAAACTAATTTAAAGTTAGATATATTTTTACCATTGTTCAAATGTTGTGTTAAAATCTTTAAATATTTTTATTTAACAATAGATATTCTCTTTTATTTACACACTAATGTAAACTAAGGAGTTATGTAAATGCCTTATAATGTAAGAAATATGTGAATATACGCTGTAAAAAATATGTATAAATACACATTTTTATTTGAATTAATGAATAACAGTAACATTTGGGCTAATATAGATGGTTAAAATTTCGAAGAGGACAAAAACACATTCTTAGAAGTATTTTTATCGATTCAGTGTCAATAGATTACTATTATTAATTTAGCATATATTATATTACTTTGCTTATGTAAATAAAAGTTTATATTAATTTATAAATGAACAGGATGTTACATGTCAAATATTTTCATAAATTCTATAAGAATTTATTTATAAACATGAATTCCTAATTTTTGTTATTCTCCAAGAGACATTCGTTATTTTATATTAATTTGATATTATATGATTTATATATATAGGGTGTATGTGCGTGCGTGCGTGTGTATATTTGTTACATAATATCATTATGTATATTATTACAAATCTTGTTAAGTAACCAATCATTGTTTATTAGTGTTATTTTTATGTTATTAGGTGCTGCTGTTTGTGTGTTAATGTAAATATAATAATTATATTTCTGTTAACACACTATTTATATATTGTCAATTTGACTTGTAGCATTTTACATATGTAAGATGACAGGAATATAAAATAAGTTAATTGTTATAAGTTATGTATGACCTACCATGTTTTAAAGTTTTTTTTCCCTCACATTATGTGGGTAAATTGAATTTTTATTTTCTGTGATATTTGTAATTTTAAAGAAATAGTTATTTTCTTTATTTTTTATGGCCTATTTATTGTTATTTTTATTTGTTTGTTAATAAATGGTTATAATATAAGTTTTTGAAATCTTATCAATACAAAATTTATTTCTACAATTGGCCATAATATATTTGACATTTCCCTTTTAGTCTGTTTTGTATACTTCAATGTTGTTCTGCTATAAAATGTAACAAGCATGGGTACGTTCTACAGAGACGAAGGCTTATTAACATAATCTGAACGTTATTATTGTTTTAAAATAAATAAGATTTATGATGGCCAACATAAAGTACCCTAACAATTATATTTCTAATAGCCTCATTAAACTCTTGAATATCATTTGTTTATAAAAATATTGAACAGTGTTATTTTTATTTAAGTCATTCAAACATTCAAGTTTCACTACCAAAGATCATTGAAATTAAGGTTATATCATGCCAACAAGTTTGAAACTTATTGGTTTTTCACAAAACATTTGACTTCAAATTAATTTAAGCGTTTATTGATCCTCTAAAAAAAATAATGTATATTTTCTCTATGGACATTAAATATAATTTGAGTACTTAATCATTAATTATATTAAAAAAATATTTGAATCATCTTTTTATTATTTTATCCTAAAAAAAAATTGTCTACTTTAGTTACTAAGACATATGTCAGTTACTTATTCTTGTATGTTAACGCTGTATTCATGCTTAAAAGCTGATACCAAAAGCATTTTTTTTCTCTAAAAATTATGAAAAATATTATCACCTAGATCTAATTTTTTTAATCAAGCACCTATATCTTTTTTTTTTCATACCATTTTTCTGTGTTCAATTTGATACATGTACCTGTTGTATGTATGATTCAGTTTTATAAAGGAAAATAGTATGTGTGGGATTAGTTATATAATGATTCAGTACGTCTGTTCAAAAACAATTGTAACAAAAAGTTTTGATCTGAATTTATGTATTTTTTATGTTGTTTTTATCAGATTTGCTAACATATCGAATGAATTCATTTTATTATGAAACCCTTAGATTCTTGATTTCATTTCGTCTGAACTGTTTCCCTTATAACTATTTAATTACTTTGATTAACAGTAAATAAGTTGAAACAGGCTGAAAGTGAGATATTAATTATTTCAGTTGACATATTTGTATTTGTATTATTTTTTAACACATTGTTAAAGAAGCTTTAGAATAAATTATATTGAACGAATGGGAACATATATTTAGCTTGCAATGTTGCATATTCCGAAGTGCCAAAAGTATAATGTATTCCTAAATGACAGATGTCTTAAATATTGAATTTGTTGCTTTAAATCATGAATAATGTTTTCCATAAAAAAATTGTTAATATTATGTAAAACAGCTATTTTATAAAATTTTATTTCAAAGATGTTTTTTTTTTTTTTCTCCCTTTTCAACCTTTTTTATTTCTGATAAAAAATAATGTTAAATTTTCTCAATTAATTACAATGATAGTTCTTAAAAAAAGAATTATATATATATATATATATATATATATATATATATATATATATATATATATATATATATATATATATATATATAAGTAGATTAAATGGAAATTACCATTGTTTTTCAACTACACGCTGAATTTCCAGATATAACACCCAAAATCAGTATATCTTGTATACTCCATAGTACTTTGATAAATTATTAATTGCCGTTGGTTGTATGATGGTCAATCCTGTTTCTGCAGTGCACCTCTGCTATAGACATACGATGTTACCTTCTAACTTTCTTAAAATCCATCACTCCTGAGAGCCAGATTAGGGATTTATACTACATATAGTTATAATTATAATCAAGAATAACTCACTAGAATATACATCAGTACTATTGAAGCATTGTTATTCACATGTATCTTCATAGCCTATTGTTGGATAGTGGGAGATTGCCAATTTCGAGAAGTGTACTTGATCTAACTTAAAATTTTTAGAAATGAGTAGATAGAAAATTTGATGCACTTTGGGACAGCTGGTAAAATTTAGTTTGTGGTGATTTGGTGGTGGAGACAGTGTGTTGGTTCAGCCAGCAAAACATGTAAGTGTAGGCATGTACTCAGTCTACTACAGTGCTGACATATGGTGTCAACTTTTTGATTGATTGGCCATCTATGGTTGTCCCTTGTTACTTGTTTGCTCTAAAGCCACCTCAAAACTGTTAAATTTTCTTATTTTATTAGCAATATTTTAGAAGTTTAATTTTGTTGTTTTAGTGATAGATTAATTTATTAATAGGTAGTTTTATTGGACATTTATACATTTTAGTGTTTAATGTGATAGGTTTGGTTCCATCTTCACATACTTTATTAGTTTCTTTCATCTTCACATATTTTATTAGTGATATTTTGTTTAAAAGTTCAATTGTGTTGTTTTAGTAGTATATTTAGTTTATTAATCAGTAGTTTTTATTTAATAGTTATACATATTAGTATTTAAAGTGATAAGTTTGGTTTAATGCTTCTTATTTATAAGTAATTTATGAATTTTCCTTTTTAGTTCAGTGGTAATGAAAGAAAAAATGGAAATCAATGTTGAAACTTGGTTATATAAAGATATTGTCTTTAGTTCGAGGCTACTAGCTAACACAATTTTTATCTTGAAGTTAGTAGTTTCTAGTATAAACTTGAAATTTGGTTTTGCTTTATAGTTGTTACTTTAACCATTAAAATATGAGTAGAGTTGATGATCCTTAGCTTTATTGAGATCTCGAGTAACTAAAAGTAGTTTTCTCTTGTGCCAGAATAAGTGATATGGTACTCATCATGATTGATTTTTAAGAAATAGATTGTTGTGGTGCAAAAGTTCTGAAATTAAATATTATTTTCATTAGTTTTTTATAATTGAAATTCTAAAACTGTTAATGTTTATTCATTGGTTCTATTATCATTTATGGACCATCAACTATAATCAATTAAAATATGATTTAAGGATCATCAACTACATTCAGATTTTTAATATTGAAAGTAACAACAAAAATAAAGCAAAACCAAATTTCAATTTCATACTTGAAACCACTGACTTCAAAATAAAAATTTTATTACCTAGTAGCCTCAAATTATAAAAATTATCTTCTATAACCAAGTTTCAAATTTAATTTCCATCTTTTTCTTTCATAACCACTGAATCACAAAGGAAAATCAATAAAATAAAGTAAACAATTAAAGGATTAAGTCATTTTCGAAATCTATATGAGCCAAATCAATAAAGTAAGAGGTGATTTAAGATTTTTCATGAAAAAAATGAGTTCTGTTGAGGCAGAACACATAATTAATTGTCACAATATTAAAGATGGTATTCTTAAGAGGTTTATTGTATTTAGACTTAAGATAAATTCAATTAGTTAAAAAAAAATCCCTCATATGTCTGTTTTTTTGCCGTAAATGTATATATGCAGCATTTATAAATTTAATTTCCTTTATAAATAAATAAATATTGTCTGTTTTACGTTTTTTTTTATATTCCTTTTCTGATTAAAAATGTTTTCTTTTTCAAGATAAATTGGATCAATTGATAATTTATTGTATTTTATCCTTACAGTTTTATATTTCACTATTAGTTTTTTTTTTAAATTAGTGTATCCTGTGTGATAAAATGATAAAATTGAAAATATATTATAGCCAGCAATCTCTGATTTCTAAAAAAAGTAATGAAAAATAAATAAAATAAGGGAAAGCTTAGATTCTGGACTAATGGAAAATTCAGGTGTGAAAACATTATTACAATTTATCATATTATGATTATTAATCCACTTCATTGATAACAGGTCTACTGATCTTGACTAGTAAATCGAAATTTTCAAATTATACAAAAACTAAGTTATACCACTCCAAAACAAAGTTTCTCCTACCACCAACAGGCTTAAAATTAAAATTAACAATATTTTTCTACTTCAGATGCAATATACAATATCTACATTATGATAAGAGACAAACCATTTCATAAAAAATATTTTATTATCAATGATCAGAAATGATTCTATTGATCGAGGATCAAATTTTGAATTATTTAAATTTGTAATAATAGTGGATTTATAATAATTAGTGTTGCTAAAAATCGCTCTTGGTCGTGCACTTTGCAAGACCAAGACTAAGGCCGCCTAACTTTTGCAAATCCAGGACTCTTAAAAAAAACAATACTTTTTGTAAATAAAAATTAAGGCAAAATAGTCACCAAAACTTGACAATTTTTGTTACTACTTATAAATAATTGATATAACCAATATCCTTTAGAATTTAACTCTTCTAATTTTTCATTGGGGCTTATTTAGGTTTCCCATGTCTGAAAAATTACAGTAAGATCTCAATAATAATAAGGTAAGAGGTAATTGCAAGACTTGTGCATGACCAAGACCAAGATTGAGTGTGCAAGACCAAGACTCCTCATGGTCTCTCATTTGGGCAACACTAGTTGGGGTGTTCAGTCACAAGTAACAAAGTAAAAATAAATAAATTATATTTATTAATTTTACATTAAATAATTTACATTTATTTAAAGTTTTATTTTTTTCAAAGGAGGAGAATATTAAGAGAGAGAGAGAGAGAGAGAAACACTTTATTTTCATAAAAATATAAAATATAAAAGATTGCTGCCCAATTATATTGGGTTGCTATATACACAGCATACTCTTTAATCCAATAAATAAATGAAGTTATATATAAATATAAAGAAGTGTTAGTTTATATTAGTAAAATATATAAATATACACATTTTTTTGTCTTCCTTTCATTGTTAATGCTTTTTTTTTTTGCTTTTTTTGTAACATTTAATTTCCCTTTCTCTCACTTCTCTCTCTTTATTTCTATTGTTTTCAATTTTTCACTAAATAAATAAATACATAAATTAAAACGCTCAGTTTAGCCATGCAGGTGGTGGTGAATGATTCCCAGGGAGTCAAGGATTATATTTTCAGCCAACCTCCCTACATCCTTAATGTCTACACCTAGTTCCTGGAGGAAGCTCCTTGTTCTTTTTGGAATTGTTCCGGGAGACCCAAACCAGAGGCCTCTCACGGTGAACTCTCTCTCACTCCTCTCACTCCGAAGGTCTCACGGAATTTCTCTTTTAGGAAAGGGATACATTTATCATACTGTTCTTCTTTTCCCTTTCCACTTCACCCGCCTGTCATCGAGGTCATTGCTCTCAAAGTGGACAGTTGGACCCAAGATCAGCACTGTCCTTCCTGTCTTGGGAAATGCGACGATAGCCTTGTATGTCGTAGAGTCTTCACTATCGATGGAATATACCTCGTCAAAGCAGGTGAATTTCCTTTCCCTAAGGAGCCTCATCAACTCGAACTTGACCCGGTGGTGACGACGTGTTATGAGGAGGGAGTAGTTGGGGCATTTTCCCAGCACATGGGCTGGTGTTTCAGACTCTCTGCCGCATTTACAGAGGAACTTCTCTGACCTGTCCGCTGAAACCTGGGACTCCACGCAGGGGTACATAATTAACGTTTAGTTTTAGGGCATTCGACCATTCATACCCAGAAAGTAGTTGCTTTTCGTAGATACAGCTATTCGCTTTCGGGGTCTCTTTATAATAACAAACACCAATACCCTGCCACCTGCAGTTGGCCCATTCATCAAATACATTTTCTCGTAACGACTGCCGTAGAGCTTTCACATTTCGATGACCCTGATCAACCCTTCGGGGGGGCTTCAGCCGGAAGAATTTTTTTTTCATATATATAACGATAATTAATTTGAAACAAAAGAAGAAAGAAACTAATTACCCATACGACATGGTTTCGTAGTGATTCTTGAAGTCCTATTAAATGTAATTACACGAAAAACATTAGTTTAACAGATAGTTCTTAATATTTTTTCTACAAAACATGGTTATATTTTACAATTTTTTTTTTTTTGGGGGGGGGGGCTTCAGCCCGAAAGCTCCTCCATAGATCCGCCTGTGTCGAGAGGCGCAGTTTGGGGAGGGTAAGTAAGACCCGGAAACAGATATTGATTGACAAAAAGAGTTTCATGGTTGCTGACTTAGAATTGAGTTTCTAGTTTCCCAATGAAAGTTATTTTCACTCAGTTTTTGTTTACTGTTTTAATAATTATATAAATTTGTTTGTGAAATTTTCCAATGAGATAATTAGATGAATAAAATGGAAATCGCAATATGCCGAAGTTTATTGAAACATATTTTAAAAAAAGTTAAATTAAAGAAAACAAAATATTGTTCTTTGATGTTATTATTTATTTCGCGTGATATAAGTAACTCATAGGCTTCATTCAACTTGCCTAACTTGAATTCTATCTTCCAAACAATTCTAGTTAATAGTTTGTTGCTATACTTACTTTTTAAATTGAAATAACAAAGAGAGACTATTCAAATATTAGTTTCCCGCCGACTCTATATGATCGGTATGGTCACACTGTATTATTATGCCACTGTAGTGCCTACTACCGTGGAGCAATTTGAGAACCCTAGTTGACTACACTCGTTGTGCATCTAGGTTTTATTTCTTTCCACTGTATTTTTGAAATTGTTGTTTTTTGAAGCTTTTTTTTTGCTTGAGCCTGAAGAACTGTGAACATGAGATTACCTTCAGGTGTGTATACACACTAATTAATACATTCTTAAGTGTTTAATATTGGAGTAATCATATTATCGTAAGTACTTTGTTTCATAACCTTAAATTGTAAATTTGCACATGTCTGGGTAACTTTGGGACAGTCCCTGTGTTCTGCATATTATATTTTGTTTTAATTCTATTGGTTCATTTTTCAGGAATTTATTGGACAACGTCTAGAAATTTTAAAAGAGCTTTTGGCACTAGGCCATACAAAAACACACTCAAGAAAATTTACAGGAAGCCTTACTAGCAATAAGAAATAAAACACTATCGATCCGAAACACTAGCGGATCCAGGATTCAATTTTTTTTTTTGGGAGGGGGGACTTCAGCCCGAAAGCTTTTTTTTCATAAAAATAACGATAATTACTTTGGAAAAACTAACTACCTATATGAAATGGTGTTTAAGTGATTTCTCAATTCCTTTTAAATGTTATGACACGAACAATAATACTTTAAGAGGTATTTTTAAAATTAAAAGCTTCAGCGTGAAAGCCCCCCCCCCACCGTAAATCCGCCTGTGATCCGAAATGCCACTTCCAAGTACGAAATACCGAAAAATACACTGCATCTGAAATCCCAAGCAGTGTTGCGCGCACTCTGACAAATCCTGGTACTTCCAACTTCGTACATCCGCGTATGGTTGCTCATTGAAAATTCGTACTATTCTAGGCCCAATGTTATTGTTTTTTAAAAAGTAAAATTAGATCAGAGCTTAGCTTATTACGTATATTCATATATTTTAAAGTCTTTTTACATTTTTTTTTTTTAAGTTAATGGGTCAAGAAGTAAAATAAGGTTAATTAAAGGCACGAAATTGAATATATAAAGAAGTGCATATATTTTTAGAAACTATTATCAACTTTCTATAAAAATTAAATTAGAAAAAAAAATTAAAATTAAATTATTTAATGGATAAAATATTCCTATAATTATTAAAAATATATGAAAAAAACATTATTATGATTTCATCGAAGTTCGAAACTAGGTAAAATATAATTTAAATTAATAAATAATAACTTTTTATTATTAAATTTTTATTTTTATTTTATTTGGATCCATTTAAATTAATTATGTAACAATCGTAGTTTTACAAAAATAGGATATGCTTTCTTATATTTTTATTTGGTCCAACTTAAATTTTTAGAGCAGCTGTTTGGTTGGCCCAGAAATACCCCAAACTACATAGTCCGTCTCGAAACAGGCAGAGAACCATTATTAAGTATGAAACTGATAAAAAAAGATGATAAATCTATGGACAAAGCTCGAGTTCATGCCAGAAGAGCGACTCCCAAAACTTTGTTTTAATAGACTTAAATCATTAGACAAGGATAAGCCTGGCATAGACTTCAATTGGGTGTCTCAATTTAGAGGAAAAACCGAGCTTAATGCCTTTGCAGAAGAGCTTTCTGTTCACCACACAAACAGACTTCTTCGAAACAAATACGACATCCTGGAAAAAGCACACAACCATTATTTCTCAGCCGACATACAAAGAACTTTAACGTCAACTAAATACCCTTTATACAGAATGTTATGCAGTTACAATGCTCCCGATCCCGAAGCATACCTTACATTCAAAGTCCATATAAAGAAATTGAGATGTGTTAGTCAACCAAGAGTTGCAAAACCAGAACATATCAGAATCTATGGAAAAAACACAACTTTTTCGATTGAGTCTCAAGAAACTTGTATATCATGCAGTCAATTTATCTACAATAGTCTACCTCACATCACTAGCGGATCCAGGATTTAATTTTGGGGGGGGGGAGGGCTTCAGCCCGAAAGATTTTTTTCATATACATATAACGATAATTAATTTGAAAAAAAAAAAAAAGAAGAAAGAAATTAACTACCAATATGAAATGGTGTTTATATAGTTATATAAGATATAGATAGTTTTTAATATTTTTTTCTATAAAACATGGTTATATTTTACCATTTTGGGGAGGGGGGCTTCAGCCCGAAATCCCCCCCCCCGTAGATCCGCCTGTGCCTCACATTCTCCTTCACTGCCCAGCACACGGCCCGATCTACGGGGGAGGAGGGCTTTCGGGCTGAAGCTCCTCCCAAAATGGTAAAATATAACCATGTTTTATGAAAAAAAATATTTAAAAATTATCTCTTAAAGTATTATTGTTCGTGTAATTACATTTAAAAGGACTTAAGGAAACACTTAAACACCATTTCATGTAGATAGCTATTTTCTTTCTTTCTTTCCAAAGTAAATATCGCCATTTTCATGAAAAAAAAAGCTTTCGGGCTGAAGCCCCTCCCAAAATTAAATCCTGGATCCGCTAGTGGCCCAGCATACAATGACTATAGACAAAAATTCCTTCATAACTTCATCTCAGAATCTTCTGATAACCACAACATCCAAACCATATTGAATATCGATAAGTTAAATAAAGTTTGCTAATAAATGATGGGAATACACAAGGTGCATACACAAAATTATTGAACATAGCCCATGTTCAATTAAGTGTTTGTTTTTAGTTTATCTTAAAAGTAATATTTTGTTTATATATATATATATATATATATATATATATATATATATATAAATATTTTTATTTTTTATTGTTTCTATAATAGTAACAGGTTCATATAACTAATATTATGCAGTAACTTTTTTTATGTTTTTAATTTTTATTGTTATTCATGTTTTGTAAAATCCATTCTAAATGTAAAATATTGTAAATTTTATTTATATTTAAATGATATGTATGTAACTTGTAAAACCACTTTATTCTACAATAGCCAAGCTAGGCTCTATTTGTATGGGAAAAACACCCAAAAACAAATAAAATTTCTATATTCTATATTTTATTTTATACTCGAAGCTAAAAACAATTTTTTTTTTTTTTTTATAATGATGGTAACAATTTCTTTTTTAATTTAGTTTTCTCGAAAAAAAAAGTATATACAATCATGGTTTCATGAACGAAATAATAATCATACCCTAATTAAAGAAGATATAATTGCAATTCATTTGTCTTTAAAACAACAGAAGTTTAGTATTACATATTAATATAAATAATAACACAGTAAAATTAATTCTAAAACAAATCTAAACTTCATTCATAAAAATATAACTTTGCATTTTTCAGCAAAAATTAGGTAGGAGGAACGAAGACTAATGGTACGATGGTGGTCGATCCTCGTACCTCGTACAAATACGAGAATCCTCTTATAAACGGCAACACCGATCAGAAGGAAAACTTCGTAGGTCGGACTACATTGTTTTCCGACACTTGTATTGTGTGTAAATCACAAGGAAATTAAATGACATTTTTTTACTAAATGTAAACTTTAAAATTTTTTTCTAATTTTGAAAAGAAAAGTATTTAAAATCCACCGAATAAAGCCAATGCCATTGTTTAAAATACTATTTCATTGTACTTGTGTGAAATATGAAAATATTTCATGGTTATGTTTATAACCTTACATACATTGGGCGCACCAGATTTTTTAAAAGTAGGTTTATGTAAAATATAAACAAAATAAAATAAAAAGATGGAATAATAATGTATTACACATAATCTGTTGAAAATAACATTTTATTTTCTACAATGAATATTTGTTTTATTTGTTTTTTCTATCTAAAATAACCTACTATAATATTTTAATTAGCTATGCTGAAAAATATATAAAATTTAGAACCATTAGTTATTTTGTTTTTATCTTATAGTCCAATTCTATGATTCCTGGAGGTTTCATGTCTTCTACAATCCAGAGTGATCCATTTTTTCCCGTCTGCAAAGCATGAATGGTACATTCAGCAACAAAGGAGGGGCTGCAACAAATATTTTATTGCTATGTACAAATAAAAAACGTTAAAATGGTAATAACAGTAATTTTCCATTTTGTGTCCTTCTAAATGTAAACACTCAAAATAATACTTTATCTTTGAAGATGAGCGGTGACGTTATACTATAGTGATATGCAGTTTTAAAATTTTAAACTCTATTCTGTTTTAAAATTCAAGTGACGGGCATAATTCTTGTAGGCGTTTATTTGATGATGGTTGTTGATAACTATTTGGTTCATTAGCGGATCCAGCCTGAGGGGAGGGGGGAGAGAGCCTCCCCATGGAAGTTGCAAACAAAATCCTAGAGTTCCAAAAAGTATAGTTAAAGAAAAGAGAAATATAGGAAAATCTCATCCTCATCGACAAATTTTCTAATATATAATATAAAAAATAATTATCTTCTGCTTGGATGGTGGAAAAAAAGTTCCAAAAACATCTATTTAAAGAAAAGAGAAATATAGGAATAATTCATCCTCTAAGACTAATTTTATAATGGGACATAAAAAAAATTATTGTCGTGACGATTTTTATTAATGTTACGGTTAGTCAAATCACCCACGTCACATCACCAGGCTGTGGATCAACTTTGGAGCTCGGGGAGATTTTATGAAACAAAGAATAGAACGTGAGAGCAACAGTTGGCTCGTGACTCCGAACTGAGTCTCCCAGGTGAAATACATGATGGAGGAAATTAATCTAAAAAAACAAACTATATTTATTCTTTCGAACAATCTTTTATTCGAGCACAAGAAAACACGGTTTATTTCTCGGACCCAGTTTTTTTTATTCAGTTCCAATAGATCTGGACGAATTGCAATCTCCAACACAGACGGACCTACGGAAGGGGGAGAGAGAGGGCTTTCGGGCTGAAGCCTCCCCCATAATTATAAAATGTAACCATGTTTTATGGTAAACAGTATTAAAAAATAAACTCTTATAGTATTATTGTTCGTGTAATTACATTTAATAAAACTTGAGGAATCACTTTAAAGCCATTTCATATAGATAGTTGGTATCTTTCTTTTTTTTTCCAAAATAATTATCGTTATATTTATGAAAAAAAGCTGAAGCTCTTCCCCCTCACCACCCCCAAAAAAATTAAATCCTAGATCCGCAAGTGACCTCCAGTAACTATAGTTTCCTTGAAGAATTCATAAAATTGATCACGATAATAATTTGTAAATTGCTCATTAGAAAGTTTCGTTATTTTCTTAAAATATCTGCTGTTCGGAACTGTCTCATGAAGGAAGATATTAATTATTTGGTCTCTGATATGATCGGAATCGGAATTTACTCTGAGTTTTGTTTTTCTTAGAGAACTCATTTTCAAGCTGCAGGGCCATCCATTTATAGTAATCTGTCTCAGATTTTGACAACGTTGGTAAAAGTTAGCATTTATTTACCTTAAATTATTAACTTTAGGTACTCGTTCGACGCACAATTTAACGTTCTTTAATTTTTAAAAGAGTACGTTTTTCGCTTCGATGCTCTGTTTAGTAGATGAAAAAAAGATCAGATAAATCTATTTTTTTTTTTTTGCTGTGAAAAGTTTTCTATTGGTGACTCGTGTTAGTAATTTTGTTATTTACCCACATACAGGATGTTCCGTAGGCAGAGAGAAATATTTAAAGGAGTGATTGCAGAACTCAAGAGATTCAAAAAAGTTTTTATAAACAATGGTTCGATTTTCAGCAGAAAAGTAAGAAATTAAAGTTTTATGTTTTTTTAAGGAAGCCACGTTTTTTGTTGAATACGAAGTGATAGCTAAAAAAAATATTTAATTTAAGTAATTAATCCTCCCCCAACGTTAAATCCTGGGTTCGCTATTGATGGTTTGTGATGCATTTATGACATAGACTAAAACTTTTTGAAATGCGTGATTAGAAAAACAAACTTGTACTTTTATAAGATTTTAATAAATACTCAATGTGGGTTGGAAGCCTAAAATATTTTTATTATATAAGAGTTTTATATGAGTCATCTTTAAGCTGTAAAGTAAGCTGCGCTGAAAAAAAAAAATCGTTATATATGTTGAAATGGACCTATTAAATACATTTTATGCAATTATTCGAGTTCAAATTGTTTCTAATCACTCACGGAGTCTCACTGAATTATTGGAGTGACCTGAATAAAAAATCGGTCTAGCAGTTCGGTACGGAGGAGGGTCCGTTTGAAGAAACTGACAGATTCAACAGATGTTGTACAATCATTTATTATTTTGAGGTCATATTGCTTCAAAACACTGACGAAATCACACACGAAAAATCGCTACATACTACAAGTAGTCATAATTAAATATACAACTCTGCTTTGGCTTTGGCGTAGACAGATAAGAAGCTAAAACTTTTATTTCCTGCCACCAAACATACTTAACAATTCCTACCACTAGAACGGCGAAGTACTAAGAGGTTTATCTTTATTAAAATATATGAATGAAAAGAGCCAGAATCCATAGAAAGAAGCGTTTCGTATCACTGTGCACTATCGCCAGAAGGGATTAAACAGGATGAACTCAGATATTTCCATTTGATTCGATCGAAAAAATAATTATTTTCTACTCATCGTATCAATTGTCACATTATAAGGATTTTGACGAAACAGTTATTTAGGTATAATGTATTCCAACTTTGTTCTAACCTCGATTCCACTTGCATCTCTTAAAAAAATTATAATAGCCCTGTTAAGGACTTGAAATTAATCAGCCATTGGTGGATGTCAAAGATCTACGGTCTATGGTCTGAAGCCACCCCTTCCCCCTTCCTCCAAAATGGTAAAATATAACCATGTTTTATGGTAAATAATATAAAAAAAAATTATATCTTAAAGTATTATTGTTAGTGTAATTACAATTAATAGGACTCTAAGAATCAAATAAGCACCATTTCATATAGGTCGTTAGTATTATTCTTCTTTTTCCAAAGTAATTATCGTTATACATATATAAAGCCTCCCCCCCAAAATTAAATCCTGGATCCGCTAGTGGTATCAAGTGTCACATTATAAGGATTTTAACGAAACAGTTATTTAGGTATAATGTATCTCAAATTTGTCCTAACCTCAATTCAACTTGCAGCTCTTAAAAAAATGATAATAGCCCTGCTAGGGATATGAAATTAAACAACCATTGGTGAATGTGCAGAGGTATAAAAATCGCGATAAGCTAAAATCTCGCCCCGATAACCCACGTTAATCCTACAACTGGAATCTGAGATATACGCGGAAATGTGCACCATATAAGAAAATGAATATTTACTGTTCAAATTTAGGAAAGTCAGATTGAATGATGAAAAATATATAACATTTAAAATATAAATAACAACATTTATTCATACCTTTGCATTTTTCCTAGATAAGGTTTTAGTTCATCTCTATAACTTGCCATTTCTGGAAAAATATACCTCTGTTCAGTATGTTGTAATATTGGAGTGTCTGTCAAACCAGGAAGAATAGCCATCACGTTTATACCATATTTCTCAAAATACTCTTTTGACTGAAACATATAACTTTTGAGTAGAGTGTTTTTCCCAAAAAGTAATAAAATAATAATTATTAAAATTAAAATTATTATAAAATATCTAATATTCTGAAAATATATTTGTTTGTTCTCGCTTTAAAACGTTTAATTATAGGTTAATGTCTCTGGAGAAAGTTAAAATTTAATGACCATCACAGACGCCGGTACAACAAGGAACAAGACAATCCTTCTAGTATTTTATGAAGGGAATTAATAATTCGAAGTCATTTAGATACTTAGAAATGACTCACAAAGAAGTTCGATAAGCCATCATAAGTCATCATATATCATAGGTAATAAACTGATGACTCTTTAATCGCCTTCTAAACTTTGCCAAGGATCTCCAAACATCGGCTCGCGAAAGATTCCTTTTAGTACATTTTAGAATCTATTTAAAAAAATATGAACTTTAATAAAGCGCCCAAACATGAGATTACTATAACATTTATTACATGGGTTATTTCTATTAGAAAACTGATTTCTCAACAGAAGTGTCATTTATAGAACAAGATTTGTTTTCACCACAAGCCATGACTTGAAAGATCTCAAGCAGGAATGAGTGGAGGTTCCAATGTCGCCTGCGGGCCAAAATGTTTGGAGACCCCTCAGTCAGTTATTTGGTTGTTTGAACTGGAAAGAAATTGCTCAAGAATTTTTCTCGACGGTTCTACATGTGTTTTGGAGTGACGCATCAAAAAGTCGACTGGATTCGGATATGGCTTCACCAAATAAAAATTAAAATTTCAGAGGTTGTTTCAGTTTTTCTCTTATAAATCCGAAACAGCGTATACTTGAATAAAAAAACACCTGTATCAAAAAGAAAGCTGATAACATTTCCTGAATAGTGACTAGAACAGCTCGCTATCTTTTTCCGTTTGGCCACTTGAACGCATTAAAAATTGACTACGTCAAAATCATCAAATTAGTCCAGTCCAATGGTGGTTAGATGGTGAAAAAATTCAAACAGTCATTTACTTTTAGGTTTTTATGTATTTTGCGATGCTGAATTTGAATTTGATGTTCCCGAACGAAATTTTATATATGCAAAAAAAAAAAAACAGCGAAATTTCATAACTTTTTTTATTTTTTCAGACATGATTCCGAAATTTTGCATTTTATCGAAATTATTCCTATGTGAAAAGTTGAAGAAGTTAAAATTTACTATCAATTTTAGACATTGCTTTTTGATGTAGGTCCAACAGGTGAGGAGTTAAAGCACGTTGACCGGTTTCTTATGTACCAAAAAAATATCTGTTTTCTTCAGTTTTTCCCCCAAAACTCATAATCAATGGATCTCTCGGAGAAATTCAATATAGTCAACTTGAAAGAGCATTAAATTTCCTATTTCCCTCTTGTAGACACGTTAATATGTGAGATGGTTTAGTGCCTGTTAAAGTGCACGGAATCGAAGCCTTATTTCACTCGTAGTATCTGGCACACTTAACTTGAGCGCTTCTTATCTTTTCAGGGCTTTTGAGCCGACTAATTTAACTATGTTTACGACAGAACTAGAATGTATAAACAACTTACATAACATTTATATGTTGTTGGCATGAGGGACATCAACCACAGTCGGATCTACGAGGGGGAAGGGGAGCTTTCGGAGTGAAGCTCCCCTCCCCCCCAAAATGGTAAAACATAACCATGTTTTACAGAAAAAAATATTAAAACTATCTCGTAAAGTATTCTTGTTAGTGTAATTACATTTAATAGGACTTCAAGAACCATTTAAACACCATTTCATATAGGTAGTTAATTTCTTTCTTTTTTTTCTAATTAATTATTGTTATACGTATATGAAAAAAAATCTATCGGGCTGAAGCTCCCCCCCCCCAAAAAAAAAATTAAATATGGATCCGCTAGTGACATCAACATCCAAACCAATATTCAAAAATGCCTACATACGCTTAAAAGTCTTAGCGGTGGAACGACATTTCGCCTACTCGCACATTACGACTCGACATAAGTTTGAATTACATTTAAAATGCTTCAAAATTCTTATCGAGCTTAGGTATAATAATTATTATACGCAAAAGTTGAAAAACCATTAGAGTGCTCGAATTTTGAAGCGCATTTCGGTCCTTAATTTTTTTTTGTTATTATGAATATTGATGTCCCTCATGCCAATAGAACATGTAAACGCTATGTAATTTGTTTATGCATTCTAGCTCTGTCATTCAGCAAACAGTCAACATACCCTATCTCCTCAACCATCAGTCCTACATCAAAAACCTATTTATAAATTTGATAGTACATTAGTTTACTTACATTAGTTTATAATATTAATTTTTGATTTTGGCATCGTCAACCTTTGGGGAGCTCTAGCGGTCAAACGAAAAAAGATAGCGAGCTGTTCAAGTTATTTTTCAGGAAATTCTATCAGCTTTATTTTTGATGCCGTAGATTTTTCTCTAAGATGCATTGTTTCAGACTTATAAGCGAAAAACTGAAGAAACAGTTTCCGAAATTTTATGTTCTTTAGCCGTTCTTATATGGTGAAGCCATATCCGAATCTAGTCGACAATTTTAAGACATAGCACCCCATGAAACATATAGAATAGTCGATAAAAAATCTTCAGCAATTTTTTTCTTGATCAACGACTTTTTTTCACCAAATGACTGGACTGCTTGGTTTAAATAATACTTCTTAAGTACCGGTGCCTAAGATGACTGATGACGAAATAGAAACTTATGTGAAGAGTATGTAGTTATGAATGAAATATCTAATAATGATTTTTAATATAAAGTTTAAATGTTCGAACTCTATTTTTCCAAAGTGCTATAAAGTAAGTATTATATTAAGGATCTTTTTAATAATTTACTTACCCCGAGGCAAATCGTCAGATTAGTTACGGCAGCTTTCGTCATTCCGTAAATCGGCATAAGTGGATAAGGCTTCAGTGCGAGTGTAGACGAAATATTAATAATAGTTCCTCCTTTATTTATTAACTGCAATCCTAAAATGCATCCCCAAACTGTTCCTTTCTTGAACAGAAATAGAAAATTTACATTATTTATTCTGTATATTTCATGCAACTGTAGTTGTAATAATAATAAGAAAAATCAACTTGTCCATGCAATAGGCCTGAGAATTCCGTTAAGTAAGGTGGACAGGTAAATTAACGTTTTGACGTGACACAATCCTATTGGAAGGAACGCATAACTGGCGAAATTGTTAGCTGGGTCTTTCTGGTTTCCTAATAGCCAGGGCCCAAAAATCTTCCTCATCGCAGGCCAAGGTTTGGTTGTAAATTACCAAAGTGTATGTTATTCTGAGTAAAAAGAACCTTGTCTGCCGTTCCAGAGCTGCTTCTTTAAAAAATAGCGACTGATTTAAAGAATATTAGGCCAGTAATTTAAGGATCTAAACGGGAAATCCATTACCAAAAATGTGAGGAAAGTTTGTATTTTTTATATTTGTATATATATATATAATATGTATAATAGTGTTTCAACCGCCTCCCGCAGTGCCACATCCAACGCCCTGAAGACGACCTGCAAAGTGGGTCGAAACGTCGGCAAAAATTAAAATTATTTATATATTTTAATTTTTTTTATTTTTTTTGACCGCACCCTCGACTAATTTCTTCTCATATAATATGTAGGGATATATAAAAAACAAAATTGATAATGCGAGCCACCATGGAAAACTTTTCCAAGTTACAGGGCCGTTTTTAGTAATTTGTCTCAGATTTTGACAAATTTGGTAAAAATTAGTGTTGATTGACCGAGGTTTTATATCTTACCACGTAACCAAGTTATTAAGTTTATGTACATTTTCGAAGCATAAATTAACGTTCTTTAATTTATTATAGAGTACATTTTTCGCTTTAATGCATCTTTTAGGAATTATAGGTGAAAAAACAAAACAATATCGAAAATATCTGACTTTTTTGGTTGTAAAAATTTCTCCCTTGATGGCCTGCGTTAGCAATTTTGTTTTTTACATATCTATACATATTATATATATACAAAGATTTTTCTTTTCATATACGCATAGCAATAATTAATGAGAAAAAAAAAGAAAGAAATTAAGTACCTATATATACAAGTTAAAAAAATAAAAACTTTTCTCACATTTTTCGCAATGGATTTCCCGTTTCGATACTCAAATTTCTGGTCTAATATTCTTTAAATCAGTCCTCATTTTTTAATTATATGCGGTTCTGGAACGGCAGACAAGATTCGTTTTATTCAGAATACCATTCACTTTGGTAATTCACCATCAAATAATCGCCTGCGATGAGGTAGATTTTTGGGTCATGGTTCCATGGCTATAATCATTACAATTAATGCCTCTAAGGGCTTAGGGAAACCGATGGTTCGATGGCGATCTCACAATTCGCTGTTTACGCACTTCAGCCTCATATTGTTGCCTACTGTTTACATTAAACCAAAATATAACATTTTCTGATTTCTGGTTTATCCTTCAGGTATATTTCATAATAAAGAAGGTTAGATGCATAACTAAGCAGCAATCTTTTAGGTTTCTAGAATTGAGTATTTTTTCAGTTGGGAAATTTATCCAATTTATTATAAGGTTGGTAATGAAAACTTCCATTATTATACTTAGATGTTTTATTTCACATAATTTTCTTGCTGACGTTTCGGAGTTGCATCCCTATCTCAGAGATTCTTTTCTTGCATTATAATTCGTTTTCTCTTTCATATCAGTGTTCTATTTGTCAGATTTATGATTTAGAATTTCTTAATACCTATTGCTCGGTTTTACACTTTACTTAACCAACAATTTGTAAGCTTCCACAGCTATTAAAATTAGAATATTTTTCTTAGAAAGTTGTATTATAAAAAGTATATTAACAATTAATATATAAAATGAAAACCTGATATCCTGCCGCATAATGAGCTCTGTAAATTTAATTTTCATTCCAACAAATGTTCTTTATCACAAAAACATCATTCTTGTTTTTTTAAGACTCGTATACAAGATGATATTTCATTACTGAAGGAAGATACATTACCGATCATGCATTTCAGGGTAAACAATAAAATATTCATTAGAAATAAAAACTGAATCCAATATTAGATCATGAGTTTGTTTTATCAAAATAAAATAAAATAAATTAAATTCCTGCAATTCACAAATGCACTTGAATGGAAAGAAATATAAAATAAAATGATATTTTAAGGGATCTAGTCAGTCTCTCATTACTTACACAATTAATGTCAACTTCTCTCTCCCAAAATTCAATACTGTCATCTGCCACGCCAGCGTTATTGATTAATATATCGATTGATTTGTAAAGGTCTATTATTTTATTTAAACAATCTGAAATCATACAATAATGAATCTTTCAAATAAATCATTAAAACTACAGATGCTAACATTAATCTAATACGTACTTGCATTTTGCATTTTTATTTTACAATTTTTCGTAGTCATATTTATCATTTCATTGTTTTCAATGGAAATACATGTTTTCAGGTCTCCCGAGTCTAAATGATCTTTAATACCACATAGGTCTTATCCTCATTGATGTTGGCTAACAAGTCTTAAATCCCTAATCTTCAAATTTTCTTCCTCTAAAGTTCCTTAGATTTCTTTTGTTTTTCTAAAATAATTAACTGCCTTTTGTTTTCATAAGTAATAAAAAAGGCTCCATATAAACTAAGAAAGAATTTGACAATTGATTAAAGGAGGAAAAGAAAAAAATATTTTAGGTTGAAAATGAATTTCCGGCAATAATAACTAGAATGTAGAATGTAAAAAACTCGTTGCTAAATTTGGATTTACAAGGGAAAAAATAATTTATACACATTAAAAAAATTGATATTTAGTTTCTATTAATATTGACTAAGTAATACGTCTCTTATTTATTTATGTATTAAATATACACGCGTGCTTTCAAATCTCACTTTGTATTTAGAGTTCAGAGACTGAAGTTATGTAGTTCAAATTGATGGAGTTTTTTTTTTTTTTTACTATTGTCGATATAACTAGGGTTTGTGTTATTTTGCTGGTCAGAATTTTCGCATTGATAAATATAACTGAAATTCACAAATGTGTTCTGTAAGGTTTATCTCCATTAAAAACGCACTTCAAAAACATGTAAAAGTCCAATGTGGCCAAATAATAATGTCTGTTCAAAGTAGAGAGGTAAGTGAAAGTTATGTAATGCGCGCACCAGATTTTTTATAACAAAATACATAGGCCTAAAACCAGGGTGGATTAAGAAAAGTCCACGGTGGTAAAAAGTTCGGGAACTAGCAGAAAAAAAAAATTGTCAAATTATAAGTGTAAATTTAAAACTTAACGATTTGTTCAATCATTTTAAGACAATTTTTTAACCTAAGTCTTTAAGTTAAATATTTTAAAACAGAATACCCTTTTGGAATGCAGTCAATAAATGTGTATTTTATTATAACAATAAAACTTAAAACTAAAATTGATAAATTTAAATATATTTATAATCATATTAATTTAAAGATGCCTATGAAATTTTAAATATATTGAAATAAACTAAAGTCAATTCTACTCTATTGGTTTAATTTGATATCATGAATAGAAGACAAATGGATTTGAATCTAAAGCTGCGTTTAGACATTTCACAAACTATGGCAAACACAATTATCTAACTTAACTAAGAGCGACATTTGTGCTTAGCCTTTTTTTATTTATTTCTCTTGTTACCGATAGCAGATGGAAAACTTTAGAAACAAATGCGAGTGCGCATTGGGAAGCAGCCATTTAGATATTTATTTTTCCCATAGTTTCTGAAATGCCTAAAGGCACTTTAAGATGTTAGTATTCACAGATCTGATATGTAGTCAACACAATTATCTATACCTTTAAACTGGATTTTGTCGGAAACGTCAACTGGAAAAAAACAACAATCGTCTTTTGAATATTTGGTTCTTAATTGATCCACAGTATTTCTTCCTAGTTCTATATTTATATCGCATAAAGCAACCTGGACAAAAATTATTATTACGCTTAAAAAATAAAACTTTAAAATGTATGTTTTATATAATATCTTAGTCCTTTTGATAAAATACTTTGACGTTATTTTCTAATAATTTCCTACAAATTTCTAGACCTATTCCCTGGGCACCGCCCGTCACTACAGCGATTTTTCCTTTCAACATGTTGAAAAGCTGTTACAACATAACTGGTTTATTTTTCAGAATAATAAACGCTTAAAACCCTTTAGATAAATGAATATATTCATTACTCCATTAGTTATGCCGTTATCTTATTTTTTTTACACCCTTGAGTTGGTTTATCTTTGTATGCCATATCCATTAACACACAAACAATTGTGCTTAATTTTTTTCTCATACCCTACTGAAACCAGTGACGTGCCCTAGGCCTATTAGGCCCGGAGCCACAATGGCTAACAGGCCCAAGAAAAACAAAATTATAGATGAATATATATACAAATCAAGTTTTCATACACGGACTAATAGGAAATAAAAAATCTGGTGTGCGCATCACACGACTTTCACTTACCACCATCTTCCTAGCAGAAATAAGTATTTTCAGACAAAGAGGTAGTGAAAGTAAAAATTATAGATGCTATATTTATTTATTTTCCACTGTAGGTATTTTTATTTATTTAATTACCCTTATGTATACAAATTTTAATTTTTATATCACTGTAATCTATACAATTAAATATTAAATAATACCAACGATAGGACATAGGAAAACAACGTATGTTTATGTAGATAATATTGGCCGTATTATATTAAGCTATGTTATGTATGAAAGCCTGTTCTAATCTTTGGAGCGCGCTCGTATTCCTTTGCTTCCGCCATTACGAGTATCCGTTATAATCTCTAATTTTTCCTTTAGTCAATTATCAAATTCTTTCATATTTTATATTTAACAATTTTTTATATAAAAAACTAATATGAAATGGTTAATTATTTCAAATAAAAAAAAAATTAAAAGGTACTTTAAAGGAAGCTAATATTGGAAATTAGCCGTTTAAGCCCTGTTAAAGAACAATGAAAATAAAACCTACATTATATTAAAAACTGCTTAACACCTATATTATATACAAACCTTAAATGTGCAATTTCAATTTCATATGACTTTTAGTTTTATGAGCTAGACTCGTCGCTTACATACACACATTATTTGGACTCAGCAGACTTCAAAACACGCATTTCCGTTGAAATTTTTAACGATCGCAATACTCTTCCTGACAATTACATATTGAATAGTGAAAATATAATATGGAGGAAATAACTGTTTTTATTGATTTTTACTTTCACTTACCTAAACACGAAATATATAGTAAGGGACAGTATTGCGGTCGTGAAAATTTTGGAATCTGAGTTTTCAACGGAAATACATGTTTTGAGGTCTCCTGAGTCCAAATAACCACGTCCCGCAAAGTTATTTGGCCTCATCATAGATGATGATATACAATTATACTTTCATCAGTGGTCTGTTCTATGGTTTCCTCTTGTTCCCTGGTTTGAAACTTTTCATTTCGAAAATTCATAACCCCGTTGAAATGTATCCTCCTCAAAAAGTGAAAACTCCGTCAAAATGAAACCCTCTTTTGGGCACCTCTGGTAAAATCCTAACATTATCCACTTACAATTAGTATGACAACTTTTCTTTTTAAACAATCTATCGATGGTACGTATTGAAAATCTCGTAACTCTATTTTGGTAAACTATACTAGGGAAAAAAAGTGTTTCATATCTAATAGTGGTACAATACGTAATCATTTATAGATTGAATTTATAAATGTACTTTAGGCATACTCTAAGCATACATAGCTCAGAGGCTGGAACTATGCACTTTATAAAAACAGACGGAGTTATGAGGTTTTTATTGCCTACCGTGGATATAATAAATAGGCATTGTGTTATTTTAATAAACTTGATAAGTTGTGAGAAGTTAGCTGTAAGATTTAAGCTTTAGCTCCGTTAAAAAAGCACTTCAAAAACTTTGCCCAACATTGCCAGAAAATAATTCCATTAAAAGTAGAGGGGTAAGTGAAAATCGTGTGATGCGCGCACCAGATTTTTCACTTTCCTATCGCTACTAGGCACAGGCAGATCTACGGGGGGGGGGAGAAGGAGGGGAGGCTTACGGGCTGAAGCCCCCCAAAATGGTGAAATATATCCATGTCTTACGAAAAAAAATTATCTCTAAGAAGTATTATTGTTTGATAATTACATTTAATAGGACTTCTAGAATCACCTAAACACCATTTCTTGTTGGTAGTTAGTTTCTTTCTCTGTCTTTCAAAGTAATTATCGTCATAGATAATGGTCATAAAGAAAAAAAAAGCTTTCGGGCTGTAGCCCTCCACCACCCTAAAATTAATTCCTGGATCCTAATTTATGATAGGAATGATTAATTCTTAGCTAGTGTTACCAGGTAAGGAAAGTATTGCGATCGAGTCAAGTTTCCGATGTGCGGTTTTCAACGATCTTTACTCCATTCAGCCATTGATCTGTCTATCTGGCATTCCTGGAAAGCGCAATGAATTATTTTTGTTTGATTCACAAATACAGGAGTCAGTTATTTTAGTCACATACTATCCAATTAAAATGGAAAATAACTATATTATTATATAACTGATTTCTATTAAATGTTACGTAATTTAACTAGGTATATATGTAAAGGTGCGTATAGATATTTCTCTAACTATGGGACAACGAAAAAATAAATTTATATTTCACAATGTTAGTATTTTTTCTTTCCTGTTTTTCATAATGTCCATCTGCTGTCGGTATCAAGAGAAATAAAATATATAGTTTGATTAGGCAGACATGTCGCTGTTAGTCGAGTTAGATAATTGTTTACGATAGGTTTGTGAAATGTCTAAGCGTACATTAAAGTTAATGATTACTTTAGGAACTGAACTTATAGATATTTTCATGTGTTTTGAATGTCTACAAAACTGCAAAAATACTACTTATAACTCAATCGAAACTTTTTATGAATTCAGTTCAAACATTTTAAGAAGGTTTATTTATATGTATTGAACCCATATTTTGGAGGGAGGGAGGGCATAACTTAAAGGAGTAAAATTTATTTATTGTTCACTCTGGCAATCAAACCAGTATCCTTTATATTAAAACTGGTTATAGATTTTCAATGTTTGCCGTCAATTTTACTTATATAGCTTTTATTTATTTATTTTTTTTTTTAATAAGTCTTCTTTACCTAATTACAACGACGTATAAACAAATGTTTAATGCCATTTTTCATAAAAACACCCACTATCGATATTTTGACTTTAATCCCGCTAGATTGACTGAGACAGCCTACTGCGCGTTCATGTTTTAGCCTTTGGATTGGTTTAGCTTTGTTAAGAAAAGGTTCCATCCGTCTTCAAACAGATCTTTTTTTTTTTTTTAATATGACGATTTTTATCAATTCCGACCCAGTAATTCAGTTACTTTATTAATAAGATAAAATTATTTATTCTCACACGCTTTGAATTTTTTTTTTAATTCCTAACAATTGGCGGGCGTCCGTTCAGGTCAGCGCCTCCGGTAATTGCACGGCACTAGCGGATCCAGGATTTAATTTGGGGGGGGGCTTCAGCCCCAAACATTTTTATTCATATCTATAACGATAATTAATTTGAAAAAAAAAGAAAGAAATGAACTACCTATATGAAATGGTGTTTAAGTGATTTTTGAAGTCCTATTAAATGTAATTACACGAACAATAATACTTTAAGAGATAGTTTTTAATATTTTTTTCTATAAAACATGGTTATATTTTCCCGTTTTGGGGGGGGGGCTTCAGTCCGAAACTCCCCCCCCCCCCCCGATAATCCGCCTGTGTTGCACGTTCATTTCAGGCCGTCGCTGATTTTAATGACCCTTAAATTTTATATCAACCTATCTGTTGCAGACGTACGTAAGCATTTGCAGTCTATGAGAGTATTTTTCGCTTCTACCGTCAAAAACGTTCTTCAAACCAGACACGTTTTTCGGCTCTGCTCCCAGTTTATCAACGGAATACGAGTAAGGTCAGTATCATTTAAAAATGGAAAGTACTTGAAGAAACATCTTTTAAGGTAATAGAATTTGGAGTGTGATGAAATTAATAATCTTATGGAGACAGATATAAGTACAGCTATAAATATTTTAGAAATAGTAATAATTAAATAATTGTTGAAGGATAAAATAAAATTCATTAGAGCATAACCCTCTCCTATTAAAAAAAAAAGAATTATATTATTATAATCCTATTATTATATTATTAAGAATATAAATTATTCTTTTATGGATAAAAAACAATAATCGAGTTTATGGGTAGGTGGTACATATTACCATGATTAGAATTATGAATAGCTGTAGTATCTTTGAATTAGAAAGCTGTCAGCAATCATTTATCAAGATAAAGATATAGAGGACCATATTTGGTGGTCCTTATCTGGTTAATTTCCATTCTATTTCACAGGATAGATTATTTTATTTTTAATAGATGATATAGGCTGTGAGTCAATTAGTTTTAATACTGGGACTTTTCCTGATAAAATTAGGTTTTGTAAAAACATTTCAATGTAAAAGTGCATTATCATTGAGTGTATATTTTAAAACACTCAGTGTTTATAATCTTTAAATAATAATAAATATCTTATTTAAATAATAATCTTCAAAAGATAATGAACTCATACAGTTATCTGTGATAAAGCAGTGTAGTTTCCTTATCTGTAGTAGTTAAATCTTGACTTCATGATACATTGTTTCATATTGATTTTTTGAATTTCTTCTTTATTTTATATTTTTAGTTAATGCAAATAATATCAACACGATGAAGATCTATGTAACGTTGAGTTTTCTTTTGTTCTTTACATTGTCAGTTTGCTGTCAAAAAAGGAAGTTCGGGATTGGTACTCCTAAAATCCCAAAACATGTAACTAAACTTCCTGAAGAACAATGGTTCGATCAGAAAATTGATCATTTTAGGCCAACAGACCTCCGGACATGGAAGCAGGTAATTATTACGAAGTATATTTACATTTTAAAATTATTACAAATAGACTACATTGGCCAGCTAAAATTTCATAAGTGCATTAGTTGAAATTAAAAAAATCAATAAAAACAATTCTTTCCGAACATATTAATTTTATTTAGTTGTCTCAAGTATAACTTAACAATACCACTATTATTAATTTTATAAAAAATATTTGCTTAACAATAAATACATATTTTAAATAAACATTTATATTTATATAACATTTATATTTTAAATAAACATTTTAGTATTAAATAGGAATTTTAATTCAGAAAGATATTTTATTGGTGTTATATTTTCATTAATGAACCACATACAAATACAAATCTTTAAAGATTTATGGATTGGTTCTGAATCGGGACTCTTAAATAAATTATTATATAATATGAATTGGTACAGAAAACATTTGCTGCATTGAAATTTTTGTTTTATACTTAAATATTTATTTAAAATATATGTATTGGGCTGGTAAATAAGTCCTATCCGTTTTTCAGGGTGAAATAAAACTCAATGTATTATAGACATAAAATTTATTTTAATCTACAATATATAGACCATTATTTAATATGACTTTTCCCCATCTTTCCACTAACTGCATAATGCCATGTTCATAGAACTCCTGGAGTTTATTGTTAAATAACTGATCCATGTGGTTTTTGATGTCCTCTTTCTTTTAGAATTTCTTTCCATTCATGGTGTTCTGTAGAGATCAGAATAAGTGGTAGTCACTTAGAGCTAGGTCTGATGAATAGGGAGGGTGGGGCAAAAGAGCCCATCCAAGGCTCAATAATTTATTGTGAGTGACGAATGAGGTGTGGCGCCTAGCGTTTTCTTGGTGGAACACAACACCCTTCCGATTTGCCAGTTCTGGGCGATTATTTTTAATTTATTGATCCAATTTTGTTAATTGTGAGCAGTATAGAGTTGATTCAATTGTTTGTCCTGACGGCAATAGCTCATAGAAAATAACACTCTTGATTATTAATTTAATACACAACAATCTCCTTCACAATCGTTTTTGTCTATTTTCATATATATACTTTTGCTGCTTAGTATTTGTTCATCTCTAATTGCTTTTAAAATATTTCCTTTCTTTTTATTTTATTTTTGTTGCTTTTGTTATACTATATTCATGATTGATTGAATTAACCATTTTTAACAGTATATTTCTATCTATATAATTTATAATAGGTCTATATTTTAATGTTCCTTCTGTATTTTTCATTTATTCTGTTAATAGTTATTTAATTTTCTATAGGTATTAATCTTAACTTTAAACCCTTAAAGTATTCTACATTTTTTTTATCTTATTTATTATAGACCTGATGAAAACCTCCAAAGAGGATTGAAAAGTTTGTTTCTATAAATATTTTACACTATTTAAAGTTCTTTTTTGACCACTAGACTGTACTATCTGTTTCCTCATATATTCTATAATTGAATATATAGTTTATCAGACTAATTTTATTTTTATTAATATTAACGATTTTTTTTTATTGTAGTATCCTATAGATTTTATTTTATTAGTCTAATAAAATATAGGTATCAATTAGATTGAACAGGAATTTATCTTTAATTAAATGTTTTTAACTGAATTGTTGATTGAGGTTGGCTATAAATATATTATGTTTTTATTAATAAACTTAAATAAATATCTTCTCTAATTTCAGAGATACTTTGTAAATGATACATTTTTTAACGGTTCAAGCTCATCTCCAATCTTTTTAATGATTGGTGGTGAAGGGGAGGCTAGTGCTAAGTGGATGGTTGCAGGGGCATGGATAGAATTTGCTGAAAAGCTTGGAGCTCTTTGCTTTCAACTTGAACATCGTTTTTATGGAAAAAGTAGACCTCTTCCGTAAGTTCTCTATAATTTAATATTTTTTCTCATAGAGTGATTTACACACTTCGATATAATTCTTACCAAAATTAACACTCTTGCTCAAAGATAATTAATGTATGTAATTATTTTGAATTATGTATAATAATTTTCATTTTTAAACGAATATATACTGTTGTTTTTATGATAAAGTAAAATTAATATTTAAAAATAAAATTTAAAAAAGTCAAATGTCATAAAAAAAATCTTTCATTTATATTTAATACAAACTTTAGGCTGACCAGCCACCAAAAGCATAGTTGAGCTGAGATGAGCGTAGCAAGAGGGGGTCAGCAACCGATTGCGTAGCGGAGCTCAGCTCAGTCAGCAACTTACCTGGAATCGGTACCCTTCTCATATTCCGTATAACATTTTAAAAAGAGTATATGTAGCACATATAACATTTTTAAAAAATAGCTAAGTTGATCATGTCAGAGTTGAAAAGAAAAATTGAATATTTGTAAATAAAATCAAATATTTTTCCTTACACATTCAATTCAGAATTCTTCCACATCCATTGCATATTTTACACTGAACCAAAATAAAATAATTTGAGAGGTTGTGCAGTGAAAACCAGCAGTGAAAATGGATGCCACTGAGGAACAAAGTCCCACGGTTATGGGACAGTGGTAAGTATGTATGGTGAGAGAAGCTGAGCGTAGCGGAGTCAGCTTCCAAAACTGAACCTCAGTTGACTCAAAGGTGGGCTGAGCTAACCCTTGCTATGCGGCTCAGCTCAGCTCTGCTTCTGGTGGCCAGCCTGCCATTAAAAACTGTTGGTTTGGATTTGGAAGCTGACTAAGGTCGACCTTATGCATGAATAGCCTGCCACTATCCTTCAACCAAGGTTCATTACATCTTTTCAGTTTCTTCAATCTAAGTTCTCTATGAAGAAATAGATTAACATTTTATTGTACAGAAACACGTGTTTTAAGATACTTAGCTTTTCTCCTTGAATAGAATTTCATTACTTGAATAGAAAATCACAGGATGTCTGGAATTAAATTAGTAGACACAAAAGGAAAATTAACACTCCTGATCACTTAAACAATTATCAATGTGGAAATAAAATAAAATAATGCTTTGAATCCTTATAATTACGAACCCCTATTTACAAAATAAAATTATATAAGTTTTAAAAATACTACTTTTAAATAATCTAGTATTTATTTGACCGCAACCCTAGACCAATTCCTTCCCATATAAAAGTTTTGTTGATAAAAATTTTTAATTTTTATCACTCATTAATATTCTGTGCATGTTTGGTGAGCAAAACTCACAGCAGGCGGTAACTATCAGTGGGTCAGCAATGTAAATCATTTTTTGGGTGATTTAATGTCCAAAAATATTGATCTTGGCCTTTGTTCCAATGGATCCCAGGAGAAAAAAAGAATTTTTTATATAATAGCTTTAAAAGTTAAATATTTTTCTCCTATAATTATGAATCTAAAAAAATATATAAATATTTTTTTTTTTTTGGTAAGTAGAATAAAAAAATATGTTCAGAGGTTTTCGAGGAAATAATAAAAATAAAATTTATTTAGCCCCAAATTTTTTTCTAATTTAATTTTTTTCATATATGTTTATGTTTGAACTTAGTACTTTTGATTATTAGGTTTTTCGAGATCCCATTATCATTAATATAGTCGTGCAAACTTTCTTTACTAATTGCCAGACAATCAACTTTTTCTTTGCGTTGCTGTCTTCTATAATTATTTTCATGTAATTTTGCAGTAGTTTAGAAAGATTAAATTTAATTTTGCTTTCCTTAAGGCATTCAGTCAAAACAAGTTATTATTCTTCCTATGTATTTTTATAGGAATAAGAGCGTAGAGAGCTTAGAATATCTTAACAGCGAACAAGCTCTTGGAGATCTGGCTGAATTTATTGGTTCTATGAACAGAAAATATAATCTTCAACCTGAAAATAAGTGGATTGCTTTTGGTGGCAGTTATCCAGGTTCTCTCGCAGCTTGGGTTAGGTATAAATTTCCTCATCTTGTACATGCTTCAATTTCATCTAGTGGTCCTCTGCTTGCTAAAGCTGATTTCAAAGGTAAGTAACTAATTTTAGTTAATATATTTGATGGTATTATCCATATTTTAGTTTTATTATTAGGAGTCTTTTTTCAATAACTGCTATTAATAAAAAAAAAAAAAGAAAAGGGTTTAACCCTATTCCCCTTTTTCATCCACCTGAATGGGTCACGGCCACCTGAAGCAAGATTCACCATTCATCTCAATTCAATGCAGCAGCTTTCCTATCCCAGATCCCCAGAATGTTGCGTGCATCCTTGGTTACCCCATCCACCCATCGTAGCCTGGACCGTCTACACCTTCTGGTGGTGTGGATTTCCTTTTCAAGGAGCTTCTTTGATATCGAGTCAACGTTCATCCTGGACACATGCTCAGCCCACCTGAGCTGATCAACCCTGATGAAGTACACTACATCACAGTTCTTGTATAGCTCTGATATCTTGGAATTTGTCCTGATCTGCCAGGCTAGTTCGTTGGCATCGAAAGTTGCTCTGAAAATTCTTCTTAACATCTTCCTTTTGAATCGAAGTGCTCCATCAAAAAGAATTTACTTGGAAAGATATCATTATCAATTTGATTGGGGATACTGTCTGAAGCTTAGACTGAATTTGAATTTATTTCCGACAAATGGTAGAGTAAATTAAATCAGCAATGTTTGTTGGGGCTAGCATTTAACCTCCTATTAACAATGACTTATGGAATTATTGATATTTACATTACTGATTGTGTTTCTTATTATTATTTTAAATTGTAATATTGAGTTTATTTTAAAATAAATTTAATTTATCTTTTAGTAAAATTTATATTTTTCAGAATACAATGAAGTTGTTAAGGATTCTTTAAGTTACTTTAATAAAGATTGCGTTAGTCCTGTTAGATTGGCTAATAAACACTTGACAAAGCTCTTCCAAGATCCTTCTGGTGGAACTATTTTAACTAAAATGTTCAGGTAAAAATATTTTAATGAAACTAGTTTTTAATTGATTATTTAATGAATATTGATTAGATTATTTAATTATACATAGTAAATAATTTTAATTATATAAATATTGGATATTTCTGAAAATGGATGTGTTTTCTCTCGATAGAATTTTCATAATATAATAAAAATAATAATTATGAAACAAAATGTTTTAAACATTTCATTATTCCTTTTTTAAAATAATAATTATGAAACTAAACATTTTAAATATTTCATTATTTCTTTTTTAAAATACTTATTTTCTTTACGAGCATCTATTAAAACCCTTACAAATTACTTACTGGTAGGAGATCAGCCTATAATACAGGAAACCTACTCTATTTGATAATTTATTAGTGTATTTAAAATAACAAGTGAAATACTTCTTTTTTATATTGGAAATAAAATAAAATACTTTTTTGAATTTTAAAAAGAAAATATAGTTACAAACGATCTATTTTATATTTTACTTCTTAAAATGCAAAATACAAAAAATATATTATATTTTGTATTTTAAAATATTTCATTTGTAATATTGTCCAGGTCTGGTGCCTATTACACTTCCATATCAATTGTAACTCCTCATAAATTTACTAATATTATTTTTCAAAAGTGTTTACAAATTTTAAAAGTATTTATTATTTTTACAAGAACTTAATAAAACCATTTCTTAAAAAATTAATTTATTAAATTTCTATGAGTGAATCATGTGACGAATTTTCAAGTAAAAAAATTCTTTAGATCATTTTCAAGTAAAAAAAAAAATTAGTGTTTTCTTAAAAACAAATTTGGCCAATTCTCATTATTCCTTTTTTAGTATTGAAATATTTCCACTTACTCTAATTTAAAATAGGTCATTTAATAGTTGGTATTCTTTTTCTTAGTAAGACACAAAGGAAGTAAATAATTTTCTTATTATTAAAGGGGTTATTGAATTAAAATTAGATTTATTATTTAGATAACTTTAGCATTGATTGATGGATATTAGCATTGATAATGTCATAAATATTACTAAAATGTACGTATTTATTTTTCATTGTAGGTTATGTGCACCTCTAGATATTGAAAACATAAATGATGTTTATAATTTAGCCCAAACCTTGTCTGATAACTTCGCTGGAATAGTCCAATACAATAAAGATAACAGAATAACTGATTCCCCTACTGCTAAAATTACTATCGATGACATTTGTAAAATAATGACAAGCTCTAGAGTTGACACTCCTTTAGAAAGGTAATTATGTTATGTTGATTTTTTATTTTATTCTTTTTTATATGTTGCCTTATTTTTTATTATGATTCCTTATTTAATGATTACACTGCTTTTAAAAAAAGCTAAAGATATATTTTGTAACATTATAGTTATGCTGCTGTAAATAGCATGATGCTGAATCTGACTAATCAAACTTGTCTGGACTACAAGTATGACGAAATGCTCGACGTGATGAGAAAAACGGAGTGGAGTGAGGATCCTACAGATGCAGGTGCTTTATCCTCATTACTGTTGTATTCTGTTCTTGTAGATTTCTAAGTTTATTATTCAAAGTTTTTTTTTTTTGTTATATTACAAGTAATAAATTTTTTTTTAAAATGTAAGGATAGCCAAGAGTGGCGGTTTAATAGCAGTACATTTTCCAGACAGGTAAGGCTAGCCTGCTCTCTTGGGCCATAGTGATAGCATCCTTACAACTTTCAGTTAGCTGTAAGGCTATGGTACTGTTAGAAAAAAAGATGTAAAATATCAACTATTTTGTAAGGAATAGGCGGAAAGAGATCCTCAAGTTCTTTTGATGAACGTGTTTCTTCATGAAGTTGTTTCCTCATTTTCTCTGAGATGCAATGTGTCTATGAAAATGACAATGTGACTATTTTATTATTTATGATAAGAAAAAAGGAGGCTTGCTTTTCTAACTTTTCTTTACCAACATAAATTATTCTCCATTAAAGAAAGAACTCTACCAAAATATTTCTAAAATTAAGTATTGCATTATTAAAGAAACATGGATCAACATCTTTTATGATATCGGAGTATTATGATGTTTCCTTTACAGATTAAACTAATTGATAATAGAGTAACATGGCAATTGAAATGAGCTTGTTAAGTTACTGGGCTAATGAACAGAGCACTTAAATAGTTATTATTACTAAATTTAAATACCCAAGGATAAAATTGAACTTAGAGAAACAAATGTGATATGAATGAATTTATCCTAGGAATGGTCTTTGTGACATTAGAATTAACTTCTGTGTTAACTAAGCATTTTCTTATTAAATAATCTTCATCGATATTGTAGAATAGGTACTTGGTGCACACATACAATCCACAACAAGCATAAATCCAAATTAATTTTATTTACTTTTATATAACAATATTATTTAAATAAGATTTGTTTTACTGAGTTAATTATCTATTTATCCATCTTTATCTTTTTAGGCAGGCAATGGATTTATCAAACGTGTGTTGAATTTGGATTTTATCAAACATCGAGTACTTCAGGTGAATTATTCGGACCAAATTTTCCTTTTGAGTTCTTTCTCAAACAATGTTCTGATATTTATGGAAGGAGGTAAAAAATTATGTTTCCTCTTTTTCTATAATTTTTAACTGTACTAACATGTATTATATTCTCCCTTTTTTTTACTTTCCTGCCTATACTAGGTAAGGAAAGTATTGCAATTGTGTCAAATTTCCGTTATGTGGTTTTAGATGGATCTATACGTTTCAGAGCCTCCTGACTCTGAAAAACACATTTTTAACCATTGGTCTGTCTGTCTGTGCCAAGATTTTCTCGCACATCACACAAGCTTCATTATTTCCTCTACTTTTAACAGAAATTATTGTTTGACAATACTAAGCTATGGCAAAAAGTTTATGACCAGCAATATTAGAGAGTATTGAAATTTTTACACTGATCTACCTTAAGCCGGTTTACATTGCTTTAGTTCATTAAATAAATCGTACTCAAATCTTTTCTTTGATCAATTTTGCAGGAAAATAAATCTAGTTCAATTTTTTTTTGTTTCTTCATGAACATATGTAAAGATAAAAAAACTTTTCTGAAATAGGTAGGAATTGAGTGGACACACCCGATTTTTAAACTATAGTAATTGAATATTATAATAATAAAAGTATTTGATTATTTTTAATTTAGTTGAAAAATATTTATTTGCCAATGCTCTTGTTTTTAATTGATGTGTCAATACATATGCAATCAATTCGTGATGGGTGCTAAAAATATTTATTTATTTTTGTTTTGTATCCACTTCATTCCGAGTTGAAAGTAGGAATTCATTAATTTTCAAGATAATCAGGTTTTTTTTTTTGTTATGTTTTTTAATGCCTATTTCATTTTAGTGTGTCAGCTTATTTTGCATTTTAGAAATTTGTGTATAGATGTTGCATTATTATTGATATCAACATAATGTCAGAAGAAAAATATCAATATCGCTCCTTATTGAATCTAAAGTTGAGAATTTATTTTAATAAATTATTTAATTGTTTTATTTAATTTAAATGTTTAAATAAACAATTATAATTACATGCATCAAATAATTTTAAATAATGTGAACAACTTATTAAGCATTAAAATAATGTAATTTACAGTTAGCATTAAAAGAAAATAGCAATATTGTTGAATAACTAAAAAAATTATTGACATCATAAAAAAATAAATAAATCGTCTAAGGATCAGAAATTAGTAAGTGATCTGATGTAATAAAAATTTATTTATTTAGTTCTTGATTAAAAATCGGGTCTGAATTTATTGTTACAATAATTAATTTGGTCCAAGTATATTCAGGTGACTTAGTACTCAGCTGAAATAAAGTTGAGAATTTAGTTTTAAAGACGTATTTTTGAGAGTGAATAATTTAATGTCTACTTTATGATTTCAATAATATCACAGTTTTTATGACCTAGTTGTTTCACGCATCATTATCATAGTTGTTTCATCAAGCAGTGAATTGGTAATAGTAGCAAGTGAAGTTGATTTGCTGATACTCAAGATTTATCCTTTTCCTTATCGATATATTTTTGAATAATAATGAAAAAGATCATTTTTGGATTGTTTTTAAGTCCAAACAATAGTGGTCGATTTCTAACATCTCATCAACAATACAAAATTTGATAATCAGTTCTCAACAATTATTCCTTATTATTAATGTTTAACATTATAAAATTAACAAAAATAATATAAAACTCATATCCTGTCAAATAGCCACATGACCACTGAAAACCGTATATTCTCTTTTCGTTCTCCGGCCGTTCCCTAAGTTTTTGTGCATTCTTTTCGAAAATTAGGACTTTTTTATAACGTGGCGGGGCATAGGATAAATTCTTAAAAATTGGAACTGCCCCACCAAAAGTGCGACGTCTGGTCACTTTAGATATAATCTATATTTATTTAAATAATCCTATACTAAATATATTTTTAAAATTTTGTATTTTATAAATGATATGTCATGATGTTTGAGTATTTAATTTGTTTTGTTTCAATAAATAAATGTTGATGTATTTTGTAACATTAAAACACACAATTGTCATGTACTCTTACTAGAATATTATGTTTATTGCTGGACCTAGTTTCCAATTTAGACTAGATTTAATTATCTTCTTCATATAGTCTTCTCTTTTGTCCATACTTTCTGTAATGAAGTTTGATTTGTTGGGTGTTAAAATTAATATTATAGTAAATTTTGTGAGTTATCTGGTTGGAGATATTCCTAAGGTCAACAAATTTCTGAGGATGAGGTGAATAGAAAATTTTGGTAATATAAATGTATATATTTAGAGTATTTTGCTATTATTCTTGACTAATCTTTCTTTTTTCAAATAATGCTGTTTTATCTGTTTTATTTAGATTTGACTACAATCTTTTAGAACACGCTATAAATAGAACAAACAATATGTATGGTGAATTGAAAATTCGTGCCACTAGGGTAATGTTCGTTCATGGAAGCATTGATCCGTGGCATGCTTTAGGAATCACTGAGTCAAAAAATCCAAGCACACCAACGATTTTTATTAAAGGTACTTTTTAATGAATTAAATATAAAATAAGAATTATATTTGTTCATTTAGCATGTTGAACATCGCTGATGGCTCTATATTCTGTTCGGTTCTTCTTTGGCACTGCTCTGGCCCCCTACAATAATTTTGCACAATGAGTCCATTAGAATTTCTTTCCCCTTTTCTATAAACAAATCTTGAACCTACCTATAACCGTAATTTTATCCTATCTTAACCCATTTCTAACACAAACTCGTAACTATTTGTGTCAAAGTATCTTATATCAGGTTATAAGGCAAAGTGCTGCTGTGCACACGTAAACCCACTTAGCCATGCAGGACCAGATGATGTCTCTATTCTGCCAAAACTTCTGTTCCGTTTTTCTATGGGAACGCTCTGACCTATTACAATAGTTTTGCACACTTGGCCCATTAGCATTGATAAAGATTGTATTCATTGATAGGGATTATTTATTAAATTGGACCTCTGGCAAGAAGTAAGGGGAGAATAATTAAATTAAATTAAATTTTTTCAATTGCCTAAACTCGACCTTGTTTTGAAGTAAAATATCTGTACAAAATATAGTTTGGGTCTTTGCGTATGGACTTTGATCAAATTTCATTCAAAGTTAAAATTAAATTTTGATTTTTCAATGTATATTATTAATTAATTTTAATCTGTGGTATAAATTTAAATACAACTGCATTATAAAATAAATTTCATTGATTTACAAATGTGTCTTAATTTTCCTTTGTTTACAGGAACGGCACATTGTGCTGATATGTATCCCAGTGCAGATACAGATATTCCTCAATTGAAGGAGGCAAGAAAAGAAATTTTCTCTCAAATAAAAAAATGGTTAAATGATATTTAAGCAGTTATTGTTTTGTTAAATATGTTTTTTCATTGAATTAATATCTATGCAATGAAATATTTGTAAACTGTCATATGCACTAATAATAAGATAATTTGAAAGTAGTTATGATTTTATAGATTGATTTTAATTTCTTAGGCCTCGACCTTCAGAAAAGTTGTTGATTGCAACCAGAACAAAGCTATAGTGTTGCTTTATTTTTGAATTCGAAGTTTCCATCACAAAAATATTTACAGATTGAACCACTCCTTCTCTACTCTAGCTAGAGATAATATAAATGGGGATAGATTAAGTTAAAAAAATACTTCTTTTATAATGCCAGATGAGGGTTGATTAAGTTAAAAATAATTCTTAACCTCATTAAACAAATGTTTCACCTCATATATACTTTAAACACAAAACGTAATAAAATCACAATCAAAATTTTCCTCCAAATTAATAATGTACCGTTAAACACAATAACTAGAAACTGGATTTATATGTATTTACATACATATGTTTTTCTAAGCCTTGTACACACCAGAGTTGGGAAAAAATTATATATAGCTAACAGCTAAATTAGCTTTTAGCGGGACCAAGAAGCTAACTTTTAGCTTAAGTTAATTATTAACTATTCTAATAGCTAACTTTTTGGATTTAATTGATCTTAGAATCTGCTTTTTATGAAAATAAGGTGGGATTTGAGATAGTGCTCCGGGAACCGACTTTTTGTAACTTTTAGGATTTAATCGATATCAGGATCGACTATTTCGTTTTGGGGGGCTCTTTTTATGAAAATATACTGTCAGATTTGAGGTAGTTAACCCTGGACATTTGTAATTGTTACTCATAGTACTTTTTTTCCCATCTCTGATCTTAAATCCGACGGCATTTTCATAAAAATCACCCACAAAAATATTTTAATCTACCCCAATATCGATTTAATGTGCAAAGTTACAAAAAGTTGATACTCGGCAATCTAAAATCCGGCTGTATTTTTATAAAATACGCCTCCTAAAACTTAATAGACGACTCTGATATTAATTAATTTTAAAAAGTCAATACGCAGGGGCGCAATCCCAAACCCAACAGTATTTTCATAGAAAGCTCTCCTTCCCCAAAACATAATAGTAGACCCTGATATCGATTAAATCCTAAAAATTACAGAAAGTCGGTGCCTGGAGCACTATCTCAAATTCGACATTTTGTGCATAAAAAGCACCCCCCAAAACCTAATAGTCTACCCTGATATCAGTTCAACCCGTAAAGTTACAAAAAGTCGGTACCCGGGGGCACTATCTCAAATCCGACATTATTTTCATAGAAAGTACCCCCAAAACCTAATAGTTGACCTATATATCGATTAAATCAGAAAAGTTACAAAAAGTCGTTGTCCGGGGGCACTATCTAAAATCTGACATTTTTTTCATAAAAAGCATCTCCCAAAATTTAATAGTCCACCCTAATATCGATTAAATCTGAAAAGTTACAAAAAGTCGTTGTCCGGGGGCACTATCTAAAATCTGACATTTTTTTCATAAAAAGCGTCCTCCAAAATTTAATAGTCCACCCTAATATCGATTAAATCTGAAAAGTTACAAAAAGTCGGTGTGCGGAGGCACTATCTAAAATCTAACATTTTTTTCATAAAAAGTTTCCCCCAAAACATAGATAGATAGATAGATAGAAAAAAACATAATAGGTGACCCTCATATCGGTTAAACCTGTAAAGTTACAAAAAGTCGGTGCCCGGGGGCATTATCTCAAATTTGACATTTGTTTCATAAAAAGCACCTCCAAAACCTAATAGTCGATCCTGATATCGGTTAAACCCGTAAAGTTATGAAAGGCTTGACGAAAGCCTTAAGACCCGAATAGTTGACTGTTTTCCATCCGATCACCCACAAACTGACTATCCTTGAGATTTCTTGTAATGACACTCCTCTCCTATATACCGTAGTATATTGTCCTCCTCAGGTTCCCTTTGACCCGTATTTTGAATCATCCCTCTTCAACTTCAATCATCCTCTTTATTCCAAAATTATCATTTCCGTTAACTTAAACACTAACTTCCTTTCTGACAGCTAAAATGTAGATAGATATAATCAACTAGGTTACTGCAGAGCTGCTTGCAGCAAACTGAAAAGCAATAGCCCAAAATAGGCAGAGGTGAAGGTGGCTGGTTCAGGAGGCCAACAAGAAAAAATAAAATAAAACAAAGTAATAAAAAATACAACTACATCTAAGATACATCTGTTTAAAAAGGTCTGAGAGAGAGGGAAATTGCCTGAAGAATGGAAAGAATCTATTCTTATTCCGATTCACAAAAAAGGCTCCAAGACAGATTGTAATAATTATAGAGGAATCTCACTCCTGCCGGTATGTTATAAAATATTCACATTAATCCTTATTAATCGAATCACAGAGTACACCGAAGAAATTATCACAGACTATTAATGCGGATTTAGACAGAACCATTCAAACTATTGATCAAATATTCTCTTTATAACAAAAATTAGAGTACAACGATATTGTTCATCAGCTGTATATCGATTTCAAAAGAGCTTACGATTAAATTACGATTCTATCAACCGCCAGAAGCTGTATAATGTTTTAATCGAGCAGGGTATATCAAAAAAATTAGTAAATCAAGTTAAGATGTACTTGACAGAAACGTTAAATAAACTTCGGTAGTTATTCATCCGAAACGTTTGAGGTTTAAAACAAGGTGATTCCATTTCATCTTTTCTATTTGATTTAAGATTAGAACATACCATTAGGGAGATAAAGCGTACCGAAAAAGGTTTGAATGTAGGTGGAATAATATCCGTGCTTGGTAATGCAGATGATTTTGGTCCCGCTAAGCGAAGACATGGAAACTATAATATAAAACTAAACGACATTAATGAAAGCTGGTTAAGAACTGAGGCTTGAAATAAATACAGATAAGACAAAATAAATGGTTAGCTGCAAAAACGGTAAACATGTTGGAGATTTCGATATAGAAGGAAATATATTTGAACACGTAGAGAAATTTAGGTATCTATGGTCTACGTTAACTAGAGAAAAAAAACGAAATTGAAGAGGAGATTAAGGTTACACTGAAGGCGGGAAATGCTTGTTCTTTTTCTATGACAACAGTACTTAGCTAGCGTCTATTTTTATATATATATATATATTGTACAATATTGGGGGGTCCGGTACATGCTATATGACTGCTATGAGCCCTTTTCTGGTGAAATAAAAAAATGAAGAGTTTGATGGAGAAATATCTGTGTATGAAGTTCCTGAAGAATGAGACAACCAGAGAATTTGAAGGTGACACAACACCAAATCAGGTGAACTATATGAGGTTGATATAATTGAGGTGAATAAAATAAAAGGGCATGTAAAATTGTTGGACTTGAATTCTTGGCATTGAACCTTCGGGTTCGCTAAGCCTATATTATTATAATAAAAAAGACATGATATAATGAAAATGTTTATTATAATAGTTTGTTTATTATAATTAACAATAAAATAAATATCTTTGTACTGAAATGGATGCATTATAATTCATTATCACCAGGAACTTTCCAGTGCATTGCTTTACCAGCAGAATACATCTCTTCAAGGCTCGACCGGAGGATCCCTTGGGCTTCAAGTTCAAGATATTTTTTGTATAATCCTAATGCAGCACGAGCATCTTCTATGGAATCATGAGTTTCTGATTGTATTTTCAAACCTAAAGAAAAAAAAAAAAAAATATTATGGGTCATGATGTACCTCCTGTGCAGTACCTACAGGTCACATATGTATAGGTTAATAAAGCACCCTCTTGTCGATGATAAAAACATATCCATATTGAATATATATATAATTGATATTTTTATATCAATATTGAAATTTGACTGTTAAAAAACTGATTATTACAAAAAAAAAAATACAAATATATATCATCAGTATATTGCAAAATGTTGTCAATTAACAGAATATTTCATAAAAATAAATTTTAAAAGGGCAAATTTTACCTCTATGAAATCAGAATATTGTGCTCTTAATGTTTCCGTAATAAACAAGCTAGATATTAAGAAAAATCTTCTTAAAATTTAGCTCCATAAAAAATGTACTTGATGAATTGTTCAATAAACTGGCATTATACAAATTAAAATGTATTAAACCTGATCATTAGTAAGTTTGAATATGGAAAACAAAATTGGAAAAATTAAACAGATAGTTAAATGTTAAGTCAACTTGTGCACTGCACTGGATCTTACCCATAAAATGCCAAGCCAGGAACCGCAGTGATACCATCCTCTGATGAGGCAAGTAGAATAAATACACTGTGTCAATGACCTGCTCTGGAGGAACGATCAAGTTGATGACTCTAAATAAAATAAGATAAATATTTAGACAATAAATAACCATCTACATAAAAGTTAATATATATTAATATAATAATTCTGTGGCAAGTCTTAATAAATTTTCATTATTTAGTAGTGAACTTAAATTTAATAATTAGTATCAATTTTGATGGAATGTGATTTAATTAATAAATCATGAAGGAAGTTCAAGTTCACTACTAAATAATGCAAAATCGTAAATGTTTCTATTTTTATGACTGCTTCATCTTCTTCTTTTATTGGGACAACAGGCGCATGAAACTGCCCTTGGCCTGCTCAACAGCTGTCAACCATCTTCTGTAAGGGTAACGGGAATCCTCAGCTGTCGCAGATCCTGTCCCCCTCTATTGCCCTTTAGCCTACCACGTTGGCGCACACTATCTAGAACATTAGTATACACTTTATGAGCCACTCTTTCCTCGCTCATCCTCATCACATGGCCAAGCCTTTAAGCCTCTGTATCTTGATATATGATGAGATGCTACATTGCTTTCAGAGCCTATTTATAACAGCTTATTGCTTTTCCTTCTTCGTCAATTACCATTCTCGCATACGGGCCTTAAGAATCTTAGCAGAATTACCATTTCAAACCTCTCAAGCGGTTAATGCTTTTGATTTACGATTGGCCTCATCAGAGTCTTGTAAACCTTAAAATTGATTTAAAGCTTTTGATTAACCTTAAAATGGAGAAATAGGCTCTATTTCCTGCTGGTAATCTGCTTTTAACCTCTTCTTCTTCATTCTGGTTATTGTTGATGATAGAGCCAAGCGACTGTCTCTGATCCAGTGACTTCTTACCCAACAACAATATCTTCGTTTTCTCTCAATTCATATGCACGCCGATCTTTTTTGCTTCAACATCCATTGCTTCAAAAGCAATCCTAATGCTCTGAAGAGATCTACCAATAACAACAACGTCTGCATAGGCCAGAATTTCGGTCATTTTCATAAATATTGTTCCTTCTTGATTTAATCCTGCTCTATTTACAATTGCTTGTAGAGCAATATTAACCAAGAGAGGAGCTATTGGGTTCCTCTGTCTTAGGCCACTTTCCACTGCAAAAGGCTCAGATAACCCACAGAATTTTACTCGGCAGATTGTGCATTTTATTAATAGAGTTAGTTTACTAGGCAGCCCCAGTTCATGCATGGCCAATAAGAGTTCACTCCTTACCATTGTATCGTAGACAGTATGAAAATCAATGAACACCATGGAGATTTGCCTCCGGGCGAAGATTTGATCAATAGTAAACCTACTGGGCCGGGTAATCACCCAGTTTCTGTTCAACATACAGAAGGAGCCTGTTGTACAGGGAAATGGAAAAAATTTTATATGCTGTGTTAAGCAAACTAATTCCTCGATAGTTGCTGCATGCAGTTTCAATGACTGTTGCTGTATCATAATTACATTATAGAAAAGACTGGCCACTACTCTGTCCACTGTAGATTACAATTTTATACAATGAGAATTGGCCTAAAAACTAATAAAATTACTATGAAGTTTACAAAATAGATGTTAACAAACAGTAACACTCTTAATTAGAAAAACTAAGCATTTCAAAGTTGTCAATCATTCGATTTCAGGGAGAAAATCTTTTAAATAAGGGAACATTATATACTACATAAAATTTTGATGTGAGCAGATCAGTAAATAATTTTTTATTACTTTATTTTATAATTATGTTTTAAAATGTACTCTAGTATCCAAAATACAATACATAGATTTTTATGCTATATAGTTATATCATTTATTGCCCATCTATTTACCTGAAGTCGTTCTTGAGACCATGTCCAACAAATTTAACACCATTGTCTATCAAATAGCGTAACTTAAGATAAGTAGACTTCAATGTAGTCAAATTCTTGGAACTGCAAGCTGCATCCAAATCTCCTGGTTTAATGCCAGAAAACTTAGTTAGGTAATCAAAAACTTGTTCTTGTGTAGAAATATAGTCATCTATAAACGGCATTCCTTCCAATGATCCTTGGCTGCAAAACAAAACATATACACACACACACACATATATATATATATATATATATATATATATATATATATATATATATAACACACATATATATATATATATATATATATATATATATATATATAAAACACATATATATATATAACTGTAGCCTTTGTAATTTAAATGTAATAGAGGATGTATACCACTATGTTGCTGTTTGTCTGATTTTATAGGAATATAGAATCAAATATTTTAAGAAAAATCATAAACCACAATGAACATATAGACATACTAAATGACAAAGATTGGAGCAGTTTATATATATGCTCATAAATATAGAATGATTTTAATTCAGCAATATAACACATATCATTCTTTAGTTATATGTAAAAGCAAAAGTAAGTATAAGATTAAGGTTATGCAACAAAAATTCTTTCTTTCTTATTTTTTGACAAATTAAAGTTTATTTAGTTTATATGTATAGATAGTTTTAAGTTGTTTTATATTTTTTTAAATAACAAAGGGCTGTTTAATATTTCTAAAGCTCATTGTTTTTATTTATTTTATTATTATTAATTCTTTTCATTGTATATATTTTTAGGACAGCTCCAGGCAAACGGTTCTATAGCCTTGCCAATAAAAAAAAGTTTTGTTTGAAAAAAAAAAAAAAAAGGAATATATACAATTTATATGAAATAAAGCTATCTTTCTTTCTATTTTCTATTTTCTATATATATATATATATATATATATATATATATATATATATATATATATATATATATATATATATATATATATATATATATATATATATATGGCCTAAAAACTAATAAAATTATTATGAAGTTTACAAAATAGATGTTAACAAACAATAACACTCTTAATTAGAAAAGCTAAGCATTTCAAAGTTGTCAATCATTCGATTTCAGGGAGAAAATCTTTTAAATAAGGGAACATTATATACTACATAAAATTTTGATGTGAGCAGATCAGTAAATAATTTTTTATTACTTTATTTTATAGTAATGTTTTAATTTTTTATTACTTTATTTTATAGTTGTTTTAGATATATATATATGTAGCATATTCTAAATTGATATTTTTGGTATTTTAGTGAAGTGTAAATTAGTTCATATTTTCTATTGCAATATTTAATTGTCTAAATCATATGGTTGAAAAAGAACATATGTTATTATTAGTTAGTATGTAAACAAGTTATTAGTTGAGTTAATAAATGAATTAAAACATTTATTTTGATTTATATTATGTTAAGAATATAATTATATATATATAACTAATAATAATAATAATAATATATATATATATATATATTATATTCTTAACATATAAATCAAAATAATTGTTTTAATTCATTTATTAACTCAACTAAAAACTTGTTTACATACTAACTAATAATAACATATGTTCTTTTTCAACCATATGATTTAGACAATTAAATTGCATATATATATATATATATATATATATATATATATATATATATATATATATATATATATATATATATATATATATATATATATCCAATCAGCCGATTTTGATGAAAAAGTTGATGTTGACATTTCAGATATACACAAACCTTAAATTTTGCAATTTTATTTTTATACAATTTTTTGTGTTTGAGCCAGACTGTTAACACAGACAGAGACTATTTTGTGGGACTTCCTTTAAGGCTATACGGGGTTTTTCCGGGCCAGGGGATGTGGGCGGGGATTAAAAAGACACCCCCGGCACCGGGACACGAACTCGTGACAATATTTTATCTTTGTATCATATATCAGGTTGCCAGGCAACGGCGATGCTGTGTACACACGTTAGCCCGTTCAGCCACCCCGCCCACATATCCATATTTTGAGAGACGGTTATTTTGACCTAAAGGGACCTCAAAATGTGTATTTTCGTTGAAAATTGAGATTCGAAAATTTCACTATCGCAATACTTCCCTTTACTATATATTTCATATATAGGCAAGTGAAAGTAATTGGTCAAATATTTTACAAACTCATTAGTGACATGAAACCATAGTTGTAAGGATAAAATATGAGTTGAACACAAATTATGTCAAATTTAATGATTTGCTGGAGTTGGTAAGGAGATATTCAGAGAAACTAAACTTTAGAGTACTAATTAGTTTAAAAAATAAATGCAATTATGTAGCATTTAATTTTGGAGTAACCTTCAATCATACACAAAACTATACATATCTAAAAAAAAAAAAAAAAAAAAAAAAATGATGAGTAGAAGCTTAGGCATAAACAACTCTGCTTAAGCATTACTAAATATGGGAAGTAACTAAATTCAAAATTGTTTATGAGAAGAAAATCTAGCAGTAATCCTGAGCACAAAGTCAGATACTGAAACTGAAATCCTCCATGGGTTTTATTTATGGCTAAAATGTTTCCTATGATAATATTGAAGAAAAAATGGACATGAAAATAGGCAAGATCTTACCCTCTTACACAAGATATTCTCGCTACAGACATGTGAGATGGTTTCACGGTAGCTAACTTTCCATCACTTCTCAATTCAGATTCTTCTTGGTTTAATGTAACAAATTCTGCATCCATAGCTACTATATCACCTAAAGAAAATAGAAATACAAAATTTGGGTAACAGAGATCAGCAGCTGTATACTAAAACTTAAATAATTAAAATAATTTTTTTTTTAAATATTGAATATCAGACAAAACTTGTTTATATGCTTAAAAAATCTTTAACTCCGCTATTGTAGAAAGGCTGATATGTACTGCTCTTTGACGCAATCATCACAAACCGACAGAAAATCAAACACTGCTGATTTAATGTATTGGAAGGTTCCTTTGACAAATTTGGACAGCACAGTCTTGGAACTAAACTGTTTTTAATTCCAACAGATTCTGGTTCTAAGGAACTATTTTAAATTCTTCTAGTTAATCAACTATTTCATTAAGTCAATTATAAAGACACTTTAAAAGCTAAAGCGAAAAATACCTACATGGGTAACATGATGAATCAACATCCCGAAATGAAGCAGATGCATCAAGACATATTAGAGGACAAATTCACTTTTTGTTAACATCTGACTGCAGACTTGAGGGGTATAGTCCTAACCAAAATAACATCAAGATTTATTTTGTGGGGTAAAAAAGCAACATTATTGTATTATATATCTTTACATTATAGGTAAATTAAATTTTGTGAATCAGAGGACTGAGGTTACGTAACAAACACTTGATTTGTAATGAAAAAAGTAAGAATAGCGAAAATATGAAAAATCATATTAATTGCTAATGACTAATAGTTCCTAAGATGCAAGGAATGAAAACTTGTTGAAATGAAGGACGATGGGGATGGATGTGCAGGGAACCAGGAAGTGCTAAATCCCAGCAACAACCATTACCTGCCCCTCAAGGGCACATAAATAACAAGGCTTAGTGGAACAATGACAAAGCTTAAGACCAAATTCTGATATAGCTGATAAGACCAAATTCTGATAAGACCAAATAGAAATGATCACACTCTTATCTTTCTGCTATATTCTCCATCCTCTAACATACATATATATACACATACATCTTTTTCATCATTTATACTTTTATTTGGCTTAATTTGTGCAGTTATAAATTATAAATAATTTCAATTCCTATTATTCAAACATAAAATACACAAATTCTAAGTTATAACTTGTTAAATAAATGAAAGGTGTTAAGAAGAGCATTTTGTTCATGGAAGGAGGCAAATTGAGAATGAACAATTCCTTCCCAAAGTTTAGATAAATTTGATAAGATAGAAACGGCTCTAAAGTTAGAGCCTAAGGAAGGAGAAAAAAATATACACAAACACACACATATACGAACATTTTTGTAGATCTTGATGCCTTCTATCAAGCTTTTAAATATTTCCCTCTACTTACAGAAGATCCTGTATGTGTATATATATAAAATGAACATATGAGATTAAGCCTCATATTATAATGCTGCAAAGCTACCTTATAAGCATGTATATGTGTGTGTATATATATATATATATATATATATATATATTTTTTTTTTTTTTTTTTTTTTTTTTCTCTTCCAAAGCTCCACTTTTCTAACAGCCTGGAAAATGGTACCTTCTCCTTCCATAAGCTCTAACTTTAGAGCCATTTCTAACTTATCAAATTTATCTAAATCTTTGGAAGGAATTGTTCATTCCCAATTTACTTCCTTCCGTTAACAAAATGCTCTCCTTAACTCTTTTCAATCAGGTTTCCATCACTACACACAAGTGGCTCTACTAAAAATCACTCAAGTCCTTTATTCCTCCGTTGAACAACAGAAAATCAACAATTGTATAAGAAAATATGAAAAAAAAAACAGTTTTTCAATTATTTTTTCATCTTAGTCTTACTTTATCTACAAAACTATACACTACAAGAAAAGAAAAGAATGGACTTTTTTTTACTTTCATTTATCTATATATTTAATATATAGTAAGGGTAAGTATTGTGATCGTGAAAATTTTCGAATCTGAGTTTTCAATGGAAATACACATTTTGAGCTGTTTTCGAGAAAATCGATGATATAAAGTGCCACTTCCAGTTAGCCGATTTTGATGAAAAAGTTGATGTTGACATCTCAGGCATACACAAACCTTAAATTTTGCAATTTCATTTTCATACAATTTTTCGCGTTTGAGCCAGACTGTTAACACACACAGAGACTATTTCGTGGGACTTTTTTATTTTGACTCAAGGGACCTCAAAATGTGTATTTCCGTTGAAAATTGAGATTCGAAAATTTTCACGATCGCAATACTTCCCTTTACTATATATTTCATATATAGGCAAGTGAAAGTAATTGGTCAAATATTTTACAAACTCATTAGTGACATGAAACCATAGTTGTAAGGATGAAATATGAGTTGAACACAAATGATGTCAAATTTAATGATTTGCTGGAGTTGGTAAGGAGTTATTCAGAGAGTACTAATTAGTTTCTTTAATGAGTCCAAATATCAAAGTCCCACAAAATGGTGTGTGTATTAACAGTCTAGCTCAAAAACAGAAAGTTGTACAGAGGTGAAATTGCATATTTAGGGTTTTTATATGCTAGGGATGTTACAGCAACTTTTTCGTCAAAATCGGCTTACCGGAAGTGGCACTTTATATAATGCACTAAACACATTTTTACAATTATCTCGAAAACCATTTTAACGATTTTGATTAAATTCATCATATCAGTGTAAAATTAAGCAGCTTTAAATAAAATGTGGTTATTATTCTAATTGATGTTCTCTTACAGGGCTTAAATGGTTAATTTTCAATATTAGCTTTCTCTAAAGTACCTTTAATTTTATTTATTTGAAACAATTGACCATTTCACATTAATTTCTAACATTAAATATAAAATATGAAAGAATTTGATAAATAAATAAACGAGAAATAAGGGATCGCAACGGAAAATAGTTTTAATTGAGGAATGAAAGGAATAAGAGCAGAGCGCACACAAGTTTGAAAGATTAAAACACGCCTCCATACGTATTATGAGATTAATATAATACGGACTCTGACAGTATTATATAAATATACATACATATGTGGTTTTCATAAATGCTATTGTTGATATTATTTAATATTTAATTGTATAAATTACAGTGATATAATTATTTGTATATATGAGGGTATTTATATAAATAAAAATACCCACAATGAAATATAAAGTCTATAATTTTTACTTTCACTTCGCTTTGTCTGAAAATACTTATTTCTGCTAATAAGAGGGTGGTAAGTGAAAGTTGTGTGATGCCCGCACCACACCAGATTTTTTTTAAAGAGAATTTGCTCTACATTAATTCTATTAATTTAATTATACATTCTAATGATGATTTTCCCCCTACATAAACCTTTCTATTTCTCCTGTAATTTCAAAACATATTACTTTATTTATTGTAGATAATTTTTAAACAATTTATAACTTACAATTTGTGTATTTTATATTTGAATAGTAGGAATTGAAATTATTTGTAATCTATAATTGCACAAATTAAGTCATGTTCAAAAAAAAGTTTAAATAATAAAAAAAAATTGATAACTTTTAGTTTATCTTCAAGTGAAATACATAAGGATTCACATCTAATTTAGAGTAAACCGTAACTATAATTACAACCAAGGAATCTATGTTTTAACATCAAACCTTTAAACTAACCTCGTTTTGGAATTTCATGAGATCCAAGAGGAAGAACACTAGAACATTTAGGACCAGTTAGGAATATATCAGCACTGATATTAGCAACTGGATGAACAGTACCACGGACTAAACTTCTTTGCCTCCAATAAAGCACACATGGTAACTTCCAATCCATTGAAAACCAGACAGCTTCATGTGTAGGAACAGCTGTAATGCTTAAAAAATAATAAATAAATAAAATATATATATAGAAGAAGAAAAAAGTAAATTTTATTTAAATTTAAATATTGTAATGGGATATCTAGTCCCCTAAGAATAACTACAGTGAACAAAAAAATGACAATTGTCTGGTACTATAAGAAAAAAAAAAAGTAGTTAACATAACATAATAATCCAACCTTCAAATTAAAATAAATTAAGTACATAAATAGATATGAGTAATAGTAATATAACAGTCAAATGAAGATGTCAGTTCTTAAATACAAAATTTTGTTCTTACATGTATTCGGAAGATTGATTGCTTAGGAGCCAGGTAATGAATTCCAGAAAAAGATAGCACACATGACAAAGGTTTTTTAAAGGAAACGGTTCTATGAGAGGGAACAAATAGGTTTATGGACTGGGATCTCGTGTTAAATGAATGAAGGTAAGATGGCTTTTTGGTTGTAAAGGTTCGGATAAGGAATACACCTAGGAATTACACACACATATATATATATATATATATATATATATATATATATATAAAGATAAATGTACACAAATATAGCTTGATTAGATACATTATCTTTTGAGGAAATGTGATTATAGCATCCGAAGAGAAAAGAAATCCCTTATATATAAGTTAAGAGCATCATAAATTGTTTTGCTGGAAAAAGTAGGCTAAGATATCTACTATTCCATTATGAACTGCTTTGAGAGAAAAATATTACAACTTGTAATTTCTTTTTTTTTTTTTTTTTTACAAAAATAACTTCATTCTGGGACACAGTCCCTTGAGAATAACAAAATAAAAAGATTACATCCGGCCAAAATAAAATCAATCGAAAAAAAAGAAATAATGTAAAGAAAATATAAGGTAAACATTCAATATACAAAAAAATTTCTTGACCTTTGTACAGCTTTTTCACGATTTTCTCATCAACAGGTAACTCCACTGAGCGAAGCAGTAACATTTTTTTTTTGTCAAAATAAATAACTTAAAAACAAACACAAACATAAAAACTGGAACCACCAACTGTCCTCAATAGTAAATATCACAAGGCTATTATTTTTTTTAAAGTAAGCAGAATTTAATATAAGGTTGAACATAAAGGATTATGATAAATTATTGATGATTTTGGAGAGGTGTAAAATAAAATTAGGAAATCCAAAAACCACAAATGAAAAGAAAATATTTTAGAGGAAGGGTGCTCAACATTTTTATAACATGTGTAACTTTTAAGGGTTCTATATTGAGCTGTCAATACTGTACTCCCTCCCTTTCATAGGAAAGGCTATGGACCCTGTGCCATCTTAACGATTAATTCTATAGTATAGGCACTTGCTTTCTAAAATGTTTTTTGCTTTTATAAATTTTGGGAATACAGGGCAGTCTTGATAATCCGAAACTCTAGTAATCCAAATCCTGTTAATCTAAACAAGAAATAAAAAAAAAAAAAAGAGTGTTGACTGATTAGAATTATAATCAAAATGGCTCTCTTTCTCAGTACAGCTTACTGGAATTGCTTCGTGTGGTAGTATCAAAATCGTATTATGGTGTCCCTAAACAGAAATCATTAAAACTAGGCAGTTATCTAGAAGTTCAGAAATCTTTATATATGTTTATTGCAGTTAAGATCATGGGTGTCATTCATCATCATGACCATGGGGGATTTTTGTTATTCTAATGGTATTTATGATTTGTTAGCTGTAAGCTTAAAGCTTTAGCTTGGTTAAAAATTCAATTCAAAAAATTTATAATAGCCCAACATGGCCAGAAAATAACTTCTATTCAATGTTGAGTGGTAAGTGAATGTTGTGTTGTTGAGCGCAACAGATTTTTTTTTTCATTGTAGGCAAGTCATAGAAATGCCATGAAGGCATTTAATACTTGCTTGGAAGGGGCAAATAGATAGAAAATTATCTACCGAAGTTTAGTACTTTTATGGAATTAAATAAATCAGGTATTTTCTTTAGCGATAAAAGCATCAACTCAATGTGCATTATATGACCATTTTCAGAAATAATATTTTTGTTTGCAATGTGCTAATGTTTAACTGATAATGTATATATTTTCGTTACTTTGAGCAATTTTTCCATCATTTCAATTTTACCCTTTAATTGCCATGCAATCCACGTGTTCGGATTATCAAGACTGTCCTGTATAACAACCAACATAATGAAATAAATTAATAGCTACTAATAAAATGTGTATACTTTATATAGACCATTTTATCCTACAAAGAGAGCTTGCATTTTTTTAATAAAACCATTGAGAATAAACAATTTAAAACCTATTAGCAGACTGCGCCTTAATTCAGAAACACAAACATACCTTGGGTTAGCAACTCCTTTTTTAGAATAATACGCCATTCACTACCTAATTTCAATTTAAAAGCTTCTTGTTCAAAATAAATGACAGTTTCTTAAACTGTCAACATTCCTAAATGTACTAACAAAATAAACAAACAAAAAATAATTTAATGTCACCAGTCACACAACCCTTACCTAAAATCATTAAAAATATGCCACTGCGAAGACTGCCTATCTTCAGACCCATTGTTAGTATCAATCAAGGCAACTACATTTTTCTTTTCGTCATTAATGTAGCATACAACTCCAAACAAATCGTAAACAGTTGAGTGTTCAGGAATTGTACTCTCTTCAAATTTGGATAAAGACAAGACACCATCCTCTGATAATTTAAAACAAAGGCTCAAAGGAACCCAAGAATAAAGTGAGTACAAATGAGTCGGCATACTAGCTATTGATCCATCTGAAAATGAAATTCATAAACAAAACTATTTTATATTAATAATTGTGATACACCTCTATATATTTAAAGAAATGGTTGAAAAAATTCTTAATAAAATATATTAACAAGAATTTAAATTTTTCTATAAACATTAATTAACAACAAATACAAAAAAATATTTATTTACATAATAAGTTTAATTGTAATTATATAAACATCATAATTAACATCCAGATTATTATAAGGCTGTGTCAAAAAATACTATTTGAAATATTTTTTACAAAACTTTTAATTTCTCTTAGTAAATCATTATACTTTGATTCAATAAAAAATTTGTTGTAGTTGTCAATTTTGTTATATCCCAGTTTTTTGGATCGCTCAATACTAATGTAAGGATTCCTGACAGAAATTTTGCAAAAAAATGTCAAGTTGTTAATCCTCTTTTTTCCATCATAATCTCGAAAATTTTATGTTTTCTCAATAATACTTTACAACTGCTAAGTTTTACTCTATGGTCAACTATCATACCATTAGATTGCAGTGTAAAGAGGCCACGTTCGCAAAAGTGGTATGAACCCGGTTTATAGCATACATCTGATTAATCTTACATGTTTTTAAAATATACATGCTGTCAAGCTTTAAAAAATAAATATGAAGAGCATATTCCTGTTTGGTGTATCAGAATAAGCATTACTATTATTGAAAAATGACTGCGACAGAGGCCCACCAAATTTTTCTTCTTTACCTCTCTCATTGATATGGAAAACCACAACAAACCCTTCTCAATCTATGATTTTTAAATATATCATCCACCAAAACCGATTCATTATTGAATTTCATAGAAAAAAGTTACCATTTTGAGTTGAAAATGCCAGAATGACTACATACATGAGAAAATAACCAAGTTGAAAAGCTCATATATACACATAACCATTATTACTTTTTCAACACCATAATATAGCCAATAATGATTGACAATGAGTGATGAATAACAGAAAGAAAGTCACTGCCAATCAAATTGCTCCGAGTTCATTAGGAGGAGAGGAGACTATAGTAGAATAGAAGAGCCTATTTCACATATTTATGATATGATATGATATCTACCAAATTTATTAATTAAAATTTTAACTATGGGAGTATAACAAAAATTAAATTAAAAATACTGCATGATATTTTTATTATTATAAAAACATTATTTTTTTCTGATAAAAACATTGACTTATTTTTGTTTTAATGTTTGGTATAATGAATGATTCCAAAAAATTTTAAGTTTTCTTGTACCTTCACAAATGGCTAAGATGAGCGTTTCAGTTTCTTTTTTCATTTTTATAAAAGCTAAAATAGCTATCAGGCAGTTGAAATTAAAGAGACATAATAAGTTAAGAACTCCTGACGATTTTCCAGACTTTTGGAAAATTCGTTGGGGATTCCAGATTTTTCCATACCATAAAAAATTATCAACATATTCTCAAATTTCATGAATGGAAAACGCTCTGATATTTTCCTTGTTAACATTGGCAGTTTACATGAAAATCAAACGTGGAGCCAAAAACTAGGTTTAAGCAAACTTCGGGAATTTGGGCTCTTTTACAACACACATGATTGATTCTAGAGAAAAACTTTAGACAAAAATGAAGAAAATTTTATTCATTGTTATGTTGCATACTTACTTCTTCAGAAAATAAATAGTTTTTGAAGTGTATGAGAAACAAAAAAAAAAAAAAAGTGAAAACCAAAAAATAGGCTAAACAATTTAATATTTAAAAAAAAAAGTTTCCAGGCAAAATTACATTCAGTAAAACTCAGATTTGTGTTCAGTGACCAAAGAAACAGATGTATCAACATTCAAGACTACAAAAAAACTTTCCCCTATTTTTTCTGGAATAACTATGACTAACAAACATGCATACTGACATACACAAATAATAATGAATTAACCTGTACTGTGTTGGGGATGTTTAAATCTACAACCAGCTCTGATACACGAAGAACCATATCTGCATAGTTTACCAACACTTCTCATATCGCCAGAGCCCTGATATACTTTTCTCACAACTGCATCCATTTGATTCTTCCAAAACTTCTTGTCCTATTTATGAAATTAACTTAAATAAATCAATAGTACGATAAAACATCAATACCAAAAATATTTAAAAAGTACTGACAGACTCACTATTATTTCCACAATTCATAGTTAAAATAGGAGGTAAAGACTGAACTTTCCTTTGTTGAAGTGTTGGTTGGAATTTATGACAAGGTTCACACCACGCAGGAGTTACCTGAGAACCCCCAACACTCCACTCCAAAACTTCAGAAAAGCTAACTTCGTGAGAATCTCCTTTAAAAAAAAACAAACAGAAAAATGTAGGTAAACAAACTTCAACAAGAAATTATAAAGTTATAAGTGAAAAATAAAAAAGGGATACTACAAAGAGTAAATAGCTCAAAAAGAGACATAAAGTAATAAGAATATAAAAGGAAAATTCCAAACCATAAAAACTTGGGTCTCTAACAAGAAGGTGAATAGTTAACTCGTTGGACTGTTCATCGGGTAACTGTTTACCTGTATGTTAAACTCAAGAATTTATGGTTTCAAATTTTCCATTTACGTCTTATTACAAACTAAACTAAATGAACTCTAAATGAATTTTTCAGTAAATAAAAACAAAAGTGTTATAAATTAAGTTTATGCATTTATCAATTTCAACAAATAGAAATAAATACTTGTAAAACTTATGGGATAGAGAAGCTGTCTTGCAATTTCAAAAACGACTGTAATGTCACAGTTCAGTATAAATTAATGAAGTTGGTGGAGGTTGAGAGGGGGAGAGACTCAATTTCAACGCAAGCTAAAAGAATTGGTTTAAAATTTAATTTTATTCAGTGTATCTTCAATTATTCAACAGTTGGCTCCAAGATGGGTTCAAAGAATAGAAATTTTGATCAGTGGTTAGAGTGATAAGCTAAATAGATTGGTAACTATCAATTTTTAATATAAAAGTTAAAAACAGAACATGCTAACATTATACCAATGCAAGATGAAGTCTGTTTCCATGGGTGGAGTACTTTTGTGACAGTAAATACACTGTTCTAAAACTAAAGCCATTCACAGATATGAACAAAGTGAGCTATACCTTTTGAATCAGGATAGATCAAATTGTGAACTAAAACAGTTGCTTCTTTATTAGTTTTGTTGTTACATTTAAGGCAAGTGCAGACATGAGTTTGTTTACTGCCAAATAGTTTGCTAATATCAGTTTCTCCTTTCGTTGTGTCATCAATAATTTCATCTAAAAAAATTAAAAATAATAATTAGAGAATAAAATTTTAAGTTTAACAATACTTACAAACAAGTAATAAACTAAAAATATCAAACTCCAGAAAGAAGCCTGTCCATTCTAAGGGAAGGGGGTGTATTCGCATTTCTCATTAATGGCAATAGTTTGTGAGTGAAATCGAGTTTTCTTTTTTGTTCTTTTTTATTTTGTATCCTTCCCTTCCTTTCTTTTAGGCTATACAGGGTTTCCTTAGAGACACGAACTTGTAATTATTTTCTCAAATAATCTTTCATAGAGTTGCCGGACAACACGGTGCTGTGCACAGGCGTTAGCCTGCTCGGCCATTCCGCCCTCTTCAAATTGATGTCTATTTAATATTTAACATAGTGTAGCAGTTAGATACCCCACCTTAATCGCCTGCCCTCGCCCCTAACCCGAGAAAAAACCCATATAACCCAAAAAGGCGATGAAGGGATTTACAAAAAGAAAACAAAAAAAATTCAGATGCCCTCCACCTCCAAATGAAACTCAAGAATCTTTTTCTGAAAAAAAAAAAACGATGCACGAGACAAAATGTAGTTACCGGCAACTGTAATGTACAAATTATAGGAAAGCAGCTGACTACTACACCAAGTTTAAAAATAATCATTGATATCGATTTCATTAACAATCTACCATTGTGTTTAAATATATATGCTATTACAATATCCTTAGGTTGAACAGGATTATTTTCTAGTCACTAATTTTTAATTAAATTATTTCTTATTTCAACATTTTTAGTTTTTTTATGTATTAGTATTTTATATTCACCAAGAAACAGAAAAAAGTGATATTACCAGTAAACTCAGGCTTTATTTTCCTTTTTCTTTGAGATTGTATGTCAATACTGGGAAAATCAGTATCTCTAAAAATAAATGCTGGGGACTTGACTTCTTTCCGTTTGTTTTCCAATAATTCAGAATGCATTTGATGTAAAATAAATCTGTTCCAGCTCTAAAAATTAAAGAAATAATAAATTATAAGCATTTCATAAAACATTAAAATCACATACCATGCTATATGTTCCAATCATATCACCCTCATTAATCGATGAAATTTTTATCTGTTTAATTTCATTATCTCTACCAACATTTAATACATGGAACAAACAAATAAAAGTACTGACTTAACAAAGGGAAGATAAAATAAAAGTAAACCAGTCCTGCAAGAGCCTGAAAAGGGGAGCTAAAGGGACTGGGATTATTTTGTCTAGCCAGAATTTGAAACGGAATCATTCTGTACAAAGGTCTCATTATAATGATGGGTTAGCGGACCTCAAGATTTTATAAAGACCAGAAGGAGAGTACGACTAACCATGTCAAAATTCACGTTTACAAGGTATGTGGCGGAAGTGGGTATTCAAAAGTAAACTACCAAATCTGCTCCAACCTTTTCCATAGCCTTTTGCTAATTAATTTATTTTTAAAATGTTAAAATAATATGAATCTATAACAATAGATATGTATAAATGATATATCGAGTAGCAGTAATTTATGTATATTGAATTAAAATTAAAATGAGTCACTCAATAGAAATGAGACATGACAATAGTGTCGTAAGATGTTGTAGTGATCAAGTTGACCAAATTAAAAATTGCTGTAAAGTAGCTTAAAATTAATAAATTGAAAACTAAATATAATGCACCGAAGTAGAAGAGAGAAATATTGAGAAAATTAATAAATTATATAATACATGCCACAAAAATAAATCAAATATATTTCCCTTGAAATAATAAAATAATCTCTCTCTGAGATTAGCCTCAGAGAACACCTGCAGCCTATGAAAAGAACAAGGAAAGAAGAAACGAGGCCATGATAAAAGTTTTTCAAGCCAAACAAAAATCATGGGAACATTTTGGTCACAAAATGGAGAAAAAGGCAAAAGAGAACCAAAAGATCTGCAATTAATTTAATTGTCAAACTAACTACAATTTAAAATTTTACATATGAATTAATATGTATAATTTTTTTTTATATTAAAAGAAAAATTTTTTTAAAAAGGACTCGATCCTGAACTGTGAAGGCCTCTATCAAAAGAGGAAAGCACGCTAACCACTAGACCATCTAGACACTTAGAAGGGTAAGCAAGAACTAGTGTCCAAGAGTTCTACCTCAATGTGAGGTACATGAAAAAACACAATGATTTTAATCTCCCTTTCAATTAGTAGAACTTGAGACCCAGGGGGTCAGTAATGTTTTTAAAGGTGCGCCACTCACCTCAAAATGTTCCAAACTATTTTAGTTCACCTCCAACCGGTAGATCATATTTTGTATTCTATCTCGCTGCTGGGTCACCTGACAGATGTCCCCTTGGAGGAAAATAGTGAACCAAATATGAGGATTGCCTGTCACAACCTGGAGAGGAAAACCTTGGGTTTTGTCCAGGGAGATTGTGACGGGACGAGAGACCTCATGAAGATCCAGCTTGTTCCTCATGTCATGTCATGTGACACACGATAAGATACGAGCTGTGGCGGAAGTGGAAGAGAATTTCGTCTCTGGGACGTCTCGTAATATACAAATTAATCACAACGTAATTATACAAATAAATATACATTATCAAAATATACAAAATAAAAGGTTTGCCATAAATGTATAGAGATGAACAAAAATTAAATTAAATTAAAAATAAATATTCTATGTTGGCCGTAACAAGGTAAAACATATCATAATGCTCCCATCAATATCTCTACCCTCCCGTATTTAAGTACTACATACCTGCTTTTCCAATGTTGATGACTTTTCTAATGATTTGCCCTTCATTCAACCCAAAAATAGCACAAACCCATTCGATAGTCACTAAGACATAGCAATTATATGCAACTAATAACCTAATAAAATGATGATAATCAAATATAACATAATCCACTTAATGCAATATCAATATTAATAAAATATCATTCACCTGTATCAATAACAAGAAGTTAGCTTCTTGTGCTGAAGCATCAGAAAGGATAAGACGCAGTGCAGATGCTTCTTTTGCAGATCGTAATGCCCTAAGCAAATTTCCAGAATGACAAGGAGATCCAGACTTTAACATATGGAATAGAAAATTAAGCTCACAACAAACACAGAATTCATCAGCACAGGAATGAGCAAAGATAACTTCACGAAGATAATCAGTGAAGTATAAAATCTGTAAAAAAGTAAACAAATATATAATATTAATAAAAGGCTTGGCGAAACTGAAGGTTAGATGCCAACACCACTAATTGCTGTCTACAGACATCCCTCCTACAGCCACTTTTGAAACCCAACCAATCAGCCTTGACACAATCTTCCCACCTTCACTTCATTCTGTCCCTCGGACATTTACCAGTCGCCTTAGTGCATATTAACGTTTTGAGGACTCTTTTTTTACTAAGCCAAACAATTTTACATCCAGTTTATTCACCGCAAAGTGATTACCTCAATTATATTAATCAGATATAGTTCACAGGTTCGGCATTATGTAACCCTTCTGAAATCACCGGTTGATTCCTCCTTCTTTGAAAACTCTATGAAATACTTTATTTTTAAGATGTTGCACACCCCTTAATGTAAGCAGTTACATTTCGCAATTATAGAAGCACCAAAGGTAAGGTAATGGTTTTGTGAATTCCAATGTTTAAGTTTTGGGACAGGAGGCCATTTCTATTTCCTCTTTACTCGATTCTTCTAATAACAGTTCAGCACTCAGACCAGATCCAGAAGGAGGACACAGATCATTGTTCCCCATATTTAAAATATTGCTAGAGTGTTTCTTAAACTTAATATGTCTACGGGATCAGACAGCATATTGTTATTTCCATCCCAAATTCTAATTGTTAAGGTCTTACACATTTATCTGATTTGAGAAGGAGTTGATCGGGGGGTGCGGTCAAATTAATACTAAATTAAACAAGTAGAATTATTTAATTTTTGCTGACGTTTAATTTGACCGCACCTCCTGATCAACTCCTCATATTATATCAACAGTCAACCATCTCTACATCTGTCTGTGAATTAACAGTCTAGCTCAAAAATAAAAAACTGTACGAGAGTGAAATTGCATAATTAAGGTTTGCATATGCCTGGGATGTTAAAGCAACTTTTTCGTCAAAATCTGCTAACTGGAAGTGGCATTTTATATAATTGATTTGACACATTTTTACGATTTTTTCAAAAATGGTTCTAACGATTTTGATTAAACTCATTATTCTAAAGTACAATTAAGTGTTTTTTAATAAAGGGTAGGTTTTATCCTTATTGATGTTTTTCAATAGGGCATAATTTTTTTCAAAAATGTCTTCCTCAAAAGCACCTTTAATGTTGTTAGTTTTAAACAATTAACGCATATGAACTTTGGGCATTTAAGCCCTGTAAAGTGACATCAATGGGGATCAGACCTAAATAATATTAAAGGCCACTTAATTATACAACGATACACCGAGTTTAATCAAAATTGTTAGAGCCGATTTTAAGGTAAAAGTTGCCAGGACATCTAAGGCATATATCTATCTTAAATATGTAATATCAGTTTTGTACGACTTTTCGGTTTCGAGCTAGAGTGTTCACATACACACAGACACACAGAACATTTTTCAGGACTTGGTTATTTGGACTCAGGGGACCTCAAAACGTGTATTTCCGTTGAAAACTCAGATTCAAAAATGTTCACGATCGTAATACTTACACTTAATATATATTATATATGTAGGTAAGTGAAAGTAAAAATTGACAAACGAACAAAATCTTCGACGATGCCTAAATGGACAGACATTTGGCTTACTTATTTTTTTAAAGATTTGAGAATACTCAAATTTATACCTTATTTATACTTCTAAAATAGTGCCCTTCCTGTTATCCTTATCGATGAGTATAATATTTAAATTCAAATATTAATGGCCAATAATTTATATATATAATATTTTAAATCAAAATAATATACTTAAACAATAACTATAATATAACAAAATGATATAATTAAGATACATATAATACCCATAAATTATATATTGAACGGAAAAACCTGTTTTTAGGATTTAAATATATTGTCTTTGAAAACATTCAGTAAACACTTTTCTTATAAGCTTAAAGGATTCTATAAAGTAATAAGTAATTTATGACGTAATAGAAAATATTGTAATTAGTCTGATAACAATTCTATAGATATAACATTATATTATTCTTATTTTTCAATGAATTGGAAATTGACACACCTGAATCATGGCATTACAGTACGAGTTTGGTAGAGTAGCCTCAAGTCCACTAAAAGCAGTCTTATTGAATTGGTCAAGATCACACTCATCTAAAGCACCAATTTTACTATACTTCATATCAGGTTTTCTGTATCTTTTAGGAATAGCTAAAAATCCACCTTCATCCCTATTGCCGTCTCTTCTATTATAACCTCCACTTAATCCATTTTTATCATCCAAGTAGCTTTCTGCAACCTGTAATAATAAAAAAGATAAAAAATAGAAATATAAAATTTCAAATTCTATATTTCCAATGGAGCTTGAAAATAGTAACAAAGTAATGGAACAACAAGACAAGAGGAGAGACAAGGGTAAAGAAATCCTACCATAGATAAAGAAGGATACTATGTCCTTAATACTACTTTAGTGGAATAGAAAGGAGCATATAATTACAGTAATCTATTTAAGCAAAGTGAATTATCACATGTTCAAATTCAGGTTGAGTCACTTATGTGTAGGTTCTCTAACAGAGAGGATGAAACAGCTTATCACATAACCTGTTGGTGCGACAAGGCTAATCCCTGTGAAGATGCTAGGAATGATAAGATTGCCTGATCTGAAGAACTGTGAGCATGTCAATTCGACAAATCTTTTACAGTTTGCTAAGACTGCTAAAATACAATTTTGAAAGAAACAGTGGATAACTATGGTGCACAACAGACAATAGCACAATGGGCCTGATACGGTTGTGATGCATTTCCCGCTTAAAAAAACAAAAACAATTATGTAATTTAAGTATGACGTCATATCTACCTAGTTCTGCTATAAATACTGTTGCAAAAGTTAAACTTAGTTTACATCCTTGGGTATTATTTAGATAATTCTTACCTCTATCAGGCTATTTTCTTAACATATCAGGATAATAATCCCACTTAGTTTGTATTTTTCTTTCGCTCAGTTAACATGGAGGGGGGTGATAAAGAAAACCGAATAGCTGTGATCGCCTTACACAAAATTGGAAAATGTAGCTCAGAAATGTTCAACAGCCGTATGTTCGTGTATCGCACTGTAAATAGATATAATGAGACCCTATCTGTATGTGACAGACCTCGTCCGGGCCAGGCCGTCCCCACACTGTGAGAACGGTAAATGCAGTGAGAGCAGTGGCTGCTCAATTCAGAAGAAATTCCATTCGGAAACTACAAATCATGTCTCGGGAAATGGGAATCTCTGTCAGATCAAAGTTTTGCATAGTAAAAAGTGACTTCTTGTGATCCTTAAAAAGGATGGGTGAATTTCAAAGAATGACAGGACAAAGTCTAACCACTTCCTAAAAAAAAGAGTGGATAGACTCAAAGTACTCCTTGGCTGTTATACCAATTGTCTTCATCGAAAGATTTTGTTTAGCGATGAGAATATTTTTACAATTGAGGAGAAATTTAATCGCCAAAAGGATCGTATGTACACACACAGCTCTAAAGAAGCCCAGGAAGTCATTTGAAGAGTGGAAAGAGTTCATCATCCTTTCTCAGTGATGGTTTGGACTTTGATGGCACCAAACAGCTCCATTTTTGTGAAAAAGGAGTTAAAACAGCCGCTATATACTATTAGGACGATATTTTGGAACCTGTTGTCAAGCCTCTAAATGATACTCTGTTTGCTGTAAGTCATTGAATTTTCCAGCAGGATTCCGCTCCAGTTCATAAGGTCAGGTCATCTCAGCAGTGGCTGCAAAAGAACATTCTTAACTTCATCTCCACCTCGGATAGGCCCTGATCTCAGCCCACCAGATTATCGGCTTTGGTCCGAACTGGAGAGGATGGCATGCCACAGACCACACCCTAACTCGGAAAGCGTCAAACAATCTCTGGTGCGAGCAGTTGAGCGCTTTCCTCAAGAAGTGCTGCGTGCTGCTACTGATGACTGGTCATAGAGATTAAATGTCTGTGTCAAGGCAAAAGGGGGATATTTTGAGTCATTTATTTTTTGTTTTACTCTGTACAGATATACCTTTTATGTTCTAATAAAGTTTTTGAAAAAATTCATTTTTTTGTTGAAATCTGTACATATTTCCTTGTAACAATATTTATGACAGGACTAGGTATACTGCTTTGCTTCTTTCTGACCACTCCTGAAGCAGTGAAGCTATTCTTTCTAACAATGTTTTGTTTGAATGTCTAAACTTGAAATCTAGTTCTATGGTGAGATAAATACCCCTTATTATAAGAAAAGTATTAAAAATAACTTTTCTAATGTTTAATATTGCATTCCCCTATTTCACTATTACTTTCAAGAAATTACATTTAAAAAAATAGTCGTTGATCAACTAAGTTTGGTAAATGAATAATAATAATAATAATGTAAATATAAAAATAAAAATGTTCCTTGTTTGACTGATAGGATAGCCTATTCAAATTAGATATGTTACCAAAAACCATTAAAATTTCTAACTTATTTTGGTTTACGCTAAATAATTCCTTTTTAGAGTAACACAGATAAAAAATTATTATATTCAATCATATAAAAATAGCTTAAAATTATCTAACATTTTTGTACATAATATTTTTTTCTAAACTCAACAAGAAAAAAACTATCTATCTTTCAAAACTTATCCATTTCGATTTCAACACAATAGTGCTCTTTCAGTTTTGAATGGAAGAATTCTGTAACTTCGTTTTGAACAGCATCTAGAGAATGTAATAATTTTTTATCCACATCACTCTAAAAAGGAGATATTTAGTCTAAAACATATAGTATCATCGTCAAAGGAATGGCATGAGCAGTTGAGGATCTCGACATTACAAGAACTCTTTGGTGGTTGGGGTGGAGAGATCCTGGGAGGTTTGGGAAAATTTCACTTACTTAATTTTATATGCCACGGGGTCCCTATGGATAATCTTAAATATAAACTAAAATTTTTCCTTAAATATTAATCAAATTAAATTAAGGAATGAAAGAACCACTATATTCCCAAACACATTTTTTATAATAAGAACTTTTCAACAAAATCTTTACTTTTAAAATTACAGTCAAAAGTGAAAATAAACCAAATAGCTTTATTTTCTAGCGTGCTGAAATTTCAGCATAAATTTTAGACCTTGATTGATACTGAACAAAGACAAGATAATAACAGTCAATAAGAAAGAGAAAAAAAAATATGAAAAAAAAAACAAAAAAAAACAGATAAAATAGTAATGATAAGTCAAATATGTATAAATAAATAATGTAATTTCAGGATTGCTGGATGTGGGGATACATAGCAGCAGAGGTCATCAAGAGACTAAGGAGTCAAGAGAAAGAAATACGATTCAGGAAGTAGCCTGAGAAAATGAGGTGGCACACTGTCACTCTCCCTCCATGAAGTAGGGTAGGAAACAGGTGTAGAGATGGTTTTAGTGGGAATCCCACATGTCGATAGGTATAGGCCTACTCTTGTCTTTTGAAGATTTACTGCTATCCATCCATATACGCACACATATCTAGACCATTTCCCAAAACTTTTTTTTGGAATCAGGGAATCTTGAAAAATGAATCTCCATTGAAAACTTGGATTTCAAAATTTTCATGATTGCGATACTTTCCCTTACTATATATTTCATAAGTAAGTGAGGTAGCCAAGCGAGCTAACGGGTGAGCACAGCACCGTGTTGCCTTGCAACCTGATGGAAGAAATTTGAATAAAAAAACTAAAAGAAACGAGTTCGTCTGGCAATAATCCTCACTCCCTGGCCTGGGAAAACCCCTTAAAGCCTAAAAGGCAAGGATAGGGAGTAGAAAAAACAAAAGCAAGTAAAGGACAGGGGTTGGCTAAGTTGACCTAACTGCTTTTCATAACGTGGGTGCCCATGTTCATAACATGGACACTGCACCGCCGTTGCCTGGCAACCTGATACATAAGACTTTGATAGTCACGAGTTCGCGTCGGAGGAGTTTTTAATTCCCCGCCCACACTCCCTGGCCCGGGAAAACCCCTGTATAGCCTTAAAGGCGAGGAAGGGGAGGACCGAAAAAAAAAAAAAAAAAAAAAAAAAAAAAACATGCCTGGCAATGTAATAAACAGATAATATGATGAAATGAATACGAGTTTACGTCCCTGTGCCAGAGGGCTTTCAGATCTGGCATTAATTCCTTGCTCCTCTCTCCTGGGAAAAATCCATATAGGCCTATATAGCATAAAAGGCGAGGAAGAGGTGGACAAAAAAAAACAGGTGAAAATAAAACATACCTATAACTCAACAAAAAATATGTATGATATATATTCTATACCTGATTTCTTCGTTTAGTATTTGGATTAGGAGCATATCCCACTGTTCCTTGCATTTTCATAGTTCGAAGAATTTCAGGATCAATTGGAGGTGTTCTTCTGAAAAAGTGAACTACACTAAAGGAAACATTTAAAAAAATACAATAATAAATAGCGATATTTTTAATAAACTGAATAAAATAATAATTTAACAGATTTCAATAGGGCTGTTATTTAATTGAAATGTATTAATAATACATTTTATTAATACAGCCATTAATAATGGCTGTGGATAACAATGGCTATTCTGAGTGTTATTTATAAGAGCAACCATAATTGTATTAATCACACATAACATGATAAAAAGAATCTCCTTTTTTTTACACAAACCAATTTTGATAGAATTCATTTTTTTTAATTCTCTATATCTGTAACTTTTTACAATAAAAAAAAAATTAATCAAGTATGACTGTATAAGAAAAAATAATATAAAATAATATTGGATGACTAGAATAAACTAAACTAAATGACATAATTACACAACAATAAAATAAAAATAATTACCTATAAGCTACTTTAATGAATTCCTCAGGCCAATCTGATAAAAGAGGTCCTGAGGTAACAGGAAGCGGTATAGAGCTATATATAGCCAGAGTATCATTTATGTCAATTGATGAGTATGGCTCGATGGGATCTGGAAACTCAGTTTGTCTTGAGAAGGCATTATAGATTGGGTTGTGCGATGAGGCCATCAGGTGCAACGAGCCCCCGGTATCTCCCATACCAACGGCCTGACTCGAAGAACTTACATCCAATGATGTCAAAATACTTCCAGCACCAAAATTTACCTATGAAAGGAACTAATAATTATGTAATCCATTTCATACAAATAAATGAAAGTGTTTTATATAGTTTGATTTTTTATGTTTTACCTGATAAACTGTCATGTCAGGCTCAGATAAAGTAACAGTTTCAACAAACTGTAAAGTTCCAGTTGGAGAGGCTATTGCAAGTCGAGACGAAAAAGAAGGCATGAACCGAAGTAGAAGAGGATCTAGAAGAACTGAAATAGGAGCTACGGACCGAAGCATCCTCAAATCATACACAAGAAGTAGATTATCAACAGCTAAGCTGCCCTGTCTAACAAAATTTAAGAAAAATTAATTGTATAATGATTTTTAATGATAAACTATAGAATTTTACCATAATATTAAATAATAAAATGGATCATAACAATAAGAATAAATAAAATTTATTATCAACTACATGAAAAATCAATCAAGCAATATAAAAATTAAATTTTTCTAGTAAACACAAAGTAACTGAAAACGAATAACAAATTTTCACTTTTTATTAGTTTAATTTCAAGATAGCAGCATGTTTAAACAACCAAAAATGAAATAGACAAACAGAAAAATATTCTCTTTATAATAAAAATTTAGATAATGTGACTATTGGATAAAGATTAAAAATAGCAAAAAAAAAACATTTCAATGTAACCAAAATGGGAAGAGACACATAAAATATTACCCAGAAAGAAAAATAAAATCATAATATACAAAAATGAAAACAAACAAAAAGACTAGACAATGCCATCATGACTTTCTTCTTTGAAATATTATTCTTGTAATTCTTAAGGCCTTTGTACATGCTAGAGTTTTTGTGACAGAGCAGTGGCACCAGAGCACTCTCTGTTATAGATGTTTAAAGATATGAGAAAATTTACACAACTTTTTCTGCTGTTGGAATGCTCTTACTTCTTTTAGTTTATTTTTTTTTTAAATAAACTATTTTTATGTATTTTTTTTTAAAGATAAGTTTATCATTATAATAATTAAACCATCATTATTCAATTTAAAAGTTTTTTTCTTTTCTTAAGTTTATTTTATTGTTAGGTTATTGGATTATAAAAAAAAACCATAACTCGGCTAATGTGCAATGAAGCAATCGTGAAAAAATGATTTCAGAGGCTACTCCATCAATATATATATACACAGTCCTGTGAAAAAATATAAACTCAATTTATAAAATTAAAGTATTAGTAAAATTTAAAAGTAAATTCATATAAAAATAAAGTTTTTATACTTGTTTTTATGTTATTAGATTGGTAAGAAGCTTTAAATGCCCATTTATCTGTTTGATAATTTACAAATATCATATTTTGTAAAAAAAATCTAGTTTGCGGTGTGAATAAGTATAAACTCAACGTTTGTTTTCAATTGCCAGCCAGATGAATACATCAGGCTGGCAACTGAAAACAATGGACCAATACCACCTCAGTTTTCTTCCTACCATTAAAGACAGAGTATATTGTTTCTTTTTTTATGCTGCATCGCTTGGAGTGAATTAGTCTTTTTTTTTTAAATAATGCCATGTCGATTATTCATCGAGGAGCAAAGGATAATGGACCTAAGAAGAGAAGAGATGACCCAGAGGCAAATTAAACCGTTTCCAGGGAGTAGCCAAATACTTTTTTAATTGCGACCCAAACAATTATAAGAAAAAGAAAAGAAGTGGAAGAGCTCCAAAATTGTTTCAATCATGTGAAACAGCCGGATTTGAAAGAAATCTTGAAAACATTATGAGGCGATTCAATTTAGATTGTGGTGCCTATATATACATATATATTATATACTCATTTTGGTGAGAAAGTGGATAGCTGAATCAAAGTTCTTAAAATATTGTAATTTTTTGAGAAAACCACATCTCAAAAAACATAATCTGCAGCGACGATGCAGTTTGCTGAAAGATATATTCAAGATAGTAAAAAATGGTCCTGTTATTTTCAGTGATGAAAAGAAAATTAACATTGATGGTCCAGATGATTTTAATTACTACCAGCATGACCTTAGAAATTTAAACAAAAAGCTTGCTTATGCATCTTAAAGGCAGACATATATCAGGCGGTGGTTCTTAGATAAATCAGTGAGAGGGCTTACATGTCCGCTGTGGTCGTTTAAGTGTTATTGCATACTTGTAGGTAGCACTAAACAAAGTAGGATATAACATTTCCAAAGCCCATCTCTGACCTTTAAATCCTCTGATGATAGACCATTCATCATCACAATGTATCAGTTACTGTTTAGGGTCATTCTTGTCTAAATGGCTAGCTTTTTTGAGATTCACAATTTCATCTACACAAATCCTTCTCTGTTTATCGAATTATTTGCCTCCTTAACATCTATAAAAAGGTACTGTAAGTCCATTTGGTACTAGCATGTTTCTTCTATTTGTCTAATCAAGAAATATAAATACTTCTATAGTTAATCTACCTCGTCTAAAATCACATTGACTTTAATCAAAACTACTTGGACCAAAATTAAATTTTTTACTTATTAGAATTTCATCAACTTCATACATTGTACTTGGTAAAAACATGCAGCTATAATTGTCACAGTTCATTTTCTCTCTTTTTACTTTCACTTACCTATATATGAAATATATAGTAAGGGTAAGTACTGCGATTGTGAAAATTATTTCTAGTCTGAGTTTTCAACGGAAATACATGTTTTGAGGTCTCCTGAGTCCAAATAATCAAGTCGCGCCAAACGGTCTGTGTGTGTGTATTAGCAATCTAGCTCAAAAACGAAAAGTCGTAAGAAAGTGAAATTTCATATTTAAGGTTGTTACATGCCTCAAATGTTACAGCAACTTTTTTGTAAAAATCAGCTAACCGGAAGTGCCACTTTATATTAATGGTAAAAAATATTTTTACAATTTTCTAAAAAAGGCTCTAACGATTTTGGTCAAACTCCATGTCGGTCTTTAATATCATTTAGCTCTTATTCCCATTAATGTCACTTTACAGGGTTTAAATGCCCAATGTTCATATATGTCTTCCTCTAAAGTACCTTTAATTTGTTTTTTTTAAATTAATTAACTATCTCTCATTATTAATAGTTACGAAAAAATACTAAATATAACTTTTGAAAGAATTTGATGATTGAATAAAGGAGAAAAAAAATAAAAATGCTTATCCAGGTCGAAAATAAATCTCCGGAAATACTAGTCAGAAGGTATACGTATAAAATATCGTTGGAAAGCGAAGAATTTTAGAAAAAAATAATACAAAATAATGAAAGTTATAGAAGGTAACGGAGAGTGACAAAAAAATATATATAAATAATACTTTCAGAAAACTAACATTATTTAACATAAATCACATGTTTTCAAGAAACTGAAATGAAATTTTCTAAATTACTTAATGTAAAATTTTAAATTGTTGAGTTTGATAAAAAAGTATTTAAAATTCATTAAATCAAGCCAATGTCATTGTTTAAAATATTATTTCATTGTACTTGTGTGAAAGAAGTAGTGAAATATAAAAATATTTCATGGATATCTTTATAACCTTAAATAAACAGTATCCACTTACAATTAGTGTGACAACTTTTTGACATGTCAATGATATATAATGTGAATCTCTGAAAATAAAACTTATTAATCTGATTGTAACAGTATACAAGCAAAAAAAGAAATTGTAAATTTTTGACAAAATGAATTTAAAATTAACCCATTAAGAATCTATTACCTGTTTGAAAAACCACATGATACTAAAAGATTTCCATGGACATCAAAATCAGAGAGACTGCCATTATGAGTCTCTAATTCATGTTCTACTTTCAGAGTCCGAGGGTCTCTAAGCCGCACACTGCCGCTAGGTTCTCCACAGCAAAGAAATCTTCCTTGTTCTCGCATAATTGCACAACCTCCCTTGCCAACTTTTATCTAAAGAAATAAAAAATAAAAACCAATTGACATGAATTAGAAACTGATAATCTAATAGAGGGAAGGAAGGGAACAAAATTTAAATAATGCTTAATTTAATAAGGAAGATAAAACTTTAAAACATTTAGTCCTAACTTTGTATGAATTACAGCAAACATAGTTATTTACTAATAGTTTAATAAAAGCTTTTTAGCTTAAAAGCCCATTAAATGTAGAGGGTAAGTTTTTGCACATTTATCTTTTATTCACATCATTCCTTTTTTTATTTTTGGATTCTTACCATTTTCTCCTCTTTTTCTATTGTTTCTATTGTTACTTCATTGTCGCTACACAGACTTTTGATTTTGATAGGAGGCAGGAATTTTTATTATGCGTAAAAATTCAACAAAATTATTGTGAAATGAACAAATATAATACTGAAAACTTAAAATATATTTGTTTATATGTGTGTTTAGTTGTATGGATTTTTAATTATTATTTTTTTTTAAACTAATTATAGATACTTGAAAATATCTATAAAAAAAAAATACGATTGAATATATCACGTATTTGTACAGATTAAACACAGGAGAGTAGAGAAACAGCCTCCATAACATTGGTACATTTCCAGAAATTTTTTAGTTAAAAATGAATGATGTAAAAAATATTTTTGATTTTTTAGTGTGTACAATTTCAAATAAAAATATGTTTTTAACAGTACACCGCGGAAAATGTGAATTACATGAAAATTGCGAGGTGATTGAATCATAAAACCTAGGTTCAAGTCCATAATTTTGTCAACGTATTTTTCATTTTGATTTTTAATATATTTTTTAAATTACGTAACTGAGTTTTTAACTCAATAAATATATTAAAGACTCGTCTAATATATTTTTCATTCAATTCAATGAGAAATTAGTTGACTGTAACCTTCGAAGTGTTAAAAACCATATAAAGCCTGAAAAAAAAGTACTTATTATGGGGATAGTATAGAGGTGTTGGAAGTGGTTTACTCCACTAACAAAGGGATATATGATAAGTGAAATATTATACCTATAGCAAGATAATAAACATCTTAAATAATAACAATAACAACCTTATATTCAGAAAAGTAATAAAAACTTGTCTACTTCATTTTATAAAAATAATACTAGTAATTAAAAAAATTACCGTCTGAATTTCTCTTCCTTCAGCCAAATTAAATTCAATTATTTCAGAAGTGTGCCCACCAATTAAAATAGAATCTGGAGCATGTTTCCTTTGAATCAAGCATTGCATTTGTACCATATTTTCTGAACTGAAAAAATAAAATGACTGACTATAAAACTCATAACAAAATATATGACTGACAAATAAAATATATTTTTCATAAAGTCTACAATGCATAATATAAAAACCTGAATACAATCTTTTTATAGGATATTATACGAGTGATTTAAAAACGTGGATCTCTGGACAGAGAAACACTAACATGGATTTCTTTTTTTTAATTAAAACAATTTGGATCAAATTTTGGTTCCCTTTTCCACTGCAAAAATGAAAAGGAAATCATAAATGAAATTATACAAAATGGATTTATGAAGTTTTCATGACCTATTTCTGATATTTTATTTTTTGTCATTATCATTGTACTTTAATTTTTATCCATCCCAAAATATTCTTAATATAACAATAGATTGATTAAAAAATCAACTCTAAAAGCGTAAAGAGTTTTTTAATAAAGAATAAAAATTCTACTTTCAATATTTATTCCAACTTCCATTTGCTATTAAATTACTTAGGTCAAGAGATTTTTTTTTCCATTAAAGTTGTTAAGACTTGTATCATTCCAAAACCATATGTACTATCTTTCTTTTTTTTTATTAATAATTAATTCATTCACACCTGTCTCATTCAACATTGATGATCAGTGGATTGCCATTTCAAATCAGCAATACAATTATGATTGCATGTCAGGCACGAGGGAAAAAAATACCCAGCGGTATCTCTTCAAAATCTTTCATACAATACAGTATGGATTTCATATTTAAGCTTTGTTACTTGGTAGTGATTTTTGCAGTTATTCACTAGCAACTACTGGAAACCCTGTTATCAAATATGAGACCAAATAGTCTGTAAACTATACAATATTCATTAATAAGAACTCATACTTATTGTAAATGAACTTAAGCTTAACCTTAATGGAGTTCTTAAGAAGAATACTTCAATAAATAATGTCTATTACTAACATAATTATGATCTTAAAAATGATTGTTCTACTTTTTCAAATGATTACCATGACAAGCTTATCATAACACCTTATACATTCCAAACACAAGCCTGTGATTCAATACTTCAAATTGAACAGCTGCCTTTATTTCAGTATTTGAACACAATGAAATATTTTTCATTTTACTAATAAGCACATACCTAATAACCGAATCAATTTTCAACACTTGGCTTCTAAAGAGGATTGAAAATTAAAGTAAAATCTTTCACTTTTTATGTAAGAAAAACAACATGAATAGTTAATATCAATAAAAAACTTGAATTGTGTAACTAAACAAAGGTAATATTTCCATTACCTGTGAGTAAATATTGGTAAACCTCTTCTCATCTGATAGCGAAGAACTGACGGACTTAAACAGAGAATTCCACCTTCTGTAGAATAAATACATCTTATTTCTTCAGTAGCATGAACTTGAAATGATGTGTACTTCTGTAGATCTGGCCCATAATACGAAGTTACATGACCCTTTGTGAAAGGCAATTAATAAAAATTTTATAGTTACAAAATTAAGAAATTAAAAATATCCAAATAAATCCCTAAATTACCCCTTGATTTCCCATCCATAACAATTCTTCAAAAGAATCAAAAGCAATCGAGCTCACTCCAAAATTTTCACCACCATCAACAAGAATGGTATTTCTCTCATGAAATTCTGATTCAACATATTCCCCTGTGAAATGTTCATCCACATACCTATCATCAGCCAATGCAAAATTAGAGTCTTCTTCATATACTAAAAGCATAAAACATGTTTCAAATAAAACAAAATTTATTTGATGCAATAATATTGGATAAATATTAAGAGATATTACATAAAACTTCATCAGTTGAAGAATCAAAATGTAAACTAGTATTATTTAAATCCATTTCAATGCCATCAAAGTTTATGTTTACAGTTCATTGACAACTTTTCAATACCTCAAATTTTAAATGAATTCCTAACCGCATTTGGCCAATGTTTTGAACAGTGTTCTCACGTGACTGTCAAAAAATACCTTTATCTAACATTATCCTTTCTCTAAAACATTTAATAAATAACCCATTCAAAGAAAAATCAATCAAAGCTACATTAACTAAAGATTAAGGAAAAGTTTTAAAATTAAATTTCTGATTCACTTTAAAATAAACCTACGAAAAAAAGGAAGAATAGTAAAACACTGTAAAAATATAAGTGAGTGTTCAAAGTAATGACTATTAAAATTATTAAAGATGCTGGACTAAACAAAATATTTGTTTGACTTGACATCACTAAACGCATATTAGCAAAAATGAATTTTAAAAAATTCGTTGAGGGGGGGGGATCAAGAGTATAATATATAAGTACTTAATTGCAACTTATGGAAACAGACAAATTATCGTCAATTCATTGAAATTAGGAGATGAACTACATCAATAAAAAAAAATATATATATATATAGAACGGATTATAAAATGCAGATTTTCGCGATCTGCAGCCAGTAAATTGATGATTATCAGACCATTAAAAATCATAAAACACTTTCTCTTGTAATCATTAAATTTGTATTTTAAAAAAATACTCATTCATAAATCTTAAATTTTCAAATTTGGGGGCTGATGCACCAACATAAAGAAAATGTTAATATCAGTCCATCAATAAATATCAGTCCAAGCCAGATGAGACCAGTTTCAATCTGTGCTCATCGAGTTCACCTGTACTTTATAAAACCATTTTTGATAATCCAAGAGCACGAGAGAAAAATCGACATTATCTGATGAAAACTTTGTCATTTTTTTTAATATTTAAAGCATTAAAAAATGAGAGTCTGCCAGTCGAATCTTCCTACCTGTGAAAATGGCGGCTGATTTAATGATTACTAGAGCAGTAACTTGAGGATCGAATAATAATAATAATAAAAGGCTTAGCGAACGCAAGAAAATTCATTGCGAAAACTCTTTTCCACCTCTGAGCAGCAAAGGATTTTGAGAAGTAGTGTTAAAAAAAATAATAAATTTCTAGAAGAAATAATGAACTCCGATTCGAGAGATATAATTAATCTACATTAAAACTGTTAGTACTCAGTGGACGCATTTGATGCTCATTTGATGATGCATTTGAATTTGATGCTCTACAACTTATATTCTATCATTTTTTTTTCTCTTAGAGAACTCATTTCCAAGCTGCAGCATCATTAATAGTAATTTATCTCAGTTTATGACGAATTTGTTGGATGACCGTGGTTATCGTCTATACCACTTAACATTTTTTTAAGAATACGTTTTTCGCTTCGATGCACCGTTTACCAGTTACAAGTGAAAAAACAGAAAAAGATCGAAAAAATCTAGTTTTTTTTTGGCTAAAAAAATTTTTCCTAGGTGGCCCGCGTTAGCAATTTTGTTTTTTACATGTCTCGACCAATAGATACAAGTTAAAAAGATTAAAAACTTTCCTGGATTTTTCCCAATGAATTTTCCGTTTTGATCCTCAAGTTACTGGTCTAATATTCATCAAATCAGCCGCCATTCTTACAGGTAGCAAGATCCGACCCCCAAATGGTAAAATATAACCATGTTTTATGGAAAAAAAGATTAAAAAATTATCTCTTAAAGTATTATTGTTCGTGTAATTACATATAAAAGGACTTTAGGAATCACTCAAACATCATTTCACATAGGTAGGTAGTTTCTTTCTTGTTTCCAAATTATCGTTATTTTTATGAAAAAAAAGCTTTCGGGCTGAGGTCCCCCAAAATTAAATCCTGGATCAGCTTATTGGTTTAAACTGATTGTTAGTATGAAACAGATTTTAAAAAGTTTGTCTTGTTTACAATACTGCTGATGAGTTTGTTCATCAAAATAAAAATAATATTTAATGATTTTGTACGATTCTAATTCCTTGAATAGTTTTTCAACTTAACTAGAGAATTCAAAGTTAAATATAAGAAAATAAAAATTCAGGTCTTTGTCCATTGGACGTTACACTGTAGCAGCCAGTGGGGCTCTCCGACTAACCGGCTTTTCTTAGGCGGGAAATTCAAGGTGCATACCGATCACTGACTGCTACAATGGGTAGGTAACCAGAAGGAATCATCGGCGAGAGTCACTCGGTGGAAGCAGTTCCTAAACCAATACAACATGGAAGTCATATATAAACCAGGTAAGGAAAATTTGTTTTGTTCTTCCCTACCTCGCCATTTCAGGCTATACGGGATTTCCCCGGGCCGGAGGATGAGGGCGGGGAATTTAAAATCCTCTCCGGCACTAGGACGCGAACTGGTACTTATTTTTGTCTCTCAAAACTTCATATATCTGGTTGCCGAGCAACTTGCGCTGCTGTGCACACGCTTTAGCCCATTCGGCCACCTCGCCCTTAAGGAAAATGTTGTAGCAGACTGGTTGTCCAGAGCCATAATGATAAATGCCATCGAGAAGTGATAAGGGGGAGCCATCGCGGGACGTGCGGCAGTTCCCGAGAACGCGGGGACAGATGAATTTGGAGGAGAAGAGAGCTCAGCAGACACGCAGGAATGCAACGAAATAGTCAATGATAAGCAACGACAGGTGATTTGGAAGACCAGAAGTCAGGGCTTATGAAAATAGACAACAGTAAATATGGGAAGATGAAGACCACCTTTTGGTCACAACCAGGAGCAAAGGAAGAGCAACTTTGTAAGGCCTTTTAGGAACCTTCGGAACCGGGAAAATGCACTACCTGTATGCCGGGAATACCACAATATGGGATAAGATTAAGAAGATCTGGAGATCAGAAAAAATAGGCATGGACAGGACATTTATTCTTTGTAAATACCTGGTGGAAACATTAATGGATTTGGAACAGCAGAAGGAGGTAACGCTGGCACATCATCAGGGCAAAATGAATCATCAAGGAGTACATGAGACGTTTCAAGCATTATGTAGGAAGTATTTCTGGGAGGAGATGAAAAAGACGATTTTAGAAATCATAGTGATATGATTAGTGTGCGCAGGTCTGCGCCCACTTGCCTGCTGAATTCAGACTCCTTACATTTCACGCCCCTATATTTAAATCTATATTTTTCAACGTTCCCCATAAATCCCCTAAAGCAGCTCCATCCAGAGACGGAAGGGGAGACTAATTTACCTACGGATAATAAGCTTTTACCCTAGAGAGATCCATGACTATTTGCACAAGCGGATTTACAGGGGAGCTTTCGTGCTGAAGCCCTCTAAAATGGTAAGATATAATCATTTCTTATAAAAAATAAAAACATCATCTCTAAAAGAATTACTTTTCATGTAATTACATTTAATTGGACTTCAAGAAGCACTTACATATCATTTCCTATAGTTTCATTATTTTTCTTCCAATGTACCTATAGTTTTATATTTATTATTATTCGTTGTATGTATATAAATAAAAAACTTTCGGGCTGAAGCCCTCAAAATCAAATCCTGAATCCGTTAGAGACTTTGCATGGTGAATAAAGATACATCAGAAGGGATATGCCTTCAGTCCTGCATCACACCCTCCAGCAAGCCTTGGGGGACGCTCATATTGTTGGTAAGGGAGATCATCGGACATAATCAGGAGGCACTTCCATCAATCATCCCCATGTGTGATGCTTCCTTATGAATTAATGAGATCCGGGTATAATACAGATAAAAAAATACCCCTGCAGTTAGGAGACTCTGCTGAGACATACCTAGCCTCTATAAAATAAGTACTTTTAATTAAATAATTGTGGGAAAAAACTTGGTGTTCTAGCGTGATTCTGGCCCGATCACATCCTTCCACAACTGTTAGCCTTGAAACAGTACTAACTAACAAAATACTGAACCAAAACCATTCATGGATGTTAAAGGTAGGTTTTTTTTTAATACTCAAGAATACAGTATCAACAACACATAGACATGATAATGGTAATTTTAACTTGCCTTATTATAACATAGAACTTACCTGTTGTTCCTTTGCAGAAACTGGCTGGGCATGACAATTCTTCCATACCTTTTACAGCTTGGGTTTGATTAAATCAATAATATAATGCTCATGTTCATTCTCATAAAAACAAAAAAAATATCCGAATCTAGCCTCAAATCCTTGTACAAATGATGAAATTTACTACACTGGTTCTTAATCTCATTCATAAAATGTACTCCAATCCTTTTTCTTTCAATATAGAAAGACCAAATCTTTAAACTGAGAACCATGAGAGGATGACATGAATATAAGTTGACATACTCTCTCTTCATTGATATTAATGCTGCATATGATGATATTAAACATAAAGAATCTATCTCGCAATGTATGAACTTCAGGTCCCTCAAAAGCTCATCCATGTGATGATGCTCACCATGAATGAGGTGTTGTGTTCAGTATGCATTCATGGAGATCTATTTGAGGATTTATGAGTGATGCACAGCATACAGCAGGCCGACACCCTTACATTTCTATTGCCCTGGAGAAGGCCTTGAGAGAATCAAGCATACAGATTGGGCAGACAATATTCGGTCTTATGCAGACAATGTCAGCACCATCGGGCAGTTTCAACAGGCTGTCAGCATTTCTAGCACTGGTTAGTTCTGAAAAGAAGCTTCTACAGCCTAAGAAAACAGCTTGGCGGCCACATTTTAGCACATCAAACAAAATTACATTTGTACAAAACGATTATCTGCCCAGTTGATTAGATTCTTCTTGTTTATAGCAGAAATTTATTTGCGAGATGGAACCTGGATGGAAGAACAAACCAGGAGGGTTATAGTTTATTTTAAAAAACAATTCTGTTGAAGTGGTTAAACAGTGGGCGAGACAAGTGGCACACATGGGTAAAGAAGAGTTGGCCAGAAAGCTTATGATGGAGTCTCTGTATATAACAAGATGAGGAGAACTGAGACAAAGATGGGTAAACAAATCTGCAGCTGACACTTGGAATGTCCTTGGAGTGCACAACTGGAAGGCAGATGCACAAAACAGTGATAGTTGGCAGAAGTTGCTGTCAGAGGCCCAGACCTGGCAACGAGTGGTGCCGAAATAATATTAATTATAATAAATTATCACATACAACATTAACTTGTATCAATAGTAATAAATATTTTATTTAAAAATCTTAAAACAGACTCATAATATAAAAGATATTTTTATATGAAATAACCAAATTTAAAATAAAACACAAATGTATATTTTAATGCTGGTTAAGTCCAAGGATCCAATTGATATGTGGTGCATTTTATACAGAATAAAATGTAAATATAATATACAGGAATATTATTTTTCAATACTGAGCTTAGTCAAGTCACTTATTGCTAAATTGATGATTTCCATATCTTCAAATGAGAGGTTTCTATTAATGGTAAAATCTTTTATCTGATTTATGCAATCTGTTAGTTTAGATAATAATGAACTAATTTCTTTGCCATCAGAATCATACTTAATTTTTTTAGTTGGAGGAACATTTGACTCTTGTAAATAACATTTATGTACGAATGCATTAGAAAAAGCAAATTTATTATTAGCTTTGCATAACGGAATTTTTTTATAGTAATCAGATACATAATATTCTGTATTTACATCTTTTGATACATTTGTTAAAAGTTCATGATGAATATTAGCAAAATAGACAAAACTTTCAATAGCAATCTGTTTTATGAGAAAGTTAGAAGAGGATATACAGTTTATAAATATATCAGAAACAGTACTATCATTTAGAGACATAATGCTATGAGCTAAATTCTTTAGTGTAACACAAATGTAGTAATTTATGGAAGACTGTTTCAACATTGACAAGTCCAGTAAATCAATTAGGATCTAAAAAAAAAAAAAGCTATTAAGAGAGGTAAAAACAAACAGAAATATTTTGAGGCTGTATGCCCATGTTCACTAATTGGTATTTTATCCCTTTACTATCATGCTTCTTCAATAAAGGTTGAGATATTCTAATTCATTGTGAATATAAAAAAATATAGTATCGGTAGAAAGATATTGCAAAGAAACAAGGATTTATATTTCATGGCAGCCATCACACTATGTTACAAATAGCATTAATGAGCTGTTGTGTTTAGCAATGACACCTGTACAAAAAGATCTGCTTTTGCCTTGCCTATCTGGTGGTGGCAGGTAGTGTAATTTCAGCTGGCAGTAATTTCAGTGTAATTACACAGAAAGAGACCTTGTCACCTTTCTGTGTAATCATCGCTGAATGCTTTTGTCAATAGTCATCTGTTTATTATACCAAGAGATATGGGGCCATTATTGCACAGTTAGTTAATTACATATGTAATTAATTTGTAAGGTGGAACATGTGTACTGACTGACAGTTATAATAGCAATAGATTATTTAACTATTTCACAGACAGCATTGACTTAAACTGTCGGTACACAAATTCAGATAATACACCTAAATAAAACATTAACTTATATTCCTGGTATTATAGTATTTGGATTTTGTGGTGTTTTCTTTTTAGACCAGGTTTGTGTTTTATATCTAATAGAACCAAGATCAAACTGGGATGTACAGGTAAGCAAATAATAGATCAGTGCTGGAAAATGTAATAAGCAACTGTATTAAAGAAATGTCGAATGAAATAAAATAGAAAAAATACAAAATAGCGTAAGAAATAAGTTTAATTTTATAGATTGGAGGAGAATCTTTTTTAGGACAGAAATAGTGCAAAAGCACCAGTAGTCGACAGTATACCAACCTGACATCGTCTTAAAATGTGAATAATACCTCTATAAAACTCTTTCGCTTAGAGTTTTTTTAAATTATGTTTTATATGTTTTTAACCTATCTTGATGAAGGAATTATAAATTTAATGGGTGTCAGCTACTGGAGCCTTATAATGGGGCCTTTCGCCAATAGCTGACAGGCCTATACTCTCATGAATGCCAAAAAGTATACTCAATATAATGGGTATTAAAAATGGGACCATTTACTACTGTCAAATTAAAAAAAAAATTGCTAATGATTTTGTTGAAATATAAAGCAAAAATAGGTTTTCCTATGGCCGAAAACTGGTTCTTGACAGTGACCAGCATTTATTGATAAATTTCCTTCGGAAAACGCAAGAAGTTAGTTTTATAATAATTTAAAGATAATTTTTGTTAATCATAAAATGAAGAATATGAAATTCAGATTAAATACATCCTTGTTCTCATCTCTGTCAGCTATAGGAACATTCCAAATCAAACAGCGTTAGCTACTGGTACAACAAAGCTATTCTCTTAATTTTCAATTTTTTTTAATTTAGATGAATGTGTCATGGATTTGAAATATGTCTTGGTAAGATGAGAAATAGTTCTGTAAGATGAATCCATGAGAAATATAATAACATCAATATTTTAGTTTTTACAAGTAAAAGTTCGAAGAAATTTCCTTAAGCATGTCAGCTACTGGTGCATTTACCCAAAGTAGCTTGGATCTACAGGGAGTTTCAGGGTTAAGAGGACAAACTGAAAATATGAATTAAGGACCTCAAAGCAAGAAAAAAATTTCCTCTGAAGGTATGTCCACAAATGCTTTCTTTAAGAGATATTCACACATAAAGATTTTCTTTGTTATGAATTATTTACATTATATGAAATAAATAAAACCTATTTATTTGTTCTAACTACTTTATTAATTAAATGTAAACATTAACATTTATACTAAACGTTGTTCAAAGTGTAGGTATGTCCGCAAACACTTTGTTTAGGAGATGGATTAGATAAAATACTACTATAGCCTTTTGTCCCTAACTGTGTAAAAACTATTTCAACATCAGGATTAATACTTTTTGGAATTAGCATTGGGAACTCTCAATAACATTTATCAGTTTGTAAGAGGTTTTCGCAGAGTACTCATCATTATGCCTTCCATTTATACTAATGGTGAATATGCCGATAAGGTGTTTGGGGTGACATTAAACAAAAGGTCTGTGCAAGTCCGGTCAATGACCTTAATTCCTTTTAATACTAATAATAAAGATAATTGACTCTTGTGAAACAATAACACATATCCAGTGCCATTCTGCCACTACTGCTGTTGAAGAAAGATCCCGAGCCTTGTCTTAATGCTCAAGGAAATCCCTTTGAACATTTAATATGAATTTAATGTTTATGTTTAATTAATAAAGTAGTTGTAACAAATAAATAAGTTTTATTTACTTAATATAACATAAATAATTCATAACAACTTAATGAAAAATACTTTTTTTAATGTACAACTTTCTAATGACATTCAAAAATTGCCTTTTTGTGTCAACTTTTTATAGACACTCAAAAATATAGTTCTTGTACAAAAATTTTAAATTTTCTCTACTTTAGTTTGAAAATTTTTTTTTATTATCAAATATTGTTTTTAATAGCTACATACAGACCCTTCTTTCTTGTAACAACGATGATATGAAGTTTGTATGTTCTAAAAATCAAAATGTTAATTCTGAGCCGAATTAATCTTTTTTATACATATAAATATATATATATATATATAAGACCTTGTAGATTTTTGACTGTGAGATGTGGTCTTCTACGCCACATCTCAATTCCTGATTTAACTACACAGAGGTAGAGTCATCAGTCCTACCAGTCGGTGTGAGTTGCCTCCAGTAAGCTGACGGGTCTCGGACAGCACGCTTTTCCTGGTGGACAGTCACCCAAATCAGGCGGTCACCCATCCAAGTGCTAACCACGCTCGGCATTGCTTAACTTGGTTACCTATTGCAAGTGCCTTAGCCCGTACAGCTACCTCAGCCCCCACTTTTATATATATATTTATATTTATTTATTTTACTTTTGAACTGTGTTGAATTAAGTTTTTAAAATAATAATATCTAATATTACTTAAAACAACTGAGTAATAATAATTAACTTCTTACCAATTGTTTCAGGTAAAAATATATAAAACCTATTAAACATAAAAATTATTTTTTAATGCTTACTTAATTTTAATGACTGATAATTAATCATGACATAACCTTTGTTACTTTTTCTTTTATCGTAGAGAATAGGTAACTGTTAATGACAAAATTTCATTTTTTATTCTTTTCATAAATCTCTTTAAAAGTAATACACTCGAAACTTTATCTATCTATCTATATTTATATCTGTGTGTGTGTGTGTGTGTGTATAAGTGAAAGTAAAAATATTTATCAGTTAATTATTCATTCAGAACTTACTGAGATAACCAAGTGAAAAAAACAATAAAAAAAGTAGCAACACAGTAAAATATTAAGAATCAAAAAAGAGATTCATAAAGGTTATACCTTTCCAATGATACTACTGCCTCTTTTTCCATAATATTTCGGGATGCCTCTTGTAAATAAAAAAAAAATGTAATACCACCAATCTGGCTGCCTTACGCTATTTCTAAGATAGGATTCAAATCCAAGCCACATTTCAATAAAAGCATCACTAAGTTTGTTATAGGTTTCTTCATCATTTATGTTATTACAAAGGGTAACTGATTCAATCTAAAACAATAATTTGAAATATAGATAACAATTTAATGTTAAAAAAATGTATTGATTTTGTTAATACTCTGGTTGATTATAAGATCATTTGAAAAAAATAATAATGTTATCTATATTCAAATTATAATTTGAAATACAGATAACATTTTAATGTTCTAATGAAATGATTTTGTTAATACTCTGGTTTAATATAAGACATAATTTAAAAATAATAAAAACCTAAATATAGAGTTAAACACATTTTTTCCAGATATAACTATAAATAAAATATAACCTACAGGAGAAAGTATTTATATAATACTTTAAACTTACCATATGTAAAAATTGATGCGAAGAACACTTCTTAGTATCTTTAGCCAATAATGCACTAGTAATCACATCATAAGACATTATAAAATCATGATTCAAATAAAGCGAGAGATGAGGATGTAGCTGTAGTTGAAATTGTTTTTCGATGATATCTTGTCCATTTTTTGAAAGCAGGTGAAAAAGTCTTCCAGCAGTGAGACCAACTATACAAGCCTCTGGTCTTTGCATTCCAACCCAGTCCAAGTTACACAAAATCTGACACAGAAATTTTGTTTCTTCGAGACAAACTTCTTCATTTGTTAACCTTTACTTAAAAAATATACATTATAAACATATTACAAAACAAAAAAACTAAATATAAAACAATCCAAGCTAACAGTCATAAACAGGTTGTCTTCAGTCAGTACAATACCATAAAACAATTCTTTTAAATAACACACCTTCCTATGAGACACATGATGTCAGATATAAGCACTCCAGTTTGTACATCAGAAGTAAAGAGAAATTCTATTAAAATATATTCAGTTTCAACAAACTGTTCACATGTTAAACAGGAGATCATAAAGGCAACACAGATACTTATTAATGTAGTGTATACGTCAGTTCCTTCAATTTTAATATTTAAATTTAGAATTGAATAACCTAAAACAATATGAAAGTTAATAAATTTAGAAAAAATGTAAACTTATCCACATAACAAGCAGGATACACTGCTTAAAAATAATAATAGTAGTACACCTTAAGAACCCAGAGATTCCATTCGGATCAACTATTGCCAAAACATTATACCCTTCAACAACTTTTATGTCTAGTGAAATACCCAGTCACTAGATTCCAACTTGAATGTCCTTCCTCCAGCTATAGACACTTTATCTTAATTTACATGCTTTCCTTGAGCACTATTAACATTAAAGACAAATGAAGGAAAATTGATTACAGTTTGAATGAATATAGTATATGAATTTCATGCTATCTAGAAATGTAAATTACATCATCTTTGTAGTGTCTACCCAGCAGAGATTAACGCGATTGCAATGAGTCGATATGTCACAAAGACCCCAGTTACAAATGTAAAGCCATGAACAACATGTAGCGAGACCATCCAGGGATACACAACATTCTAAGTCTTATAAAAATGTTTCATGGAGTTGGAACAATGACAGAAATTATCTGGTTCCCTGGCCATATAGGTATTAAAAGAAATGAAATGGCTGATAAGAGCAGCAAAAGAAGCTCTTATCCTTCCAGGGCAAGGTTAAGCTTTCTTGAAAGCATCTGAACTTGCTGTGGGACAACAGCACACCCATCAAACTCAAGACCACAAAGAAAGAAGTACAACAATGGAGCAGTCTCAGAGAAGACGTCCTCATGCGGCTGAGAATCGTTCATACCAAACTGACATACCTCCACCTTATAACAAAAGATCCTCAGGTATAAAAAATGTGGCCAGATATTGACCACAAAACATGTTTCAGATGAATGTCCATTTTAGACAATATTAAAAAAGTTTAGAATACCCCTGAGAACAGCAGCTTGTACTGGTGGGGGAACTAGTCTGGCAAGTGGGCCTATCATGGTCCTTTTTGCCAACAATGACAACCACGTTGAGGAACTTACCAGAGTGGGAGTGTCACAAGCCATTTCCTGGGGCTGCCGAGAAATGAAAAGTAACTGACCCAGGCGAGAATGGTACCCACAACGTTCAGAACTGGGCACTCTGCAACCCACGCCCCAACGTGCTCGTCCATCCTGTCCTCATAGGAAAAAGTAATTGAAGTTATTAATTTCCTATGATAAAAGGGTTAGTGAACCCGAATGTTCTAGGCTGACACCACCAATCACTTATTACACACCTCTCTCCACCGTTAGCCATCCAAACCCAGTCCTTTCAGATCTGCCTAAGCACAATCTTTCCACCTTTGTTTCGGTCTACCCCTTGAACGTTTACACCTGAAAATATAGGCATATAAAGAAGTGAAAAGAAATGAAAAAAGATTGACAGAGGATCATCAGTTGTAGACTAGTTAAATATATTTTATAAGATTTTGTTTTTGTGGAAATTGATAACGCCGAATTGCGTGAACTGTACCAGGTTAATATAATTGAGGTGATTACATTGCAGAAAATCAAATGGGCTTGTACAATTGTTGGGCTTAGTAACAAAAGAATTCTTAAAAGGTAAATCAAATAATATTTGCTGTACCATTACATGTAATTTCAGTTTAGTAGTTAGTTTCATAAGACTTTTCGTTATTGAGCTAGCCTCTTCATATACACATATCAGGAGACTAAAACGTGTATTTGCATTGAAAACTCAGATTTGAATATTGTCATGATCACAATACTTTGTCTTACTACAGATGAGTAAAAGTAAAAACTCAGCTCTTTAATGTGTTTAGAAGAGTATTATTAGTATTTCCTATCCCATAAAAAAAAAATGTAGTCAGAAGACAGACAAAAGTGTGATATTAAAATGTAAACATTTTTTTGTAATATATTAATAAGTTCTGGTTCTTGATTAATATAATCATCCACATTTTTGAAAAGGGAAACATTTGGTAATTAGAAAATCATTTCCATCTGAATTCACATAGATTTTCAACGCTACTTTCCTCAGCATATTATGTGATACCATAAGTTAGAATAATAAATATTTCTAAGTTGGAAGCAGGTATCCTGCCAACGTTATTACCAACCCTTTTATTTTAACAAAATTAGTACAGATTCCTTTTACTCTTTGAGTGTTATTTCATTTATTGCATTATTCTCAGACTAATTAATTTGCATCCTCTCTTCCCTATAATGGCACATTTAAATTAATATTCACATAAGATTAAACATCAAAAAAATTGATCCATGGCTAACGAGAGAAACCTGGGATGAATTTTCACAGGAACCTGTTAAATATAAAATTTTTCATTGAAACCAAATCTCATCTGTTAGAACAGATATAACAAAAAATTACACTATTATCATAAAATATAAGTAATGTTATGTAAAAAATAAAACCTAATCAACTGAGCCCAGAGGCTGCAGCGATAACTGACCCAATCCCTTTTCATCAGGTCAGGGCTGGCTAAAAATATAACTGGTTGGAAAAATAATTCATTTGAATTTGATTTTTATTACATGACTCAGGTTTTCAGAATATAATAATATTATAATAAGCCCTAACTTTTGCCATCATACATAAGGTTATCTTTTTGATACAACCCTAACATTATTAAATCAAGTAAAATAATTAGAAGACAAATCAACTTACTCATTGAATACAGATTAATTATATTAGGCAATAATGGAATTTTTAACCAACTTCCTTTAATCTCCTCATCATTGCAAGAAATTAAAAATTTCAGAAGACGAAGATGAGTAAACAAATATCCAACAGCTTCTTCCGAAGATAATAAATGCAAATTGCTAGTCACTTTGGTAAACCTCTAGAAATATTTTACAATTCGTTAATAATTTATATAATATGTGTTTTTGGTCAGTTTTAATTAATAACTAATAAATTTAACTAACAATTTATCGATTATTGTTATCACTTAGTAACAATTTAAAAGCACAATCATGCCAAGTAGAAACAATAACAAATAAAATAGACACTGATGATAATTGACATGATAAGAGCTTTCTTCATAAAGAATTCACTAACACTGGTATCATAAACTGATCCAATCTCTAATTATAACTGAAATAAGTTACTTTTCAATTTTATCTTTAATTATTATTATCTGAATTTGTTGCACTAACTGCCAACCAACACCATAAACTAAACTACAGCTATGTACTAATTTAAAAAAAATCTTGTATGCTCAATTTTCAGATAACATCCAGCTTTGAGTACAAATAGGTTTTGATTGAAAATTCTGAGTCTTTTTACCTATCCTGTATATTTGTGATGCATAAGTCCATATGGGTTTTAGTAAGTAAGTGTAAGAATTTAGTTGTTGGCTCATATTTAAAATACATCTTTTATGTAGAAAAGAATACAGAAGCTTTAGTCCATTATTTAGGTCAGGACTTTTCTGTTTAATGTGTGACCCCCTTGTCATCATTCTGTTGAACATGAGTCCTAAGAAATGAACTATGTTAGTCTGTTGAATGGAAACATTGTTTAAGTGAACTGGATCAGATGTGTCATGTCAGAGCAAGTAGGTAATGTGCTGTGATTTTGCACTGGTGACTTTGATTTTCCATTTTTTAAATCAGTCCTATTATTATAAATAATTCAGATATGCCTGAAGGATGTCAGCATGTTTGGTGAGAATAGCTCTGTCATCTATATAGGTTGCAATGAATGTGTTAGAGTAGTTGGTATGTGACATATGTATATATTGTATAACCTAGATGCTAGAATTGGATGATGGGGTGACCAAGTGGGCTAACAGTGTGTAACATTTGTGCTGCCCATCATTCTTGATAAACTGAACATTACGAGTTCAAATACCAGTGCCAGAGGGACTTTTAACCCTGGTATGATTTTCCCGCCCTCTTCTATGGATCAGGAAAACACTGTATAGCCTAAAAGGCAAGGAAGGGGGGAAAAAAGGTGCAAAGATTAATGAATGAGAACAAGATTAATGAGCAGACTCCGAATTGGTGTCCAGGTAGAATTTTATTGTCTGTCAGTATGGTGAATATAAGTGTGTAAAATAATTTTTTCAAAAATTTTAGAGCAAACCAGAAGTAAGCTAAGACTGAATGATGGATTTGCATCGAGTTGTGAGAAAGACTACTGCTTTTCTTGTCGTATGCTGGAGAAGTTCAGATCACATCCATATGGGTAATTTCCAGATTTGTTATATACCTCAAATGGAGTAAAAGCCGAAGGAGGTTATGTCAGTGGTAGAGGGATGTTACGAAAATCTTGTATGTAATTTTCATGTTCACTATTTGGGTTTACATATACTTAATTCAGTCCTCTATTTACTGCTGAGCGGTGTGAGGTTCTGTGTTTATATATGTAGTGTAAAAACAATCAAGAGATCATTTTAGTAGGCAAAGAGTTCAGATTTTTCATTGTCCAACACGGTCCAAGAACTATCCTGTTTCCTTAATGGCACAAGTACTTCGTGAAGCTTTAGTAACTTTTTGATTGGTTTCCATAAGCTTTCATCATTAGAAGTGAGATTATTAATAAATGTATCATAGTTATAGTTAGTCAGCTTGAATTTCTGTACCTGTCATTTTAGTTCATGATTTATTTGGTTATCCAATGGTAGTCTGGTACACTGTCATACCTTATTAACTCTTTTCTTGTCTCTGTATATTTAATTATATATTTGGGCTCTGCATGTAATAATTCTAGATAAATTATATATGATTCAATAACATAAATTAATAAAATACTTAACATGGGTGTTAGAGTGATAATGTAATATAATTCTTTCTCCTTACTTCAAGAAAAGATCTATCTTCAAGTAAATGAGATAATAGTGGAGCTGCTCCTATGACTAGAAATCTCTCTATTTCGGTATCATCAACCTTATTACCCAGCCTAGAACACCTAGAATAATAACCATATAAATATGAAAATAAAACTGAGATTAAATAATACTAAAAGAACAGTAAAACTGGGCTAAATTAAAATTTAATATTTTTATCACAAAATAATTCTTTTTTTGATATTAAATAAATATTGCAAAGTGTAATGAAATGCTGACAAACAGACTGATGAAATGATAGGAAAAAATAAGTCAATAAATAGATTAAAAGGAAAGATCATTGTTCCCTCACAGAACAAAAAAAAATATTCTAAAATAAGGAATAGTTGAATATAACAAAAACTACTTACTTAACTTTATAACAGATGGATTGATACAAACCAAGTGGTCGAAATAAATTGGTCGTTTGACCATTTTTAATTAATCTCTTTTAGATTTTGTATGGTCACTCCACCATGTTTCTAGAGATAAAAATACCCGGGGAATTTTCTTTTCTTTGGCTATTTTATCTGTGGTAGGTATGTGCCCAGTAATAGGTCAACCATACCATTCCTACTAAATATATCTGCCTTTTTATTCACGGAGAAAAACAATGGTTGAAAGTGTAAGTAAGTTTCAATTAAACCACGGAATAAAATAAGAAAAATCATTTTAGTCTGATCAGTTAAAAAAATTTACCTGTAATTCTTCTGCTCTTAAAGAGTACATACAAACGTATTTAGCCACAACAATTAATAAAACAAAAGAAATTGATTATTATGGGATTTTTTTTTCTGTTGGCATTAAAGACTTTATAGATCTTTTATCGCTTTAAAAAGCCATCTCTGCCTATCTTAGGCTATTTCTTTTCAGTTATCTAAATGTAGCTGTATTGCATCTTTGTTGATTCTATCTATCCATATACTTTTTAGTCTTCCACATGATCTTTTGCCTTCTATTAAGGCATTCATTGTTACATAGAGGCTTCAAGAAAGGTTGCTCTAAGCTACATGCCCTACCCATCTTAACCTCTGTGCTTTCATATCATAAGATATTGATTGACCAGTTTCTGTAAACAGTTCTTTATAGGTCTTTCTTCTCCATGTGTTAGTAATCTGATCCCAGATCGCTCTGGTTATTGTGCGGAGGATTTTTCTCTCAAATCCATCAATGATTTTTTCTAGTTTCAATACTAGATTTGTCAGGATTTCTAGACATAATATATTTCTAGATTTGTAGGGATTTCATATATTTTGATTTGCCGAGCAAATCGGCCAATAAGTAAATGAAGACCAAACATTATGATGTTACAGTAATTTATATTAAAATTTCCTGTTTTTTCATATGTAATTTACTATTCATTACACATGAAAGCATTCACAAATCTATTTGAATTTCTTTATTAATTTTCTTCGTCTTACCAACTTGAAAAGTGGTCTATTTTATTTATTCATAGTCAGTTATACACAATATATATTAGACATATAAATATATTAAATTTGTGTTAAATGAAGAATAAAATGTAAACCTTAGAAGCATAATATTATTATATATTTAAATATTTAATAAAAATTATAATGAAGTACCTATTTAACACAACCAGCAAATTTAGCAGACAGTCTTCAGAACCATTTAAATAACCTTTATACATTTCACACAATTTAACTATCACTTTCAGCTGAAAATTGGCTAATTTTAAATCTCGAGTCTTTAATTTCGCTTCTTTTTCATTCTGAAAATTATAAAATGGTGTTTTGATAAAAATAAATAATGTACTTATAGAACAGATATTGTTGGGAGTTCATCCCCACTCCATTTGTTTCTTAATGAATGATTTAACTAAATCAATAGATCTACTTTAATTTCATTCAGCATTTTCTTTTACTTAAAAAGAAACCTGTCATGCTAACGAATATGTTTTAATAAAATTATTAAAAATACAAAATATAAAAAAAGAATATTAATTTATGAACAAGGCATTTTGTGTTATAAGCTTTACCAAAATAATAGGGCTTTCTGGGTAGTGGTTTACGTACCCCATATTTAATATTTGTCAGCCTATAAAAAATAGGTGTTATAAGATTAAAAATGGAGCAGAAAAAAAAAAAACATTCCCATCCTCTACTCCAAAGGTTTTAGACTTTCAAAGATGTGTATAAATATATATTGTGTATAAATATATACTTTTATATAAATATATATATATCTTTCTAATTATATTTTTGTTTTCTAAGAGTTTCAATGAAACAGATCATTGAATCTATTGTTTATAGTGCTTGTGTCTAAATATATTTGTATACAAATATCTTCTTAGTATTTCTTCAACCTTTGGGTGTGACGTTTCTTTCTTCACACTGAAAAGTTTTGATCAGTTTATTTTATTTATTTTTCATCTTTCCTTAATAACTTAAGAGTTTCTATCCGATTCGGTATGCAATTTTTTGAAGTTTATTTAAGCTAATCATTTAATTTAACTTTACTAAACTTTTAAAATAAAACTCTAAAAGTTTTATTAGAATTCTTTTTGAATTACTAAATATTTTTAAGTTCCTCCTGCTCCCATGAAAATACAATTATAGATATAGAGATATCCTTATTTTCTTTGTGTTGAACAGATTTTCTCAACAACATTACATCGTTAATACAAATAAACATGTTTACCTAATATTGTTAATGATTTTAATGTATTAGGAAGAAGGATAGATATTTAATGTGAGAATTCTTGTGTTATATGTGAGAATTCTTAGTATTAGTTATAATACAACATGAATAAGATTACCTCTTCAAGCACTATAGTTTTAATAGTGTTTTGCAAACTGGAACACAGAAATTTAATAGGAACTGATATATCCAATTTGTTTTTCAAAAAAGTTGCATATTTACTCGTTAATTTAACAAGCCTCTTCCATTGTTCTACCGTTGTTTTAACATCAAGACGAACAGCAATATCGCCAACTGAATATAGTGTTTCCAAAGCTAAAATTAGAATAAGATATAATTTCAATGACAACATTTTCAAAAACATTTAGATAGAGAAATAAATTATTACCTCTAGTTAAAACATTTGTATCATCATCTAGTTCAAAATCAAAATGAATGCAGTCATCTATCCATCTATATAATATATTAGATATTTCGTAACTTTTCCGAAATAAAGAGGTAAGATAAACTGTAGTTGATAAAAAGTATATTCCATATAATTTCTCACTGAGTAAAAAAAAAAATTAACCAAATGATTTAATAATTTTAAAGCCTGTAATGAATAAGATGAAAGTGAGGGTAAAAAGAAATGAAAATAAAAAAAAAAGATATTTTAATAAATGAGGAGAAAAAAGGGCAATTTATATGCGGATGTTGGAAAGAACAAGGAACAAAAAAAAAAATATATATATATATATATATATTTTTTTTTTTAATTAATCAATTACTGTCTTTGAACAGTAAACTACAAACATTTTTTTTTAATGATTAAAAGAGTTAATGATTTTAATGATTAAAAACTTAATAATAGATTGATTGTATACAATAATTATACAAAAATACAACAAACAAATGAATAACCTAAATAAGGTTGCTTATTATCATGGTGTTGCAATGGATCCCAATGCATGTTAAAATCCCAGGAAATGAGAAAAGCTAATTCTCCAGCCAAACAAGGCTACCAGAAGGTCATGCCTCTCTCAGAAACTAAATTTCCTGCTGCAAAAAAATTGCATTGAAACAGTCCTATAAGATAAAATGCAACAATTTTACCAAAATTGCGCAGAAAGGAAAAAGTGGGGTACCATTCTTGATCCAAAGCATCATGTTCCACCTGATCTCGGGCATGAGTCGGCTGTCACTTTCCGATCAATCATTGGCCACGACTATTTGAATTCTCAAGATCGGAGTGAGAGATCATCAGCTCATTATGCAGCATATCTTGAATTATGACATCAAGTCATTTGTATGAATGTCCTCATCTTGACGAAATAAGAGAGAACTTCTCTTGTGATGATACAAATTGCTCAAAACTGGCAAAACTTTAAGGGACTACAAGAAGTCTTATGGTGGATGTGTCATGACCATATAGTGTAAGAAACAGAAAAAAAAAATGATTACGATTAATTAATGATTTTATTTTGGGTTTGCCTAAACTGCTCAATTCCAGCCAATATATTTTTTAAGAACTATATCGTGGGCTTAAAAGCAAAAAGTCAATAAAAAAGTACAATCAATAAAGTTGTATAGATAGCAAATGATATATAACAGGCATGCAAAACAACATGTCATCAAAATTTTTGAATGCGCACATGTTTACTGAGTTATGGATTTTTGAGGGAACACATATATACAGATTGCATAGACAAGAAAAGAAAAAAATGAAAGAAATTAAAGTTAAATTTAAATTGTGTCTAAAATACGATTAAAATGGACTTCAGCTAAAGGGTGAGCATTCTATTCATGTTGATTATTAGGCTAAGGAAATAAATTCAATTAATTTGAAAATGTCCTTACTCCTTTTCTTTTTATCAATAATATTGTTCATTTTAATTTTTTTTTTTAATTCTTAGGAATAATAATTTAAAATTTAAATTTTTTGCCATAAATTATATTTATATTGAATTAAGGTAGCCTAGTAGTTCAGTGAATTAGATACTGGGCTGCTAAGATCAAGTTCCCAGGTTTAAGACTGATATCAAGTAGTTTTTCATCAGCCGTGGATCAATCCTGGTGTCGGGAGAACCTCCTGGGGCATACCCAGCCTCTACAAAATGTGTACTCTTTATTAAATAATTAATTAAGGAGGTAAACCCTGGCGGTTGAGAGTGAGCCTGGCCCGATCACCTTCCTTTTTTCTTTTTCTTTTTTATTGAATTAATTAAGACCATAAACATTGTATCATTATTTATTTGTGATGAACATGTGATTTCCAATCAAAAATTATGTTCAATGAATTTTGTACTCCTAGATTGGATATTGTCCCCACTTACTGATATGGGTGGTAGAAAACTGTTAAAGGAACAACAATTGTCACAACTAAAGTTAAGAAAATGAAATTGGAGATAATAACACAAGCTATCATGGAATCAATGCTTGTTTATTCTAAAGAATCATCGTTGTCAGCCAGTATTAAACAAGAAGTAGGATTTTGACAAACTGATTTTTTTTTTATCTTACTGCAACTAGTCTTATAATAAAATGTTGCAGATATCCTGCCATTTTGGAGGGAAAAAAATGCCCAAAACTCATTTTTGAGTCAGTAACAAGAAATATGGCAAAATAATAATATACTTTAAATTAAACTCACCTTTCATAGCAGTGATTAAATGCTACAAACAATACAGAAGGAAGAGTTGTTAAAACACTTTTGACGTAAGACAATTTGAGAATTCCTAAATTAGATAAACAGTCAATCAAGGTAGAGTAGCCATCAATAACATGAATACTGACCTAAGAAAACATTAGAATCAGCAACAAAGAAGTAAAGAAGTGTGTAATATATTTATGAATTAAAATATTTACCTGTAGGAACTGATTCAATTTTACTAAAACATCATTATTTTCTTCATTATAGTTGGTCTTCAATAAATCTACTATACTTGATATATTCTGGGAAGGAAAAAAAGTTTACAAAAATAGTCAACAGAATATAAAAATAGTATGTTCGGTTTATTGCAAAAAGTCACTAAGTATATTTTAGATGGAGCTAAACTTCTAAATATATTTTTGAATGTTGTGTGTGAGTAAGTAAGTCAATATTGATCTAATTTATGATTACAAAAATAACACAGAACCTTTTATTATACTATACGCACAATATTTTAATTTCACTGAAGAAAAAATTCCTCAGGGTATGCAATGATATCATTTTATGAAATGTTACCTAATGGCCTTTAGCAATAAACCAATGATGTAGCCCAAGTATAGACTTACAGAACAAAATGTCTTATGAAAGAAAGAAAGAATTGGATGGATTATAGTATTCTCTAATAAATTTTGGGGATACTGCTTCAGTATCGTTCTAAAAACTATTTCATTTAATTGTGGAAGGTATCGGATATTATCATCTCTTTCCATAACATTCTGGAAAACAAAATAAATTATTACAAAGCAAAATTAAAAATAGGCCAAATATGGAAACGTTATTACTAATATTGATGGCCATTCTTGCTCAAATGTACTTAATGAATTACACGATAAAAATTTCTTAATTATATTTTCAACACATACTGCGGACATTACAAAAAATTTATAAGATACAACATTCGAAAATACTATTTAAACCGCCATCGAGCAATCGATTAATAATTAGCAAGGAGGTGTAAATGAACACGACTGAGAAATATATATATGAATATAAAGTTAAGACCAAGGCAATCTTGCGTTAAGAAAATGTGGAATGAAACAACCTTTTCGAAATGAAAACTTCTTTAGGCGCATTTTGCACTTTTTTTGTGGGGAGTGAATGGAACTGAGCCGTCAGGCTCGGATGTGTAACGCTCATTCGGTTAAAGTCGATTCTAGTCAACTAATTGAGGTGTTTTTGCATATGGATTAAAATATCATTGAAACTAAAATTTGGACATGGGCAATGTTCAGCATTTACTTCTCTTTGTAATGAGCTATTATTCGAAATTTAACTTAACGCGACACTGGGTTAGATTGGAGAAAAGGAAAAAAAAGTGTTGCAAACCAAATGATAACGAGTTTTATATTAGATATGGATTAAAATATCTCAAAAACTGAAAATCTGACCTCCATACAGTAAGTGAGGGAATTGTTCAGCACTTCATTCAACTGTGCGCTCCGTGACAAATCCTCGTAATCGAGCCTCGTACATCCCCGTACGCTTGCTCATTCATAACTCGTACTATCGTAAGCCCAGTGCTGCTATTTTTTTTATTGTAAAATTAGGTCAGAGCTTTTTATTTTTACCTGTATTCATATATTTTAAAGCCTTTTTACATTACTTTTTTTTTTAAGTTAATGGGCCAAGAAGTAAAATTAGCTTAATAAAATATATAAAAAAGTTTATATATTTTTAGAAACTTCTGGAAACTTTATATAAAAATTAAAATAGTAAAATAAACTTATTAAAGTACTCTTCATTAGATCCAAGATTTAATTTGTGGAGGTGGGAGACTCATTTTTTTTCTTTTTTCTAAAAACAAAACAACTACTTTTATGAAAGGATGTTAGTGGTTCTGGAAGACCTAAAAAAAGTAATTATTGGGGCATTAATGCTTTTAGAGATATACATTATAATATAAAAATTCTGCTGCGCGCAACACACAACTTTCACTTACCACTCAACTTCTTAAAGTACTCTTCATTAGTATCCATTAGTAGATCCAAGATTTAATTTGCGTAGGTGGGAGACTCATTTTTTTTTTCTTAAAATTCTTGAATTGCATTTTTAACTGAGCTAAAGCTAAAAGATTACAGCTAACAAATCATAAATACTTTTAAAATAACAAAAGTCCTATTTATTATATCAACGGTTGATTATGGATTGTACGATCCGTTGATTATGGATTGCACGACTAGTAGTTAAACTATTTTTCCATTGCAAAGTTTACTAAAACATAATTAAAAGATTTGCATTGTCTGTCATAGACAGGTCAACAGTTGTCACACTAATCGGAAATGGATACTGTTGGAATATCACAAAGGGAAAATTCATCAAATTATTCACTTATTTAATTTTCTAAGAAGACACATGACAATTTTTCGAATAAACGTTGATACCTAATTATTTAAATATAATATCAGAACTATAATCATTAAACTACGGTAAATGTATTTAAGATTATAAACATACACTTTATACATCCATGAAATGATTTTATATTTTACTTCTTTTTTCACAAAAGTACAATGAAATAGTTTTTTTAACAATGCCATTGCCTTATTTGGTGGATTTTAAATACTTATTACAAACTTAAAAGTATTTTTTAAAGTTTACTTTTAGTTAGTAAATTTCATTTAATTTCCTTGAAAACATATTATTTACATTAAATGTAGTTTTCAAAAATTATTATTTATAATTTTTTCGCCACTCTCCGTTACCTTCAACAACTTTCTATATTAGATATTGTTTTTTTCTAAAATTCTCCTCTTTCCAACGATATATTATACATACATCTTCTGACTAGTATTTCCGGAGATTCATTTTCGACCTGGATAAGCATTTTTGTTGTCACATATAAGGCATATACCTATCTTAAATACGTAATATCAGTTTCTTACGACTTTTAGTTTTTGAGCTAGACTGCTAACATAAACACACAAAAAGGAGTTTATACACAACTATAGTCGTATAAACTGTAAATGTTATTACTTTGAAAATATGAAAGAAAAAAAATTATAATTCATATTATTAATCTCGCCTCGTTGATGTTTTCACTTTTATCGTATGGTCTAAAGCACGCACCGTAGTTTTTTTTTCCTCCTATACTTCGCCTTTTTGGTTATGCAGAGTTTTTCCGTACCAGAGATGAAGGATAGGGCTCAATTCCATAGTTAAAAACACTGTGGTATCAAAATTTGAACTCGTATTTCCGGTATATCAGATTGGCTAGCAACCCACATTTTGCATACGCGTTATCCCAGTCAGCTCCTTCCCTCCCACTAAAACAACCTTGAATAAGAAGTGGCGTGGGTTTTAATCTGGCCAGGACGGATTGAAATTTATATTGTGGCAGGCCCACGAAAAGAATATCGACGATGTCCCACTTTAGTAAATTACCATTGGAATACGTTGTAAACTATTAATAAACCGTCCTCTCCGTCCTACTGGAACTCACCAGAAAATGAAATTAAAAAATCCAACAAATATAATATTACAAACTTGCTCGGTTTTTGACAACTGAAGAATAATATTTTGAGATTAGTTAGAAAAAGAGAATTTACTGTCGATGTTTCCCATAGGCATATTTTATGGACTTAAAAATAGCACGACTTTTTCTCTAACCCCTATCGAAATTTCTTAGAAACACTTATAAAGACGTTACCGCTCAGATGTTTAAGAGTATATCCTAATTGGAAAAGCGTTCCGATAGCAGGCGCCTGAGATAATCGCTGAATCAGAAGGTGAAAAACACATCTAAATAATGTAGCTAATTATTGACACTTATACATTAAATATGATTAAATAAGCGTTTAGGTTTATGTAGGATATCAAACTTGGCACCATTTCAAAAGCACATTAATCAGCCACCAACGGCCAAGATGAAGTATCTTTTAGTTGAAAAATTACGTGGGAAACGCACACTTCTTATTACTTCACCTCAGTCGCCGGAACCTTACGGATTTTGCTAATAGTCTGTGGGCCAGAGCCCCCTACCGTGCACTCCCCCCTCCCCAAATCCCTATAAATTGCATATCGTTGTGTTCCTTGTAACAATGTATTTAAAAAAAAGCGAATGTTTCCATAAAAAAAGTGAACGAACTGCCCCAAAATTTCGACCAAACATGGCGGACTGACGACTTTGACTTTAGTTAGTTTTTTAGTCACTGAGAATCAACATTTGGCTTAATTTCGTTATAGTTGGTCTTTTATTAAAGCTGGATAGTCAGACAATAAGAAAACATGAAAAAATATTAAAAAATAATTGGTTTAGGCAATAAAAAAACCCAGTAAAGTTAATTTTTTCTAAAAAAAAATTTTCAAGTTGAAAATCAAGCGTTGTTTGTAATTAAACGGCAAACAATAACGCAAAACGTGCTGAAATAACACATCTGGGGAATATATTTTTCTTTCTAAATCACTAATTATTTTTTAAAATATTTGAAGCAGTTCCGTAGAAAATGCACTTAAGCGTCAGAAAAGCGGTACTGGCGTGGTTGCCTACAGGCCTCTACACCATTCAGTACACATAAATGGCTTAGTTATAGTTCTATAATAACGTTTTTGGTACATTACATTGATTTTATTTACGAACAAATATTAATGCAATAAATTAATCGTAAAAAAAAATTATTTTTTTAGTTTTTTATTTATTTTTTAAAATATAATTCCCTTTATTCTATATGGAAGTAGTTTAAGAATACCTCTATTGTAATAATGATATAATTATAATAATAAAACTTAATTCAAAAATACTTTGCTGAATATCTTGAATTTTTTATTTAACGTTTTACAATTTAACACTTTGTTTTGTATATTTAATGATTCTTAGAGGTAATTTAAATTGTATATACTTCTCCGGAAATGAGTCATATTAATATCGTTTTATAAAATAAAATAATATGTACCTAATCTGAATTATATATAATAAATAGTTGATTGGTTGTTTAGTAAAACTTATATGTCACAAATAAAAAAAATAATTTTTATTTCCTTTATTTTGTTCGGAAGTTGGACCATATAAAAAATTGAAAATTTTAATATTGAATGCATTATTCTCTCTGCACAAAGAAAGATGGAAAGGGCGAAGCTATAAGTTCTTCTAGGTAACCGGAACTGATTGTTTGGATTTGGTCTCAAAATGAGGGAAACCGTGAAATTGAACCCAAAAATTGGAAAAATAAGCGAACGAAAAAGTAAGTGGTAAAATCTCAGAAAAGAATACAAGGATCAGTACCAATTATATGGCTAAACGAATATATAGTGGATAGGTGAACAGAATATTTCAGATGCAGCTAAAAAGGGGTCAAATGCTGGAGAAGTTTGAATGATCTTAAAGGAACGATGCAGGTTTATTATGGTAAATAATGGTAGATTTCAAATTACTCTAATTTCCTTGACTATGGTATTAAAAATATTATTATACAATTAAACTATCTTCCTATTATTATTGAAATTAACTTCAATTAACAATCCATTAATAATAATTTTCATATAACTGCAAATTAATTATTTATCAATTGTTTATTTTCAATTACAATTTGAATACAAGCTTTTAGGAAAATCATATTTCTGCAACTTCTGGAGACGCTTGTCCACCAGAAACAAACGGAGGCGAAGGATATATTAATGGTTACACTAGTTACTTCTCTGATTAGCCGCATTCATATGTCAGAGGGTCAGAAGAAGATGAATCTTGTTCTTCGGGGATCTCGGAAGGAGCTCCCAATAAAAAAAATTCAAAATGATGAATTTTTGGTTCTCCAAAATAGTGAATGGGGGCCGGCTCTAGGCGATCGCCAACTGTCCAAACTGGCCTGTTATTAAGTTATTTTTAATAAACCAAAAAAAAAAAGTTCGAAAATTGCCATTGTTTTTGGAAATACAGCTTAGAGTTTCGCCAAGAAACCAACGCAAACTTAGTCCCTTCTTATCAGAG